AAAGTTTTCGGAGAAAGAGAGCAACTTTTCCCTCTGAGAGGTTTAAATTACTAGAGTGCTGTTGTCATCAAAAGTTGTGTTTCTCTGTGCGGTAGTCTTTCTACTCCATTCTGTGAAAGTTGTTTTGTTGGCATAAGTGCTACTCAAAATGTCAGTTCAAGTGACAATTAGTACACTCGGGTAAATAGAGAAGAGGTGGCAGACGAGAAGAACTAAATGACAGCCAGATTTCATTACCTGGATTGTCAAATCCGCCCTAAATTGCTTTTGAGTCTATAAGAAGGAACATGCCAATAAGAGGAATGTGCTATTCCGTAGTATCCAGAATAGGCGTGAGCATAGCAAGTCTCTCCATCTCAATGCCTTTGTACGTAAAATTTTGGGAAGGAAGTTAGTCAGCATTTCCACCAAGATCTTAGTTTTCCCATTCAGAAACGCCATAATCAATGAAAGTCATATCACATCCACCCAAATTGAATCCAGACATGAAGTTGATGACCCATTCTTTTTGGAAGCCTTAAATGATGTCGATAACGCGTTATAATGCCAATGGCTGCATTATTCCAGGACAAAGTTCTTTATACATAATACGGGTTCCTTCCCTAATAGGCGACATTATACTACAAGTCTCCATCCAACACCCAATTCTTTACTCCACTAACAATGTTAATCACACAATCGTATGTCTTTCACCTTTCTTTGGATATATGTATACAGAGGAATGGAGGAGAATGAAAATGACAACGAGCACTGCACTTGCAAGTGTATGTAACAGAATCACACTCAATTCCAACAGCGAGTCGTGTTAGATAATGTCATCTCTTTGAATTTAGTGCCTTATGACGCCGACATTGACAACAATCGAGCAATTCATTCGATCATTATTTATGCTGTTATCAGGAATTAGGAAATCCTGAAACCGGGTGTGAAAAAGGGTCAAAAGGTATTTGGATCATTACCTAGATACTTTCTTATCGTACTTCATTTCATTGCTGTTCAAATGCCCGCAGTTCACATATTTTTGACCCTGGATTTTCATGTATATACATATCATGCGACATAATATACCTAAACCACGATATATTTAGTGCTCGCGATTAAATTTTACCCTTCAAAACTGCATATTACGTATACGGTACATATGACTTCCACACGATATTTTCTTCATTTTTACCTTAAGCGACGATCTTGGTATAGAGATCACACTTAAGTATATATCATAATTCTCGATTCCAGAGACCGGCTATCCTAAAACTCGACTCATAACATTTTCCCATCTTTTAAATTCCAACTGGCGAAATTAGACGCGGATTTTTTTGCCACGATTCCACAAAAATGTGCCCATTTCATTCCATTATCCAAAAGAACATTCCTCTGCAAAGTTTGTTGTACTCGTGGATCCACTCGCACGAAACTACGCCACTCTTTGTTACATGTACTTACTTAATAGATTGTAGCTTTTTCTGAACCCTGCCTCCTCATTGTGTGTCTGTGAAGTGAACATTTGTGGACCATGTAGCACTGATTTGAGCCAGTCAACACGACGAGTAGCAAGCAAATTACAAAATTACCTGGGCAGGTTGTAAACTTTAAGAGCGCGGATGATTCACATCCACCTTCACAATCTTCATTTTCTCTCTTGTAGTCTGTGAAGGGAAAAAATCTGCCATTTTTTGCCCCTCATTTTGCTTTGTGGTACAATTTCTACGTCTACTTCTTTCCTCTAATGATTCACTTTTCTGGCCAGACTACTCTCACACTTCTAGATACGTCAGCCTGAATGATGTACAAATTGTGTTGATCTCATTTCCATCCGGTCTGATACATATGCTTCTTATGATTAGTAACCAGGATTAAATTATTACTTTGTAGAGTAATCCAACCTAGTCGATGGGTTTATGTTGCTGTTCCGTACACCTGTACTGCTAATTGCAGGATAATGCATATATACATGGACGATTTATTTCGAAAATTGCTACTGTATTACATCTAATCCTCCTGTGCAAACTCATATTTTTGCTGTTTAGAGAACGAAAGCTCTACAATTTCTCATGTCAATCCTGCGTATGTATAAATCCTGTGCATGCCATAATTAACATTAATTTTGCGAATATTCCACCCTATAGTGTTAATGAAAAAGCTGCATATATGTTTCTGCAGAATTATTATATAGTCCGTGCTGCCATTATTGTCGTGCTTCTTCATTTATTTGTATGAAATAAATCATTTATTAAAACAGATAAGCCATTGCTTTTTGAAATATATTCTTATGTTTCTATTTTGACTCATACTACTGAACCCCTGGGTTTTACCCTGCTGCCAGCAGACCCAAAGTATATGCAGTCACGCCCAAAATTCGGGTCGTATCTGCAGAATGTAATTGGGTAGAACTTTGTGATTGTCACTTTGTTATCCTACAAGATACAAAGTGCAGAATCGAATTTCGAGGAGACACAGCAGCTTCATCAAAAGTTATAATTCATTTTTGCCTTCGTATTTTATTTATGGGTGAAACTGTCTTTGAATAACTGATTGCGCAGAATGCGGCTGAGACGAGCAAAAGTTTTTTCGCTCCTGGAATATGAATGGTTTTCTGACATTTTCAGACTATGGTCTATTTTTACAAATGGTTATCAGATTATATTGTGGTCTAGATTTATTTATGAATCAAGGCTGAATTGCAAATAGTGTGAAATGAGTCAAAGAATATTCGGAAAAGGGAAATGACACAAAATAAAGCGGAAATTAGACTGGTTATCTCTGTATTTCATTGACTCGAGCTAACAAACATTCACTAGTGTTGCAATTAATGGCGTTTCTCCTGTTGGGAGTGGTTGGTGGAGGATAGACGGTTGACTTGACGTATTGGAAACAACACCCAGAACAAAGTAAACTGTTTTGCGGTTTCGTAAATTGATTTCATTGTTGTGAGCTATACGTATCTCCAAATGAAGTCAGATTATGAGTTAGAGTAGCCGTCTAATACTTGTTTTGTTATATGCGATTATGTATGTACAAGAATACATATTTGCTACCATATTGGAAGATGTTATATAAGGAGAACTATTTATAATATGTACATTTTAATCGATAGGCAGGAATTGTACCAGATTCTGTATTAGACGGGGTTGAGAATGTGACACACTGGTCATTAGTCGGGGCTCAGAAATACTTTTACAACCTCATTTCATTTATGCATGGCGTACTAATGATCTTCACTAGCTGCAATTAGCATTAACGAGTTGTAGCCTAAAAGTTTAAATGTGCCGGGTGTTCACGTACATATGTTTGAATTCATAGTACAAACTGTATAAAAATCTAATTATCATTTCATTCCGGAACTTCAAACTTAGTTGGTACGAGCAATTGTAGACTATTTTAAGCAGTCAATTTAGGTAGTGCGCACAGATGGATCATAATCAATAGCATTTTAACTCTGTGACGAAAAGATCGTAGCAGCTAGGAAAGAGTTAAACTGATAAATTGCATATGGGACTGCTAGAAAGTGTGGTTCCTATAAACACATGCAGACATCATCATTACATTCTAATGACGCATTTCATTATACGACAAGAACGAAAATACAATTTTAGAAGTTAGAATTAAAGTCAAGGTAAAAACAAACTACTTCGATTCAATCGTGTTTCAACCATGCGAAGACAGAACAAAACAGTTTCGATTTTCCAAATCTGGACAGACTTCAAAGGCTTTTGGACAATCTCTTTCAGCTCTTTAAATGTCATCCGCGTCAACCCGGATTTAGAATTAATGAAGTACAAGCGAAATCAAATCTAGATTCTGCTATACAAATTGGAGGCACAGTGGGGAACATGTCGGTTTTATCCATTTACAAAGAAAATTACAGAACATGTACGTAAAAGCCTGGTAATGGCAAAACAAAAAGCTTTCTACCGAATTTTCCAGTCGTGTGTAAACACTTTTTTTTACTTTGTACATTCTCTCACATCGAATATTTTTGCTTAATTGCTTGTTGAAAGGCAACTATGAATCCTTTAGAAACCCGTTTGAAAATGTGTTCAAAAGAAATTAAATTATTTCACAATATGAAAGCCTTGTTTTATAAAACTTTTCCGCATGCAAATAATATCTCACTCACTTCTTACCCATCCATCCATCCATTCTTTGCCATATGTTGAAAATCTCATTGAATTTCAACATCCATAGTTTCTCTCCAGTTCTACTCGTCGCCTAATGTGATGAAAGGCAGCAGCCAAACGAGGTGCAGGAGGACGGAGAAAGTTGGCGTACTTGGGTAGCTATGTACATACACACGTTGTGGCAGGCAGTTGGTGTTGGTAGAAATAATGTGAAAATGCGGACATATTTATTTTGTTACTGGGTTAAGTAAGCAGTCGCCGTCTACTTTTTTCATACGGACGGCTGGCTGTACTCTATGCGAAATTGGAGAGAAAGCCGTAAAACGATTTGCTCTATCGTGTCTTATCTTATCGCTTATTTCATTAGAACGGGTGGAGCCATTCATAAAGACATATTCAATATGTGGACCACCGTATGTTTCGTATGTAGGCTGCTCTCCTAAATATTACAAAAAATCGCATTTTCTCCTATATGAACACTAAAGAATAAGGTGAAAGCCTTTATCCGCGTGTTTGAGAGGTGGATTGGGGATAAAAATTGCGTATTGGAAAAATTCCCTCCCGAATGTATTAAAGCCGCTTAACTAAATGTTTTTCTACTTTATCAAGTATTTTTTTGCATAATAAAATGAGGAGTGTGGAAACCAGTACAATTCGAGAAGCACTCTGAAAGCAATAGGAAACTTGTGTACAATGGAAAAGTCTATATGCATATGCACAAGAATAGTACTAATAAGTTTCTCAGTGGTTATGCTGCAGTGTGGTGAAAATAGCCACTAAATCTTATCCATCAATAAATAAAGATGGAGTGAGGAGGAGGAGAAAAGTGTACGATGATCAACAAAAATACGTGACTGAGCAAGTTTGATTTATATTTTTTAGGACTTAGATCATGGGATTTGAATTCAACCCATGTGGACTTAAGCTGTGAGTTACTCAACCTGGGAAACGCTGCCCCCGAGAGTGATGAAGCCCGAAATGGTAAGCCTTTGATGGGATTACTTGTTCTTCATTTTTAACCATAACTTTCCCCATTCCGCGCTATTGACAACTTTTTAAAAGCAACTGGATGTATCTGCAATCTGTATTATGTGTGCTTATGAAAAAATTAGTTTAGCAATAAATATACTTGGATTTATTTATTTTTATCTTTCATGTTGTCCTCGCTTCATATTTTCGTTATGTGAAAACCAGAACCACCTGGGCTTATTTGTCGTTGATTAAAATGTTATTTCAAGTAGTATTCCTTCATCGCAAAATATTTTTTTGGAGGAGTTGGATTAATTCACGATTTTTTCCTTGACTTGAGATACGTAGTTTATAATACAAATACCCCTTTAATTGGAAAAGTTTTTAAAAACAAACTAAGTCGTAATATTAGCAGAGTCGTCATATGTATTAGTAAGATTAGCTGTATTCATCCTCGAGTGGGCAGAATGATGGTCTTCTTGTCAGAGATAGTCAATGGCTTTGGAGCTTTTCAAAAGTTTGAAATCATCTTGTATCACATCCTATCCACTTTCCATCCAGATAAAAGAAAAGTCAATTTCGGCATTTTGTTTCATCTCTTTCGCAAACGTCAGTCTATGTAAATATGTCGGTAGTCAGAGGGTGCCTCAAACCTGAATCATGAGCATTCCATGGAGCAAGACTGTTATTAAATTTTCAGTAAACTCATCATATACTTGATTTATATTAAGTGCTTATTAAACTGATTGTGAGTGTATTTTACGAATATTTCAATGCTGTTCTCGAACATGTCTTATTGCTATAATTTTAATGTTTTTAGGTGAAAAGTTGGTGCAGTGGGCCTCAGAAAACTTGGTGGTTGAAGTAAGTGAACTGTGTATATGTATAAGTACGAAAGATAATAGAATAGTTTATCTATCCATCTATGTATATTACATTCACTTTCGTCCAATTTTATTGAGACACATAGTGCAAACCAAAACAAAGTGGGACTTGCACAAAACAGATAAAATGCAATCATACGTACCTTTGGTTTACATATTTCTATTAAAATTTCAGGTTTTAATTCACTGCCAAGTAAATACATTGTTGCAATGTATGAAGAATTTGCTCTCCTCGTTTACTCGACATAGACACATTATTCATGCCGGTGAGTTTAATAATAAATGTAACAAGAATTATAAAAATTGCACACTATAATTCCCTGTTCCATCACTGGCCAGTGGTAGACCAGAGTCTACTCGACTTTTGTTTCAGGGGAGCTAAAAAATGTCACAATATAGTTTTTCATGTCATAATTTTATTCATGCAGGATACACGTTCCAAGGGTCTGGCTCCTGGATTCTTCAGGTAAAGTGAAATTTGAAATATTTCACCCAAGAAAAATTCCAACATGAAAACGAAATAGAAAAAAACTTTGGTGTAGGAATTGCACCTTTGAATTTAGTCACCATAAATTTCCCAGTAATGAGAACCAGGGCTGTCACATTTTTTAGCCCGAGTCAGGGCTTATGGAACCGTCATGTCCGTCCGTCCGTCCGTCCGTCCGTCTGTCCGGCACGATAGAGCCAAAACGGCTGAACCGAATGACTTGAAATTTTTACCATATGCATATTGGGCAAAGTTAGGAAACGAGTTCGAAGATGGGCCAAATCGGTCCAGTGGTTGACCGGTGGGGGTCATCGGAGTGGGTGGGGTATTATGCACCAAAATTTCAAAATTGTCGTAGAAAGCTGAAATTTGGTACAGAGGTTGCTAATAGTTCCTAATAGATAAAAATGACTTCAAGTTGAAAAAATTTTCAATTTGAGGGACCCCATAGGGTGACCCATACTGATTTTTCAAAATCGTCATATCGACCTGAAATTTGATAGGGAGGTTGCTAATAGGTCTTATTTGAAGAATATGAAATGAAATTGGTAAAATTCTTGTCTGGAGCGACCCTATGGGGTGACCCATACCGATTTTTAGAATTTGCTGGAAAACCATGAAATTCGGCACGGTGGTACGTAATGGCTTCTCATGAAATAATATGAAGTTAAAAGTGAGCAAAGTGTAACCAGAGAGTAACCCTGGAGCTGGTCCATACCGTTTTTAATAGAAAATAATAATAGAAAATCTAAGAAACATTTAACTATCCACAACAAGGAGTTTGGTAACATTATGTCGGTCAATTCGGAGAAAAATTTAGAAATCTGATTCACGGAGTCAGGGACTCTGTCCCTGACTCGGGCTATATGGAGTCTGCACTGTAGGTTTTATATTTTATGACACCTTCGCCATTTTACCTTTAAAACACTTGGCCTAGTTTTAGGTTGACATAATATTATTTAGCTGACGAGTTTGGGCACAGTTCATGGTGAAAGCCATTCAGAGCTTTTTATTTCATTTTATGGAGAAAAAGTGTAGGAAAAGAGCGAGCCAAAGTGGAAGCGTGTGGACGTATGTATGTAAGTGGATAAGGAAATGGGATTTTCTACCGCAGTTTTATTTAGGTGGTCTTTGAGTTCAAGTTTCCAAGTTTTCCCATTATGAACACCTTCGTCTTCTCGCAAAAAATAACGTCGTATATACGTATATCATATTTTATAAATACGTATATATTTATACTACATGCCGACTTTATGCGATTAAGGTTAATTAAGTTAGGGAGTAATTAACGCAAGGGAGAAAGTTGGCGAATATGTTCAAAGTATTCGCGTCTGGGGCTGGTTTTTATATTTTGTTACTAATTTATTTTTCAGGACGGGACTTTCTCCTTTGCCGACTTTGTTGAGCTGTGGGACGAGCCTGAAGTGCACAGAATTCTTGCCGCCTATCGTAAGTTGGTCACTAACAAAATATGCTTTTATTATCGGGACAAATTCTTTGCAAGTCTTAAGAAAAACAGCAATTCTAAATATTGCCACTTGAAGGTGGGGACATTTCTCTCTCGCTTCACTGCGCCGAAGAAAACGGATGGACTGATGAGCAGTTGAGGCGAGAATCCTTCACTAAATTGTGCCAAGTTTCCACAAATCCTGGGGAAATAATAACCGGTCATTCTTCTGGAATAATTTCCTTTGTTGACTACATTTCGAAAATGGTGCAACCCGCCTCACTGAAAGAGATTTTAAAATCTTCGGAAATCGTGGGCAACATCAGGTTTAGTCATCCAACGCTTTACATATTTCCGGGAGGCAACGGCGATGCTGCACTTTTCGGAGTGAGTCTTTTTAGATTTACAAGTTTATCTATGATACTGTGTACATAATAAAGTGCGTGATCCAGTGTGGATGTGATGATGGCTGGAGAGATTTCTCTGACTGAATTCCGATTAATCGCCAGTCTGCGTGTGTTGAGAATTTCAATCAGAAAGGATGATATTTTTTATTACTCAGGTAAATGGTTTCAACATGTTGATCGATGGAGGGTTCTCTCGCCATGCTTGTTTCTGGGGTAAGTTTGCTACATTCTTTACTACTCAGTCAAATGAAATACATATATGCACTATGCACATGTATGGCTTGGGCGTTATGTTCATACCCTCGGGTGTGTGCTAGCTAGCTGTGGTGTCAGACAAGGAAAAATTACTTAGACGCTGCGATTTCGGCAGTATGTCTTTGTTAAACTGATCAATGAAGTCATTAAATTCCATGTCCAACAGACTTTACCAGACATCTGGACCGGTTGGATGCCGTACTTCTCACCCGAGTCAACAACAACTCGATGGCTGGTTTGGACTCACTCATGGATCGAAAGAGGATAAATCAAGTGTACCCACAAATTGGTCACTTTTTTGGAAATGTGATGGAACGGAAGCGTCCTCAAGCAGAGGGGGTGGGAGATAAGGATTCTTCAAAGTCTTCATCCTCGGGTGACCTACTCGTTAGCCTTACAGAGACTGGAGCTCGCATTTTAGACAATTTGAAGAACATCAATTTACGCCCACAACACTGTTTTCGTGAACATGCCATCGATCCCGTGAATCTTTATCATAAAGTCGGACACGGCAAATTAGACGTAAGTGCATCGTTTTCATGATAATAATCGTTAATTATAAGAAAAGAAAGTATGTGTCACCTGAAATGTCACGGTTAATTTGTTACTTATTTACACATTTAGCAAGCAAGCATTATTAGTGAACACCATTCATATTTGACTCTGGATTTCAGATGTATGTGCTGAATCCGGCCAAGGACTCGAGAGAGGTGAAGGAATTTCTGAGCAAGTGGAACACGGATTGCAAATCCTTTGTCCAGGCCAGAATGAGCGTGAAAGTTGAGGGGAAAGAGAGCAACTACCCGGTGAGAATTCTAATTTTGCCTGTCATATAAAATACTAATCTGCTTAAAGGCTTGGCATTCCTTACTAAATAAAGTTTAGAACATGGTACACGTATTAACCAATAACACGTTCTAAGCATAGAATTAGACAGCATGCTTGGGGTTAAAAAAGACTTAAAGATCATTTTCATTATTAATTACGTGATCATAAATGTTGAAGTAAAAATCAGTGGAAAATTAGTGTTATTATTATTATCATTACTTAATTATTTTAATTATCAAGAAGTGATCAATGCCGTTCAGAATTTACAAGACATTTATATGTCCAATATTGGCTTCGGCCATGATCACATTTAACAAACAAGCTTTACTTATTGCTGATATACTTGTTCAGTATGATCTAGTTTTACATTTGTTTTTTGTATTTCATAATGGATGCATTTAGGTCCTTAACCTAGTCTCTATCTGTGCCCTTCTTGTGTGGCAACCGGACAACCCCAAAGAGCCTATTACAAGAATACTTTTCCCTGGGAGTACACCGCAACAAAAGATCTTTGAAGCACTTGGTAAGCTCTTTCATGTAGGCATTTGATGACACAAGAAGGTCATTGACTTGAACAATCTGTCATCATGGATCACATTCGTACATATGCAAATCTTTTGTCCTCAGGAAAACTGAAACACTTAGAATTCCTCAAGTACCCAATATGTTCTGCAAAGACGATCGCCGCCTCGCACAAGTCACGGGCTAAATCAGAAAGAATTGTTTCAGAAGCAAGAGCCCACTTGAGAAGCGGAGAAACACCGTCTGATTCCGTAAAAGTGTCCAGAGCCCCATCCGAATCTCGAGTGACCTCCTCCACGTCCACCAGATACTCGTCCTCGCTGTACTCAGGGGTGCGGAGCAAGGTCACTTCGTCTCAACGCAGTGATTCATCCACCACCATTCAGACAGCAGAAGAGAAGGACAAGGAGAAAGAACTCAAGGGCAGGGAGCGATCCAGGGAAAAGAAAAAGGTAGGTGCACGCAGTTTCATGAATATTTTCCGTCATTTATAAGATTTAAATATGCAGCTGCGGGCATTAGTCTGGTTTTATTTAATCCAGACTATTTCTTTTATCTGGCTTGAATTTGCTTCACTCAAAAAATTCTTGTACAATAGCGTGTATTGTTCCTTCCCTCATGCTCTCATTAGATAACCACTTCCTCCACCACCAAAGACGTCAAGGACAATAAAGTTATTGAGGAAATTAAAAAATCTTCCTCGACTACAACAGCTTCATCAAAAAGTCGCACTGATTCGGGAATTAAATCAAATACGACAAGATCTCGATCAAAATCGAAATCGAAGGTTGCAACCAAACCGAAAGTTGATTCTGGAGTAGCCAAGAAAATTTCACCATCTGATGTAACCAGTCCACCTTCCACGGCCCTCAGTGGAACGGTTACGCCTAAAGAACCAAGTTCCAATATTAAAAAATCTGGCAGTACTAACAAGTACGGAACAACTAATACTGGGCGCGCGTTGGTATCAAAATCTAGTACAACTGTTTCAGCTCCTGCTCCAGCTACGGCAACACCTCCAAAATCTGCCAAAGATGCTACTAATCGAAAAGTTATTGAACACAAGGGATCATCATCATCCACCACAAACACAGTCAGTCAGAGGAAGTCAGTTTTAGACAAGAGTAAGGAATCCACCGCAAAATCTACAGTCACAACCTCATCAAAACCTCCACCTGCACCAAAGGCAGCAAAATCATCCTCCACTGCACAGCGACCAACAACTGCCGCAGCAAGTCGAAAACCAGGACCAATGCCCTCTTCAGGAAATGCAAATGCAATGCCTGTCAAAAGACCAGGGACCGCTGCAACAAAAGCAGCCGCGGCTGCAGCGACAAGCGCAGCAGTTTTAGGAGTAGCTGCAGCAGTTGCAGTAACAACTTCTGGTGGTGATACCGAAGAAGAAGTAGCAAACGAAGAAGTAATTGGTCAACAAGAAGGCGAAGAACACGATAAACTTACCGTTGATGCCGACGATACGATGGACAAGGATTCCATTGAGGAGGAACTGATCCTTAAACCCCACACTAACGGCGTATTGGGCCTTTCTTCCAGCGTGCCGGTCACAGAGTCCAGCTCCGAATTCAGCTCGCTTGAACATGTCATTGATTATGACGTGGAGGCTGAGGCAGTTTCTGAGAGGAATGGTCACTCACAATCTTCTCTCCCAGAAACTGAAGTTTCCGAAGTTTCTGGCTCTGAAGACGTTGAGACCGTGGAGTCCAAGACCGACCGTGTGGCAGTAGGTCCTGAGTCAGAAACTCACACGATCACAGAACCAGGAGGGCATGATGGAGATCAAGATGCCGGTTATGATGAGGAGGACGAGTATCTCATTGTTGAAAAGGAAGAGAGCACTGGTGGGGAAGAAATTGGAGGTGGTGGAAAAATTGGTAACGAGAGTTACTATGAAGAAAAGGAAGTTCTGGAGGAGAAAGAAGTAGCTAAGGGTGAAAGTGAGGGTGAAATCCTGGAGGAGGAAAGCTCAATCCCTGAGGTAGAGAGGGCGAGAAAGAGCGTAGATCTCACTGAGCAAAGTCACATTGACCACGATACCCATACTGAAGAGATTGTAAAAACCGGATCTACTTCAGAAATGAAGGACCAGGAATTACCTTCATCCCTTCAGGATGACACGGCACTCGATTCAAATGAAATATTGTCAAATCAACAAGAGACCAAACCCCAAGACCTTGGCGGAGCAGAGGAAGATGATAAATGTCCAGAGTCCCCATGTCCATCCCCAGACAATAAGGATCGACTTTTAGAGACACCTAATTTTGAAAATGAGGAAGGACCCGTGTCTCCTGCACCCTCTCCAGACAAGGAAAAAACGACAGAAGAAGTTCAACAAGAAGAACAACAACGTTTTCCTCCCTCCAGTTTCTCGGATCTAGAAAAAGAGGTTCAAGACCAAATTAACAATGCTAACTCCGTGGAAGAGATATCCCAAGATATCACCACGTTCGAGAAAATCATGGGAGAAGCAACGCTTTCCAAACTTGAGGAGAAGGTCGAATCTCGTGCTCTCACTGCTGCTGCTAGCACTGCCCCAGAAGACGATGATGAGGTGAAAAAGGAGGAGGGTGAGATCACCTCGGTAGAAGAGTTTCAGAATAAAGATGTGACTTTGGAGAAGAAATCCGACCCGGAGAAAGTTGTAGAAACTAAATTGGATTCCCATGAGAAGGAAGAAGAGGAATTGGAAAAAACTGGGTCGAGTTCCACTGTCACTGGGACTGAATCGCTGTCTGTGCCTGAAGAGAAAATAGTCTCACTTTCCCCGAATGAAGAGGAGAAAGCTAATATGTGCGATGATAAGCACTCTGAAAAGTTTACGGAAGAGGAGAAGCAAACTGAAACTCAAAACCTTCCATTGGATAACAGTGAAGCTAATCAAGAAGTTGATTTGCCTGCACCAAAAGATGATTCGATGCCGGGTGACGATATAAAATATGCAACAACATCCAATGCTGATGTTGATAATGACTCTGCTGAACCAAAGGATGCAGCTAAAAACGATGACCAAAGTGAAGCACAAGATCAAGGTGAAGATAGAAAATCAATCTCTTCTGCTGAAAATGATCAAAAAATACTAGAGGACAAGGAGAAAGTCTGTGTCGTAGATACGGAAGTGGAGGATGTTGACAAACAGTCAATCAACGTGGATACACGTGACGAAGATAAGCACTCTGTTTCATCGCTATCTCCTGCAAGATCAGTAGAGGACGTTGTAAAACGAGATTCACAAGACATTACTGATAGCGGTATGTTGAAACCAAACATTGAGAAAGAGGACGACAACAAGCACTCCGCAAATATTGATGTCAAGAGGCAATCTGTGGGATCAATTTCTTCAGCAAAGTCAGAGAAAATTACAACAGATGACGATGATAAGCACTCTGTCAAATCTGAATCTTCCGATAAACATAACGTGGATGTGGATAAGCTTTCCGTGGGATCAGTCTCCCCAGCTAGGTCAATAGAAGAGGTTTGCGTTTCTGAGTTATCCAAGCCTGTGGACTCCACGCCCCAGTCCCTTCTACCTTTGGACGAAGATGATAAGCATTCCGTTAAATCCAACGCTAGTTCTCATCATGAAGATAAACATGGTTTGGCTTCAGTGTCACCAGCAAAATCCACGGAAGAGGTTTGCACCTCCGAGTTATCCAAGCCTGTGGACTCCACGCCTCCCTCCCTACCTTTGGAAGAGGATGATAAGCACTCTGTAAAATCCAACTCTGGTTCTCATCATGACGATAAACAGTCTGTGGGTTCAGTCTCTCCAGCAAAGTCCACTGAAGAGATTTGCGTTTCGGAGGTATCCAAGCCTGTTGACTCGATGGCTCGTTCCCTACATTTGGAAGAAGATGATAAGCATTCTGTGGGTTCAGTCTCACCAGCAAAGTCGACTGAAGAGGTTTGTGTTTCTGAATTATCCAAGCCTGTGGATTCCACGCCCCAGTCTCTTCTACTTTTGGACGACGATGATAAGCATTCTGTTAAGTCCAACGCTAGTTCTCATCATGAAGATAAACATGATGTAGCTTCAGTGTCACCAGCAAAATCCAATGAGGATTTGAAGCTGTTGTCGAAACCATTGGAAGATGATGATAAGCATTCTCTGGGTTCAGTCTCACCTGCAAAATCCATTGAAGAGGTTTGCGCCACAGAGTTATCAAAGCCTGTGGACTCCGTGCCCCAGACTCTTCTACCGTTGGAAGAGGATGATAAAAATTCTGTTAAATCTAATGCTGGTTCTCATCAGGACGATAAACATTCTGTGGGTTCAGTTTCACCAGCAAAGTCCACTGAAGAGATTTTCGCATCGGAGTTATCCAAGCCTGTGGAGTCCATGGCTCATTCCCTACATTTGGAAGAAGATGATAAGCATTCTATTAAGTCCAACGCAAGTTCTCACCATGATGATAAGCATTCTGTGGGTTCCGTTTCACCAGCAAAATCGACTGAAGAAGTTTGTGTTTCTGAGGTATCCAAGCCTGTTGACTCCATGCCTCCCTCCGTACCCTTGGAAGAAGATGATAAGCATTCTGTTAAGTCCAACGCTAGTTCTCATCATGAAGATAAGCATGATGTGGGTTCAGTCTCACCAGCAAAATCAATTGAGGAGGTTTGCGCCACGGAGTTATCAAAGCCTGCGGACTCCATGGCTCATTCCCAACATTTGGAAGAGGATGATAAGCATTCTGTGGGTTCAGTTTCACCAGCAAAATCGACTGAACAGGTTTGCGCTTCTGAGGAATCCAAGCCCGTTTACTCCCTACCTTTGGAAGAAGATGATAAGCATTCTGTTAAGTCTAACGCAAGTTCTCACCATGATGATAAGCATTCTGTGGGTTCAGTTTCACCAGCAAAATCCAATGAGGATTTGAAGCTGCTGTCTAAACCAGTGGACGATGATGATAAGCATTCTGTCAAATCTGGAGCCTCTTCGCATCACGATGACAAGCATTCAATCGCTTCAATATCTCCGGCCCACTCTCTAGAAGAATTAAAAGTCGACTTGCCTGAGAAGCAACAAGAAGTAATCACTGAAAAATCTAAGTCACCCGTCGAGCACGAAGGTGAGGAAACAGGAATTACCACATCGAAACCTTTGACTGATGCGGAAAACAAGGACTCCGGGAAATCAGAATTGTCCAGCACGGACAAACACTTAACTGATAAACTTTCAACTGGGTCTATTTCTCCTGCCCCCTCGCAAGAAGATCTCAAAGAACAAGTACAAGAACATGTACACAAGCCCCCTGAAGAAGAAGATGACGATAAAGACCACAACTCAATGGGATCACCAAGGCCTGAAGAACCTCAGAACAAAGAGGCGATAAGTGACTTACCAGAGCGAAAGCTATCCATTGCATCCAACAATGAACAGACGGATGATGACAAGCATTCAATCAAGAGTTCGAAAGAGGAAAAGGACCGAGACGATGATAAATCATCATCTCCGAGTAGGGTCGTTGAGCCGGAATCTGCACAATTAAATCTTGCCCAAACTGATAAGCCAGACACTTTGCAATCCCTTCAATCCAGCAAAGCTGAGCCTGAAGAAGGGAAAGCGGATTTGGATAAATCGCCCTCAAAACTCCTCACAGAGTCTGAACAACCCTCTGAAGAAGGGCGCCCATCCTCCACAGAAATGGAGTTTGACACGGAAATTCTGCCGTCGGAAGCGCTTGCCCTTGTTCAACTTGGAGAAAAGTTGATCACAGAAAGCAGGAAGGACGAAGTGGCTTCACTTATCGCCAATTCATCGTCCTCCTGTGAACGAGCACCTGCAGACGATAAAGCAGTGGGCAGTACTAGCGAATGTAATAAATCTGAGATCAAAGACAAACAGCAAATTGATTCTGTCCATCCCGTTGAAGAGAAAGCACAGGAAGAAGGGGAAATCGCTTGCGACTTATTGAGTTCATCTCCATCCATCCCACAACAAGAAAAGACTGTAAAATCTGGAGAAGCCAAAGAGTTGATCACTGATATTCCTGTCCAAGAAAAAAGTCCCCAAATTGAAGAAAACTTGCAAACCCCTTCTCAAGAAAAGGAGGATGCAAACGCACAAGAAACTGACGAGCCAAAGACTGAAGATATAATAAAAGTGCCTGCAAAATCAGAGGAGCAGCAACGTGTAGTTGAGACGCCTCAAGAAAAAGACAAATCGCCCTCAGCACAACAGCAGCAACAAAGGTCCGAACAGCTTTCCCTTGTGGAAACGGACAATGACGCCATATTTTCCCCGGGGGATTCCATCCGTACGGAAGAACTGGACATGGCCCTTGAAGAGCATCGGAGGCGCCTTTCCCAAGCCAATTCGCAAGGGATAGATATCATTATGGGAAACATGTCAGAGGACAAGGTGGACATTGAAACTTCTCGAGAGTCCCAATTTGGGTCTGTAAATGAGGAGCCAGATGTGGATGACAAGGACTGGGGTGATGAAGAGGAGCAACCTAAGCTCCACTTTAATAAGGATGATGGAGACGGTGTATTGGGGGCGGCTGATGATGAAGCACAAACTCCAATTCTCGTTCAGCAAGTCTTTAAAGAGAGTTCCCTTGAACAACATGAAGAGAACAACAAAACCAGTGAGAATAAGGAACAAGATTCCGCCAATAAGCAACGGCCGGTTATAACTCCATCCGCAATTCCTTCAAAATTTCCAAGAGAATCCAAAGAAGTAATTCGAACCCCAGATGAAGTTGCAGACCTTCCAGTACACGAAGAAGTTGACCCCGGAAGCTACAAAGAGGACCAGGCTGGTGAAACCAATAAAGTAAAGGATGGATTCCCGTCCTCCTCCTCCAAAGCATTCCAACCAGATGAGTTGATGACCTCGTCCGCTCCCAATACTCACAACATGACCACTGCCACCTTCACCACGACGAGCATTACAACCACCCACACAACCAAAGATGAAGAATCCCCAGCCCCAGAAATGGACTCGACGCCTGGTGGCGTGTTCGGCAGTTGTGAGTCGGACGCTGGAAAATTGGAATTCCATGAAAAATCCAGAGATTTCAACCAAGTGGATCAACAGCTCCCAGAGGAGCAAAAAGTAGAGGGTTCCGCAATGTCTATGTCCATCGTAGAAAAGATTGACGCCGCCGTGAGCCCAGTGCTCGAATCTTTGTTGACCAAAAGCGTAGAGAAAAGTTTAGAGCTGAACCAACAACAGCCCGAACTTGCCCGGGTAGAAGATGAAGATAAAAATTCCACCACCGCTACTGCTACCACCACCACACTCAGTACAACCACTGCAAAGGAAAAGGACGAGTCCGGGGACACTTTGGTTAAAGGAGAAGAAAATGAAGGAACAATTCAGAGAGATGAAGACCAAGAAGTACAAGCAACTGCAAAGCATGGGTCAAAACCAATAACCGGAGAGGAGAAAGTTGGCCATGGGGCTGAAAATAGTGATGATGATGATGGTGATGATGATGTGCAAAACCTTGAAGGAGAGCAGAAGCAGCTCCAGGGTGCTCCACCACCACAATTATCCATTGTGATGAAATCCACGACTAGTGTCGTAATTACTCCTTCAACTCCACCCGTTTTCCCGACCACTGCGTCAGAACAAACGGATAGCTTCAACTACGGAGATGGGCAAGCGGAAATAGGTCAACGGGATGAATCGCCCATTATTTCAAGTGAAGATAAGCCTGGCTCGAGTGATAATGACAACGAGGATAATCGACTCTCAAAAGAAGAGATGATTACTGTCAAAGAGTCAGTCACAATGACCACTTCCTCTCCTGCTTCACACAAACTTTTTCCAGAAGAGAAAAGTGACGAATCCTCGACTTCGTCCGCCTTAACAGCCATTGTGGCCCCAGGAAAAAGTGACGAAGCTCCGCCAGTCCCTGCAATAGCTGAGCACGAGGAACCGAAAAAGCTCTTTTTCCTTCCGAGAGATGAGGACGACGACGAGGATGACGAAGAACAAAATGATAATGAAAACCTGCCAGCAGACCAAGAACCAGATGACGATCATCACGAAGGACTTCGTGGAGTTGAAACGGAGTTTATTACTCCAGCGGCAGTGGGTCATTCTGGAGATGTGGACACAATTGCAGACTCATTTCAGGACGTTGTAGAGACCAAATCAGTTTCCAAAAACACTGATCTTCATATTTCACCTCAATTTCCATCCGATGATAAGATCAATAAAATTTCCCATGAAACAGTTTCCGAATTAGATGTAATAACGACTCGAACACCTTCACCTCCTGCCAACGAGGATCAACAGAATGCTGAATCTGGGAAAGATAAAAGCCCCTTAAAGTCTGACCCGTTAATCACAACCACCTCTCAACCAGAGACTGGCAACACTGCAGTGCTCCTCTCTGAAAAGCAGCATCATCCAGAGTGCTACCTAGATTTACAACACCTCGGCGAATGTCAATTCCATTCTGAGGAGGAAGGTTTGGCCAGCTCTCAAAAAGCGAGTATTTATGGATCTCAATCTGAAACAAAGTCGCCCCAAGCCAGTTCCCCCACAAGAGCAGAAGAAACTAAACAAGTAATAAAGCAAGATAAAGAAGAAGGCGAGAAAGAAGAGAGGTCCATTCCAATTAGCATCACTTCTTCACTTCTTGAAACTGCACAGTCAGCCGTGTCCTCGGCATTCCAAACGGCTACAGAAGCACTCGACGTGGCCCACTCCACTCTCGATGAGGTAGAAAAGTGTGCGGTGGACATGGCGGATAATTTACTAAAAGACGAGGAAGAGATCATTGCGGAGAAACACTTTTCGGGTTCGCTTGAGCAGTGCCCAAAGTCCTCCTGCGTTGCTGGGGTGGAGGACGAAATTTGTAACGCTATGAAGGGTGGACTTTCCAAAAAAATTGAAGGTCATGCAGATGAAAAAGACGAGAATGAGCCTGGAGTCGTGGAAGAATTATGCGTCAAATCAGTTGCACCAAAACCGATCGTTCCTGACCACTTTTTCGTGGAGGACTCGGACGATGCTCCCAGAGTTGAGGAGGGCGTTCATTTGGTGATTAGAAAGGAGGTCAAGTCGGAGGATAAGACAGTGGTCGAGTTAAGCGTCAGGAAGTTGGATAACATTGATGATGATGATTTAGTGGCAGAGTTGGAGGGACAAATGGTTGACGTGGAGGAGAAAAACTCACCACAACAAACCCCAATTGTTCCCGATCAGGCTTCTCCGACTCCAGGAGTAGAAGGAGAGAAAGCCTTGGCGACAGGACCTGAGCATATCAAGTCGCCCTTCCTTGAGGAGTCCGAGTCACTCGTCGACTCTTCGTCCCAGAAACATTCTTCGTCTACCATGCAAATTGTGGAAGAGGAGCAAAAGACGGTCAAGAAGCGAAAACAACTTTCGGACTATATTGGCACCATCAAGGAAGCCAAAGCTGTTTTTGAAAATCTGCTGAAAATCGCAAAGTCAGGAGCAACCCTCAGGTGAGTTGTGCAACTTTATTTGTTTTAAAATTCAGTAAAATTTTTTGCTTCATAAAAACTCAACAATTTAATTACAAAATTTAGACTTAAATACACTACACGAGTATGAGTATGATTACATATGTGTTTAATTGTATTATTCGTAACTTTGTCATTCGGATCTAGATTTACATTTTTATTAAGCCATCTCAATTTAATAAGCTAAAATATATGAAAATCTGTTTCTAATAACTTTTTGATTTATCAATATCTCAGTTCTGCTGTCGACGAATGTAAAGAAAACGCTCAAGAGGCAATACGGTGAGTGTGCAATTTTAATTATATACATGTTTCATGTTGTAAAACATTTTTCTCGTGATGGAAATTGTGTGGTCTGAGTAACTGCAAGTGAAGTCTCAGTTGTGTTTTGGTTCAGTTGAGTCGAGTAATTAGTAAGGTGAGAAAGTTTGCAATCTCAATAAAACACTGTATTTGTTTGTACAGACGACACTTGGAGGCTGCAGAAGAAGTCTACCGGCCAGCAAAGAAGGAGCCGGAAGACATCAATGTGGCAGATTCTCCCGAGCCTGAAATGGGAATCACGGTATACGAATCATTGGAGCAAATGGCCAAGGCTGGAGTAGAGCTGTTCAGTGGGTTAGTGGAGAAAGTGGAAAAAGAGATTGAGGAGAAAGCCAAACACGAGGGCGAGGATGAAAAGGACAATCCACCGGAAAACGAGGATGGCGAACAGGATGGTGATGGCCAACGTCGGTCATCCGCCGAACTCGCCGTCACCGCAGCTCTGCAACATTTGCATGAAACATTTAAAACCATGCAAACTTTAGGATCCAGTCCAAAGCGGTCCTCATCCTCTGCTGCACGAAGGATTCGATGTCACCACCATGATCACGACCATCATCATTGTTCACACAGCCAAGAACTCCAACAGCAAGAGGACGAGTTATCCTCGACCACGACTTCCTCAGCAATATTCTCCACCAACAGTGGAGCTTCTCCTCACCTGTCCGTTTCAGGACGAGGTGGTGATGAATCTACCACCCTTAAGTCTCCTGATGATGGTTCAGAGGGTGAAACTATGAGAGAAAGCATGTCACTCACCGAATCTGGGGTAGTGTCTCAATCTGATGCTGATGAGAACATTTCGAAATCGCATCATACTGTGGAACAAGTGGGTCAGGAGGGTCAGAAAAAGTCAGACGAGGATTCACCCAAGTCCAAATCCGAAGAAGCTGCTACCGTAGTTATGAGTAGCTCGTTTATCTCTGGGTCTAATTTTGAACAAGAAATTGAAAAAGTGGAAAGATTTGATGAAAGCTCAGAATCCAAGAAAGAAGAGGTTATCACTGATTCTGGGAACAACTTTTCCAAATCCGAATCCACCTCAAAGTCTGGTCAGATAGAGAGCAGCGAATTTGCAAAGAAAATGTCCATCACTGAAGAGGGAACAAAAGTAGTTGTGTTGGAATCAAAATCCTCATCATCCTTCCAAGAAGAAAAGAAAGAGGAAGAAAAGGCGTGTTTGCAACAAATTGAAAGTAGTCATTCTGCAACAGGAATATCATCCGATGCTGCAATCTCGGAATTCATTTCCCGGAAAATTTCTTCATCAACCGAGTCTGGCAGCATTCTCACCCAACAAAGTGAAAGTATAAAGTTTTCAGAGGAAGAATTAAAAAAGAAAGTTGAGACAGAGTCGTCATCTTCGCATGCAATTTCCTCCTCCTTCAAGGTGGTGGACGAGGCTGAGCAGTGTCTTTCCAGGTATGAGGACTCCTCTGCCCAAATGTATAAAGACGAATTTGGAGATGGAAGTTTCCGTAGATTTTCTTCCGTCGATCATTCTTCGCCAGGAGGGAAAACTAGTAAAACTGGGGAGCCTGATCGCGTAGGAGGAAGTACAGATCAGGCAACCAATAAGCTGTTACGAAGTGCATCAGAAGCTCAAGGATCCGGGTATTGCGGGGACAATTTTGAATTTACCCAGGATAATGCAGGTGTTTCTTGCGCGAAGAAAGGCGAGTACGAGCACGAAAGTAGCAATGCATTCTCAGATGTGGGATACGAGTCTCATATTGAAACCACTGAGGTGAAAGATGGAGATGGCTCATATTCTACGACAACGGTAACAAGAACCGAAAACCCCAAAGATGGGTCAACGACCACCACGACCGTGACAAGAACGATAATTTCCGAAGACTTGGGTGGATCAGGGTTAACAAGCAAATCTTTCCAAAGTTCTGACGATGACCGGCTCTTCAGTTCTTCTGGTGGTGATAAGGAGGACTTACTTGGAGACTCGATTGCTTCTTCCAGTCTTGCCAGCGGACTTGCTCCCGGTGAAGTACCTGCTACTACTACCACGACTACTACCACTATTAAAAAAATTGAATCAGTACCTGGCGAGGAGGGCGACTCTGCATTAAAAATAGAGAAAGTCACAACCACAACAATCCAAAATGTCTCGAGCATTGAGTCTGCAGCAGAACTGTTATCATCTCTCCCCTCCGACATTGGAAAGCATGTCTTCTCAAGCTCATCCCATGCTTTCCCTCAACTACAAGAAGAATACTCCTCTGGTGATTTTACCGACTCTCAACCATCGTCCATCCCCACCCAACAGGCTGAAACGGATGAGGACGTCCATAACTTTGACATTCCAACGTCCGACAAAACCACAAGCTCCACCACCACAGTGGTAACGACTACGGCAGACATGGACAACGGAAACTTTTCCTCCACCACGACAACTACAACAACCAATGCCAATCAGGACAACGGCAGTGTGACGACGCAGAGAGTGGTAACTACCACATCCAGTTATACTTCAGATAATGGGAACTTGAATAATTCGAGAGTTGAGGAAATTAGAACTGCAAGTAGTGCTACCAGCGAAAGGTGAGCCAGCATAATAAATATTTTACATTTTTTCTCAGAGAAAAACTCCCTGGGGAACTTGACCCGAAACAATTTACGAATATCATAAAATTATAAATCGCATTTTGCAGTTCGACCGCAACAACTGCTGCTGGTTCCGAGATTTTGAAGGATTGGGGTAAACCTTACGGCCTCCCGGTGGTTTACACTGAGGGGGAAAATGGTGCTGGCAGTGCTGGCGGCGGCGGCGGCGGCACCGGCACCCCCAAGAAATCAGCATCTTCCACTTCCAAGACCGGAACTCCTGCGAAAACATCCTCCAGTGGAGCAAAGCGGACGTCATCCCGGAAAACGTCCCGACATTCTCCCATCTACGTGGACTTGGCATACGTCCCCCACCACGGAAACTCTCACTACTGTAATTGCTCTTCTTTAATTAAATTTTCTAAGATTATTTTCTAATTAACCAAATTAATTGATGCACCATGAGAGATAATTGATGAAATTATACCACAAAACATTTATCTACAAATCATGTTTTTGTTTGTAGGTGATTCTGAATTTTTCAGAATGATCAGGAGCCGATACTATGTTTTCAGTGGATTAGGTAAGTCGACACCTCACTCAAAGGTCACATGAGCTGGATAAAAATCTGTAATATTTGCTACTCGTACGTTAGAGCCGAGCCGTGAAGTTTTTGAAGGACTATTGCAAGGGAAGCAGCAATGGGAGGACAAGAATTTGGGTAATTTTTTTCTCGTTTTCCACCTAAAGTAAACACAGTTTTAATCCAAAATCATCATCGGGCTTGCTAACCTCACCACCATTTTCCTGAGATGGTTAGTATGCAAATGGTGTTAAAGTATCAGGTTATTCTGCTCCCGAGTTTAACTAAAGTTAGGCAAAGCTATTCCCAATCCCAAATCCCGTCTTTGATTACCACACCGCCGCAGATTGCAGTATAGGACGTGGTATCGACCAAAAGCCTAATTTGTATTCGCATTATTTGGGTAATTCTAATCCAAGGTGCATTCTTCCAACTCGAGGAGATGAGGAGTGGGTTGTATGTATGCAACCTACATTTTGCTATGTGTACATAGCGATGAAGAGAAAGTTTTGTCAGCAGTTTGTTCCGAGCTGGTCTGGGAAAGGAAATCTAATCAAATCAAGAGGAAACCGCATAACAGGGACAGCACAGAATACGACAAGACACAACCTTCGACCAAACCACACCACCATCACCAGTCTGTTAATCTCCTCCTTTGCTCCATTCAACAACTATCTTCTAAACTAAACTGCCACCCGGGTTACCAAACAGTTGAGCTGCTGAATGCGCTGCTGTTATTCGCCAGGACTCTGCGGCTATAGTTATTTATTCAGGAAAGGAAAGTTGTGATGTTAGCCCGGCCTTTCTTCACCGAATGGGAATGAAGAAATTTTCTCTCGAGAAAGTCGGGAAAATCAGCCTGGAGTAGGCCTTCTCCTGTCAGTTAGTCCCATTACTTCTTTTGGTATTCATGCAGGATGTGATTTTCGAATGCTGCTGGTTGAAATTCGTTGATACTCAGAACTCGTGGGCATCATGTAGAAAACAATTATTTATAATCCTGCCTAACGCTAGTTCATTTTGATCTTTTCCAAGTACCGTTATATTTGATGGGCATTACATGGAAATAAATATGTAGATCGTTCCTGGAATATGAGAAACTTGTGTCACTTGTTCAAGAATTTATTCGACAGTTAAGAAAGAGTTCCTAGAAAATGACGGTATCCAGGGGTTGGCAAATCCATTCAGTTTTTACTGCACCTCTCTCATGGGACCAACATCTGTAGATATGTACGTGCAAGCAAAATGCATGAATACGAAGATAGTTCTTGACGCTGTGCAAAGAAGTTAAATAGATAAATGCGTGCTTATTATTTTAGCCGCGGTGATAGATACATAGATAAGCATTTATACAGCTGTGGAACCTTATCTACAAATCGATCGAGAGATTGCAAACATGTAATTTTATAAGATTGACGATAAAGAGAAACACGGCGATATCTGTGTAGTATGAATCAACTCAATCTCTTGCTTTACAAGTGAGTCACGAATTCATGGTCGCAGTAAAGCATTGAATGGGGACATTTCATCAACCGATAGTAAAGAAAACTAATTTTGCTTTCAGAGATTCTGAGCCATAAATTGAAATGAACTTTATTCGGGCGTTGTTTGCTTTTCATATTCCACGATTCGAGCTTGTTCATGATGACACAGGTGTTCTCTACTCTGTACCATCGGCAGATTTCTCACGGGATCTTTGACTTCGACATACATACATCCTTTCTGCATCACCTTGAAAATATCTTCGAGGAAAACTGATAAGCACGGCCTTCGGTCACTTTACATAATTTCTGCTGCATAACTACCATTTTACATAATGACCATTTTACATAGTTATCAATTATGTAAATCCTGATTTTGCATAATTACCATTGCATAATTATAGATTTTCCAATATGTGACTGTTATACTAACAGAAATCCAGCATTGAAATACTACCAAGCGGTATTCATTCACTTGTATGACTCTACTCTACCAAGGTAGTAGTGATTACAGAATAGTAATACGTTGTAGTAATAGCTCCGTATTAAGTTTTAAAGTAGCAAATTTTTACGGTTCAGCATAATTTTAATACAAAGTGGTAGCAACTTTAATACCGAAAGATCAATACTTGTGTAACTATACAAGATTGGTAATAGTTTACCTCCCTCGCCTGTTACAACTCTACTGTACTTCTGCATAAAAAATAACTCGAAGGGTTCCTTTCACTTCTAAACTTGCAATAGACGGTATTTAGGATGTAGTGCTAGGCTAACCACTACATACATCCTAAATAGATTTGGCGAGAAAGGAAATATTAAAGGTGCGTTACACCACCACCTGAAAAGTTAGTTTGCAGAAGTTACGAAATCAGAATTTTTTCTCTGCAGAATTCGAATCATGTGTTTCGAATTATGTAAGTATGTATTCTACGCCATTCAGGAAATTTCCCCATGTGCAATTTCCTCTTAATCTTAATTTCGAAACAATTATGCAATACATATTTATGTGATAAGGCTTATTATGTGAAATGACTTTTATGCAATAAAAATTAGGCAATATGACCGTTATGCAAAAGTACGTTATGTAAATTGACCTAGGACCGATAAGCACAACCTGCATAAAAACAACACTTGATACTGCTCGAGTGAACTGGTATTTTAAATTTGTATTCCTTTGGCGTCGAAATTACATCGAATTCAATGGAAACTCATCTCTTCCAATCAAACGCGTACTCATATGTTTACTGATCCTGCACGTCTGAATAGGATTAAATGTCAATTTTCTTCCTTGTTTCGTATGTGTCGCATACAGCACTTGACAAAATTACAAGGGGTCCAGATAAAGTTGTGTTTCGTCGTTGGGATTTTACTTTGACTTTAAATCTCGCATTTAGAACAACGAATGACCCCTAAGAGTCCCATTCCCCAGTATACCAACGACATGGGCAAAATAGCCAGTTTAGTCTAATATGTATGTATTGGGTTAGAACCTTTTGTGTTTTGAAACTTTCACTCTGGTATTTTCCAACTGCTGCATCTTTTTACAAAGTAATCGCGGAGAGAAGTATGGAAGGCAATGGCCATTTTGGCAAGGTGCCCGGCCCAGTTTTCGATTTTGCAATACCACCGTTGACTTACTTGCTGACGACTATAGCTCTCCTCTTTCTCCGGCTCGTCGGATATTGCTTAAAACGAAGCGAGGAAATGACTCAATCTGTAAAATGCATCCCATTTATATCCCCGGAAAAAGAGAACACTTTATCGGAATTCGGAATTGTAAATCCCATCCATCGGGTTCAACTTTAGAGAGAATCCGCCCATTTATATTGCTTGTTGTGGGATTTTATTGTCATTTATGGCTCTACACAAACGTATTAACCAATACTATGCATATCTTTTTGCTTAGAGTAGCCATGCTTGTATAACTTTCTTTGAATATGTGTCGGGAACAGGGATATCTTCTTATAAGTAAATACACACACACATTGTTTATTATACATATGTGGATATTGTGGTATTTCACGCTGTTATTTATGTCAAATAATGCACCCCCGCGGCCACCATGCAATATCAGCTAGAAGTAGATTCGAGTTTGAGAGAAAGCCGAATGCATCGTCAGAATGGTGAATTTAGAGCGACATTAATTTTAATGACTTTTTGTCCAACATCAACGTTATCCGGACAAACTTTCCTATTGAGATTTCGGTGCAAATATGTATATGTCGCTATACCCTGCTCCCGGCTCGAAAAGAAATGTCAAAAAAGACTGGTGATTCATTTTCAAGAACAAAAGTGCAATTCCATGTCAGTGTGGAGCTGGGAAGCAATTTTTCATAGAAACGGATCCATACATAAAAGCAGGCGTCAGAAGTCAAAATAGCACATATTTGGTTTGGTTTGAATATCTCTGATTTGAAAACAGGATCAATTCACATTTAATTATGTACGCCAGTGTTAGAGAAAATGTTATATGTATCAGCTAAAAAACTGGTAAAAACCATATGTAATTTGTACGTCTGAGATGAACTAAAACCAATAATCTGATTTTAACTAATTTGCATACGAGAAATGATGATATGTGATTTAAATGCCTCTTATTACCTCATCAAATTAAAAAAATCGGGCATAACCAATCCTACACGCGCAAATAATGTTCGTCACCACCATGCATATTATTTGTTTGATTGTGCAGCAGTTTGCAGTCTATCGTCTGGAGCAATGCTGAATGTGATTTATGTTGAAAAGAAAGGACTGAGATGAGACAGCATAGTGATACATTTCAAATTCTCTTTCACTGTCAGTACAGGATTTGCCTAGGGATCGTTGGTTGTGGGAAAGGGAGAGTTAAAAATTCATGACACTTTCAATCTCTCACTGTCGTCCTCAATTTTACATCCATTTTGCATAACTTATGTTTGTATAAAGATCCACTGCGGAAACATTGTTCTTAAAACAAAGTCCATTCTAGTCTAGAAAATGACGTTGAGAGGACAGAGTAAGAAAGAGAAAGTTAGCTTATTATTGATATTTCTTTGCACTTCCAAAGTTTAGATATGCATTTACTTACTAAAGTTTCTAAAACTTTGGGTCCTTACTTGACTCACGTATTCATTTTGTAGAAGATATATGATTGATGAATATTGCATTTTATTTATTTTAGAAACCACAATAATTCCGACATACGACACGGACACGTTGGGATACTGGGTCGTGGACTCGGAGAAAGAGTTGGCTGAGGCAAAGATCGATCTTGCGCCTTCTGCTTCACGATGCACGATCAATTTGCAGGATCATGAAACTTCTTGTGCTGCTTACAGGCTTGAGTTCTAATATGTTAAAGGTTGGCAATAAATTTTACTTGAAAATTGCATTGTATTCCTTGAATATTGACCATTTTCCTCGTATGTTTTAACCTTTACAGATGCAGAACTTGGCACATGATGATGATGATCGAGGCTAAAGCAGCAGTAAATACAGGATACCTTCTACTTCTCTACTCTTGTTAGTACTTACTTATTAACGTACATAAATGCAAATGCAATTCCCAGAGCTAATTTCCGCTGAATTGCTAATATCAATTCCTGGAGACTTGGAACTTGTGTAGAATTAGATATTTTATCCATGACGTGAAACGCAATGCGACGATATATTGCAATTGAATGACTAAATATATTTATGTGGGGACGTATGTAGCATTGGTGTATAAGACTTAACGATTCCATTCAATCTGTAATAACTCTTTCTGTGTCTTGACTTCTAACTGGAGATTTTCATTTCATTTCTATTTATTTCCTGTCTTTTCCATGTCTCGTAAATGCATAGTTCCGTCAATTCCCTAATTTTAAGAGTGTGGGTCGTCTCCTTTTGACAAAATACATAATGTCAAGCAGGGTGGATAAACGTTACCAAAACTAAGTAGGTTTTAGGTTTATGAATGTATTTAATTTTGTGGCACGTGTCATTAATTTTCTTGGATAAAGTAGAACGCCGAGAGTGTTGTACATATGCATTAGCGAGCATCAGTGCAGAGACAGATAAATAGTGACAAGACTGACACGATCATTTGTCGCCTCCACTCATCTTTTCGGATCGGGTTCAGACATGGAGTTTTAAATCACAAGAGAAGCGACTATTATACAATTAGTACCTCACACACACATAGTATATATAGACACATATACATATATATCGTTGGAATTAGGGTGTAATTATGTGTATCAAATTTATCTCAACGTTGTATGTTCACATTTGTGCATTTCAGTTCAGGCAATTAATTATTTGCTGAAGAACAAAATTATCCAATCAAATCCATAATAGTCACAGTTTTAGTTGGGCTTTAACAGGGTTCTAGGAGTAGGCGTAGTCTGCTCTAGATTGTCCTATATTATCTACATAATGCTATCTTCATAAACAATATAATATGCATATGTACAAGTATAGTAATCTATTGTTAAGGTAAGTACCACGAATGCATTTCTCATTAGATTAGGAATAAACCATCATTGATCAATCAATTATGCTAATTATGCTACAATGTTCAACGCCGGATAACAATAAGTCAAGTAATTGCCTCACTAATTTACTGCAAACATATAGAGATAAAACTGATGGTATGTGGGTGGTCGTGATCATCATCAGAACCAGAAGCTTATAAAAGTGTCGATAACATTAAAATGTTGGGGACGGTGGGTAGCGAAATGATTGACTACTGATACGCAATCGTTGTAGGTGTGTACATTTAGTTTTTATAATACGCTAGCTCGTATAATCTAACTATCACTACGATATTATTTGAATTGCAGCATCCAATCACTTTATGAAACATCAGTTGATTAAGAACAAATCCTTATACTATCCAAATATGTAATTATCCTGAGAGCTGAATAGGACGGCAACATTCGTAGGAAGAGTATTTCTAGTGTCTGCTCAATAGAAAGCCGTGATAAGAAGTAGCGATGTGGGTTTGGATGGGGCTTGATTTGACTAATTTAGTCAGGATCCTACATCGAATTTGCAATTGTGCTTATGAGACGGCAGCACCCTACATAATTCTTAATTCTTCTCATGTTGTTCTATACAACTTTAATGTTTAATACTATTTAATACTTTAATACATATATCGCATAGTCTCCCATTTTTAGTCCATGTGCACAGCTAAAAATTCGCTGCCCTGTTATGATTTCGATTTAATTTGTATTTTATAGCAGGGATGCATATAAATAAACATGTGTAAAAACTCTAAGCACTCTTCCCTTTAAGAAATAAGATAAATCCACTGATTCGTGTGGTGCTGGTTGATGCCTTCACATACTATAATTGGCCAAGTTGCAGATAATCTGTTGGGTGCGTGCCGAGAAATTGAGGTTCACTAATTATGGGATGATGATACAGCTAAAATTAAATTATCAAGCCGGTTAGGAACGACTTTTCTTTGTAATAAATAATCTCTCGTTGTCATCATTAAATAAATGCCTATCATCGGGAAAAGTGTAAATAATTAAGAAATCTAAAAATGCAACCCACGCCACTAAATGCTATCCAATTGTGAATATTGTAAATCCATCCAGTCCACACTGCTACATAATATAATTGTCAATTCTACTAATAAATGATACCCCCTCAACTTTTAATTTACAAAATGGGAGAATGTAAGACTCCATTCGTTTAAAAAAAGCGAATGGGTCATGTTTGGAGCAAAAACCAAAAAGATAGGATAGGATGAAAGCTTGTCATAGCTCTTGATACTGGAATTGAAAATGTGCGTGTAGAGTGCATAATAAAATAAGTTAACTATTGTTCCACGAGGAGTCTTAGCAGGATCACAATGAAGTCGTTTTAATTATTATTATTATTAGATATTAAAGTTGCATTAGGTAATTTTAGCTCATTCTAAAACTGTAAAGATTGATAATCTGAAAACGCTTAATATAAGGAATGGGAAATAATATAAAAATCATCGCTACAAAGCCTTGTCGCGGCTGGCGGTTGATAAATAGCCAACATCTCGGAGATTTTAACTTTGTTAGCTGTATTACGTATTCTAAAGTCGTTTCATTTTAACAACCACGAGTACTTTTTTAATGAATAAGAGAATCGAACGAAATGTCAGTCTGGAGTTTCGTCCATTGACGAATAATTAAAGATTTAAAGACTTTGGGTGTCCCAAGGAAAGTCGAGTGTGCTGTTGTCAACTTGTACATACATTTATTATGAGTAGTATATAATTAATAAAATCTTCTTCTCATAGTTGGGATTACACTTATTAAGAAAATTACTGAAGCAAGTATGCAAGTGGGTGGGTGGTTGGTTGGAAGAATTATGAAACCACTTCTGGTAGGAAAATCGCTGTTAATGAAGGGTTGGAATTTTCCAAACAGAATTTCAGAGAAAAATTCAAGGATAAAAGTTAAACGTGAACTGTGGCTCTTATGTAAAAATGGACTGTTATTATATTTAATTTTTAAAGAAAATAGAAAATATATCTTCCTCCAGGAGTGTCATTATGAAGCCAGCAGGATAGAGTGGGGTAGTAGGTTAAGCTGGCAATATTGGTGTAATGCCAGGGATGAAGGTTCGTGATCTGATACGACGAATTGACTGCTATGATCGGCTAGTTCTGCAGTAAGTACATGAGAAAAGCAAACGTTTAATCATCTATAGTAAAAAAAAACATTAGGCGTTTAAAATTTGAAGTGCGTCATAAAACTGGACCCCTTCCTAATAAATAAAACTTTAATCAGCGTCGCATATAAATACACTAATCTTTCTTGTCATATATTTCACGCATCATTGAAAGAAAAGTACGAGGTGCATGAATGCATTGCATCGCTGACCGACTTGCGCTAGGTAGCTGGTATTCACCAACATTGATAAATGCAAAGTACTTATCATCATCTGAAAGTGTGCTTACTCAAAACTAAGTAGTAGCCGATAGTTTGCGTAACTGAACACCAGCCTGCTACGATTGCTGCTAAAACATTATTCACATTTCAGAAACAGAGAATGTAGACGATAGATTAATAGGAAAGAGAACAATTAACTAACGATATTAATTAATTAATTAACCTACGCTATCGTTCCACCCTCGAAAACTACTGTCGTTAAATCAATTGCTAAACTTTTAAAGAGGTAGAAATCTAATGAAATCTTCCGCTTTGTGAAAGCCTTCATTACAAGTTTACTAATTTATGACTAAAAAACAGTTCCTATCATTTTGTCAAAACAACGTAATTTATTGCTGAAGATAAAGTAATTAGACGATTTGTGCTTATTTTACAATATATTTTATGAATACATGTTTTCCATTTTGTGTTAAATCTTATAGTTTAATTGCATTCGTATTAAAGATCACATTTTTTCCCTTTTCAGATAAAATACATTATGTAGAAGCATTTACATTACTGTGCATTACATTACTGTGCTTTAAATGGCTATAGATTAAATGAAATAAATAAAAACTATGTTAATAAATTACTGTGTACATGTGGTTCTAATTATTGCATCAACTATCCTACGAGTAATTGCTAACAAATAAAATCCTACAAAAAACGGACTAGAATCACACAATAATTTTTCACCACTGTCCGAAACTTCATGAACTCCTTCCTCTTGAATCAGTGGATTATATAATAAGTATGTATATCATTAAATACCCATACTTTTGTCAGTAAGTAATTCCAAAAAATCGTTATATGTGGAATGGAACGGACGGGCAGACATTCCCAAAAAATAGGTCGCACCACTAATATACAGATGTAGTCGTTTTGTAGGTAAATATGGTTCTGATGCGTCTAATCCTAATCACAGGCTTGCTCAATTTCTACTGTTTGATCAGACCCATAAGTTTTACAAGCTAAGCTAAACATAACATAATTAAGAAAGACGTTGAACATGCAAATTTGTGCAGCTAAATATTTAGTGTCTAATTGTCAAGGACATAGCTGCCAACCCCTGGCATTTTAGTGAAGAAAGGAATCTGGTTTTCCTTGACTCTGTAATGATGCAGCCATTTCTCTCCTTTGGTCGGACTGCCATCCATTTCATTCCTCCAGATCCCCTTTGGGAGGTAAATATCCCGTTCTACTTCGCCCGGGCGTATCACAGGAGCGACAATAATATCCTCTCCAATACTGAACTCATCTGAAATTTTAAGACAAGTGGCGTCCGTAGGGTCAATCATCCAGAGTGGTCTAAGATGAGTTAAAAAAATAATTTCATGTCTTGCAATTCTGTCATTAATTAGATTTTCAATTTTCCTTAGTCTTCTGCATACCGAATAACTGGCAAACCAGTCGTCAAAGACTGATCAATCGCTTTCTTAATGTACGGGTACAATTTATTCTTGCGAGTGAAATACATATTTGTTGCAATATCCACAACTTTTTGATCGTAATCGCTGGGGAGGAAGGAATATTGGACAACGGGAAGAAAATGTACCAATTCCAACCAACGGCTAAAAATTAGAAATAAATATTCGTACTTATTTGAATTACAGATGTATATAGTTGTATAAATGTACATGTATAAATCGCGGTCAGGTACACGGAATGACCCTTCGCTACTCATCCGGTAACTAGCGTTAGATTTGCCTACTGGCCAGAAGTCACCTCCAATAGCACCTGATGAGTCAAGTTCCTGATTATTTGACTTGATATGCCCAGTGTCTTTAGTTCTAATCATTAATAAAATACCTGGAATGATGAATGGGTATCCTGCCACGCCCATTGTTAAAATATTGGGTATCACAGATTGCAATCCTTCCCAAGAACTTTCTGTTGGTGACAATTAATACCCCAAAGATTTTATGTACTATAGGTTTTACATATATACTCCGTCTTACTCCACATTTGAAGTAGTATATTCATGCACTTGTAAAATCAGAGATTTAGTAATTTTCACAAACCTGTTGGACTCAAGGATACAAAAGTGGGAAGCTTTGGTAACTTTACAGCGCTTGAAACTACAATGGTACGCACATGTTGAATGGGTCGCAAAGCTTTAAGAAATAGGTCCTTGTAGTAATCCGAGCTAGACAGCGGTTTAGAAAACTCGTAGAATTTGGGGAGATCTAAAGTGTCCAATTATTTTACAATTGTTTTACGTGGTGCCTTACTGCCTTGTTGCATTGAATTATAAACTCGTCTTTGCCTTACCGTATGTGGTTCCAAGGTCAACATAAAGGGCATCAATTCGATACTTATCAACCACAGCCGAGACTTTTTTCTCTAACCATTGCTGGGCTGATGATTTTGTACAATCCAGGACTGCAACACTAGTCCAATTCTTATACTGGGTAAGCGCTGGTACTTTTTTCTTATCTAAGGTTCGATGACGCATGAAACCATGTTATTAGTTAATTAACACCCGGTAATTATTTCATCGTTAGTATTTGAACAAAAAATACCCGAATTCTTCTCTGCTAACCAAATCTCATCGTCGTTATCACCCGCGTACAATCCTTCTTCGTAATTTCGGGACTGGGTGCTGAAAAATGGTTGAATTGTCAATGCAACTTTGAAACCTGAAATTTTAGAATACTTTAGATACATTTTTATTGAAAAACAACGAATACGATATCTTCTGCATAGCAAACTCTAGGTAAATACGACGCCAAACCAATGGCGTATAAATGGATTTGAGACAAAAACCAAGCCACGTCATTATGTTGCGTCTTTTCTTAAACTACGTGGAAGAGGCATATTTGACCTTTTCTTCTTCAATGCCAATCCTCCGGCACAGACAGTACCCCAAAATAATTTCTAGTTATCCTTATATAAAACGTACCTCGTCTTCGAGTTATATTCAGCGTTTCGTCCCTGAAAATGGTACATTATAGAATACTTTAGTTTTTGATGAAAAAAGTAGGGATTGAGATATCCCAGCAAACGTAGTAATTAGTAATGTCCCACTGCGTCCCCTCAAAACTAGATGTAGTATGAATTAAGCATTTACATTGTGGGGAATCTTGTGAGGTCCATAGCCAAGTCTCCAATCCTCTGCTGCCAACTTTCGTCAAATAGAATATATCCTTCAGAAAGGTGAAGGGATGCAATACGATCCGTGTAGTTCAGAAGAGCTGCCTCGCTAAAATGCCCGTGGTTTATCGTTTCTGGCAAAATTCTCCAAATTGGAGACTGTGCTAAGAGTCGAGCCACTTGAAGATCTTCGTGCTAAATTAATTCGGTTATAATAATATTTCATACATAGTTTCATGTAGCTTACATACTTAAAAGCATATGTCGTTGATTTGTTGTATTACCTTTAATCCGTCCCAGATGTCCTTATCTGCCAAAAGTTCCGCAGTTTCTAGTGCGTTTTCTCCAGTACAAATGGTGTAATTCAGATGTAGTGGACGAGTAGGTCCATTTTGCCTATTTCTTTGCCCGTTTTCTTGTGGGTCGTTCCCATATCCCTCAAATCGTGATCCCAAGCACAACTTCCGGTCTCCGTCCTCATTTATGGACACATGGAGAGGAGTGTCTTCGGTAATTTGAATTGCTGCTCCATCGGAATTAATCTGACATAAAATAAAATACACATGCATACAAAAAACACTTAAGTATGTAAGATACATACAAATACGCCACCGCGAGCTTAAAATAAATGCACAAATTTTCTCACAAAGAATCGTCCAAGTGTTCTGCCCCATTGGAAGTGCGTATCAGATTCTGTTAAGAATTGTAGACTTTAAAATTATTGCAAAAAAAGTCAGATAATATGAAATGTCTTTTCTCAATTACCACTGGTCATTCTGTTGCCCGTGATGAAAGGTGAGTACGGGACGCTGGTTTTATTTAATGGCCAGTGATCAGAACCAGGAATTTCTCCACCGCCATAAAAGTGTCCACCGCCTCGTTCACCCAACGAGTAACAGTCTTTTAGTTTGAAATCCGGATTTATTGCTTCCCAGTATATTTCATAACAGCGGAGACTGCTAGCACGACCTTCAGGAGCAGCCGTTGAGTCGTTGGGAGCTGCTGAAAATCCCGTGTCCATTAAATTTTGATGCTTAATTCGAAAGTAGAGACGAGCTTTGTTCATCCATTCCAAACACGTATGTCCAGGTTTCTCATCCTGCTTGAGACAAGGCCATGCTTTATCCTTTTTCGCAAGATTGGCCCCTAAAATGCCGGTCAAAATATCTTTGCCTTTCTCGTTGGAGACACGAATCCTCCGATCTTTATGTGAAAAACGAATTCTATCAAAGTAGGATTTCTAGAAAAAAATAAGTAGTTCAGAAATGGTGAGCAATGCATTATTCAAAGCTGCATCAATTGTGCATATCCATATCTTAACCATACTTGCAGTTCCTTTTCTTGATGAATCACATAGATTGAACCCACGAGCAGGATTATTGTTAAAAATAAAATGGCTACAAAAACTTGCAGTTTGTACTCTTTAGGTTTCCTCTTGTGGAAAATTTTTGGAATAGGAACCTAGAAATTAAACATTTGATAACAACGAATAATTGTACGATATCTGGGCATAAATGAGAGATTAGCTTGAATAATGCAATGGAAATTACGGAATTTAATTTGTCTTTGAATATTTTTGTAAATTTATTGCCCCCGTTCTGTTGCACAGGCGAGTCCCCTTTATTATCCACGTCTTCATCTGTCGTGTCTCCATCGGGATCGGACTTGAGAAAATTTGAGTCGGCTATCTTCAAAGGAATAATTCCCGAATTTCGTCTAGTAGCGAGGGGTTTTCTGTAAATGTGAAGATCAGTATTGTTTCGTGTAACTTAATTAAAGGTTACAAATTACGAACTGACGTACTCCTCATCAACTTTATCTAAGGGTCGAATTTCCTTAGTTGAACCCATATTTCAAAAATGTTTCATTCTCAGAACTGACACGGCAAATATCTAATGTAATGGCAGCTTAAAACAATAATGTTCCTTACACGTATCTATTTACTCTTATGCTCAATTGCTCACTTTTTGCTCAATTATCAAAGTACTTTGCAGTGTAATTTAGATTTGCTTTTTTTAGAAAAATGCCATGCAGTCGGCATGCTTTCCTCCTCGCCTCCAGTTTATTAAATCCAAAGTCCCACGAGGGAAACAATAAGAGTTATCAGTATCGAATTTGATGGCGTGTGACTAGTACGTAATAAAGATATGACAAGCACAGTAGTGGCCCAGCTGAACGCTGATATACATAAATAATTGCCATGATAAATTAACAAACAGCTTAATCACCCTTTTTACAGCCGTCGTCATTAATGAATGCACTTAAATGTGCAATAATTTCTCTTCTGTGGTTCAAATTATGGAATGACGTACATTCAGAGCAAATTATGGGTACAAAATATTTTGAAGAATGTTTTGGTGCCGTACACTTTGTGCATGTCACAAATCATCAAATGTTCACTCACAAGCAGATTTCCGTGTCATCGTCTAGTTCTCCTTTCTTCTTGGTCTTCTTGGTGCTTCTTCCCTTCGGGTCGAGAGATATGCCAACTCGCACTCTCCCGGACGGTACGGGATGTGAGGACACAGGACTTTCGGTCTCACTCATGTCCAAGTCACTAATTTCCTCTGATTCCGAGTGCACGGGTTCATAATTTAGCCCACTTTTGCTTGGACCCGTCACCTGCCCGATCCGCCTTCTTGCTGGGGGCAGAGGGCTGGGACAGGCGTCCGGAACCCGAATGCCCCCCGCCTCAACCAAATCATCGAAGGACGAATTGATCGGGGGCTTCGTTTGCTGGATTGGAGGAAGAATAGAAAAAATACGTGTACAAATCTTTGTGAGCAATTATCATGCCAATTTTAAGAAATCAACAAATTCCACAGGTCACTTAGTAAATCATAAGAACGATACATATTCCTACACAAACCTTAGTGAGGTCAGAGGCAGACATTAGATTGAGGTTTCAACAGTAAGAGTGAAAATATTTACAAACGCACACAAGTTTTTCCCAAGGAATGAATTCAACATAAACAATTATTTATAATTACATTGTAAAATATTTCACGCACAACTAGAAATTATACACATCAACATTACGGTCACAACGTACAAATATTTATACGAATGCTATAAATTTATCACACGGAACAGAGATTAATTATTTACTACGTGTATTGACTATTACATTTCTCATTAGCAAGACGCGATTCATTATTCCCCGAGATGTAGATATTTTTGTCACTGGAGAATTCGGTTCGTGTTACGGAATATCCATTATTGAGTTCGGAAGAAGTGACTGCAAAAATATTAAGATACAATTTTCCTCGACTTGTGTTAATAGGTAAATAAATTATATTAAGGAAGAGATCTCTGCTGGAATATAGCAGTGAATACATACACATCGAATCATGTACAAAAGGCGTTAGGACATGGTTTTGACGAATTCATACCTTAATTGCGGGATGGTTTTTAGTTGTAGAGATTTCTAACATTTTTTATGTGAAAGCCCATGTCTCAAACTATAGGTAAGCATATCTGGCTCCCGATTTTGTGTACTCTACGAAATGAGGCAAGGTTAAATTTGGAGAGGTGTCCTTTTTTAGTTTTCCAAACCAGTGTTCTTATAAAATGGCGTTGAACAAAATATTGTTTTCTGAGGTCCTGGTGCAAAAATCGTCTTTGCGACTATTATCAAGGGACTTAGCATGCTTTTCACTATATAAAACCACTTTTGTATCATGCTTATCTTTTAAGTCCCTTTTGTAGTCTAGCTTCCTACTTGTCCTAATGGAATGCTCTCGTGAACGCATCTCCTCGACTTTTAAGGCCCCCACATTTTAGGACTTTGATGCTAAAAATCCCTAACGTGGTTTTTATCCAAGGTACATATAGTATATTGCACTGTAAGTACTTTTGATAAAATTCTGATAAGTGGTTACACCCCAGGAAATGGGATTCCATCAAACCCTATAAATTTTTTACAAAAGTTCTCCTCAAAATTGAAGCGGAACTTTAAATTTTTTTTAACTAATCAAAACACAGTAATTTTATTATTTTGTCACTTGTACCTTGTAGGTAAAATAGTTCTTCAGCAGGAGACACAAAAAAGTTATTAAAATTTGTTTCCAACAAAATTTGACCATTAATTTCCCAAATTAGTTCACGAGTTTTTTATGATTCCCCGTCAGCTGATTAGCTAGGGTCCTTCTTCAAAACTGTTTACCCAAAATCTTCACTGCTTAATTTAATATTACTTAGGACACTTTGAGCTTTGCCCTCAATCTTCATTTGACCCAGTCGGTCCGTTTTCAAGGTCAGCAGGTCAATTTCCCGGTGCACGGTCCGATTGATCACTTTTCATGGAAAAGTATCAGCGACGATGGAGGCCTAACGTTATGTAATTCATTGTGGATTCTTTTATTATTTCATGCAATGATTATCTAGGGTTGTAATATTAACAATTATTCACCTCTGACCTCTTAGGTTATCATGCTATATGAGTAATTCAGTTTGGAAAGTGTTTTTTTGGCTCCTTCCAACTCTGGGGGCACTGGAGGGGGCATTTATAAAGCTATCGGCCTAAAATTTTAAATATATCTTTTTGAGAGTATTATCTTGCAACTGACCAAAAATCAGTTCAAAATTCAACTCCTCGCCAGAGATATTCACCCGCGAATTCGTCAAAACCATGTCCTAACGCCTTTTGTAACTTAACACGTCAAAGCCATATGAGGTTTGCTCTTCTTGCAGACTGCAATGCATATTGCCTGAATTGTTTCAGCGTGCAGAATAACTACGCGAGTTCACTGCTATTACATTCAAATCAGTCTTAACGATAATAAAAAAACAGGCATGAAATAGTCCAAACATGAAATGGCAGTATATTCCTTTGTATTACAGACGAAATGTGGAGAGTTGAATACGCACGCACAAAGTCATCGTCAGCTTCAGGATTATTATTCAGCGAAACATACACTGGACAACATATCCAATTAACTTGTTGTTGAATGGCATTAGTTTATTCATACATTTGTAGTTACACACATAGACGATGGATGTGCAGTTCTTATTAAATACATGGGGTGAACACTTCGATTCAACAAACTAAAAAATTGTTATGGTCAACCAGTCCACTGAAAATTCACTGTTTTGCAGAGGCCTATAGAATCACAAGTCGCGTGGATAGTTTCACCTTTTTGTCAATGCCACTAACAAAAAATTCACTTGTGTAGTTACTGCAGCTGGATAGCATCATCTTCTCTGAGCAAATGAGTTTGATGTAGATAGTTCCCGATGGATCTTGATAATACCGGTTTTATTTCTTCTATTAAATAATCCTCGCTATTGTGTGCCACTTTTTACACTCGCATAAATTCTAAGATTAATATCACCAAAGCACAAATTGTGTTTATTACACATTTACAAATATAATGCGTCCATATGAAATTATGTTGTAAACTTTTAGAGTCCTTTACATACCTGTATTTACTCGTTTCTGAAGTAAATACGTGTTATGCATGTTTCTAGTAAAGGTAGGTACAATTACTAATAATTATATTAGTTAATAATGGGCAACAAACGCGCAAACTACGAAAAATATTGCAGTGACAAATTATTGTAAAATCCCCATGATACTTCTTATCACACATGAAGTGAGGTGACAATCCACCACAGATACTCAAGTGAAGATAACTCTAATCATTCGATATCACACCATTCGTGTGAAAACACTGAAACGTTAGATGGACTACATGTTTGTAGTTCAGCAGTGGAAATCCATAGTACTTTTTTCATATGGAATGTGAGGAATTTTCATGAACCCTGAATTCCTGCTACATAACTTTTATACTATGCTTGCGTCACTTTATACAAATTTGCAAAATACGTAAGATTATTATGACCATGAAAAAGGACCAAGATTTGTACAGAAAACAAGATTCGTCGATATTTTGAACAATTTTACATTTGTAGCTATTGGCTTACCCAGCTGTGCTCTGCAATTTTGAGAAGCAGCTGCAGGTCAAGTCCTTGGGGCATAGAAATGGAGTTTCGTCGACCATCCCTCGACAACATTTCCGAGAGTGGGGGTTGAGCCTCGCCATCGTCTTCCATGCTTTTCAGTTTTTCAAAGACGCACTATAACTAATGATAAAATAACAGGAAACTTTCACTCTGACGTATCTAACAACTGGTAATTTACAACTTTTCGTTCGCATTTATCAACATTTATGCACATTAGATTTTTTTGTGACTTTGCTAATTAAGATCGAAATACGCATTCAATAAGATACACTTTCTAACGTCGTCGAACTTTTTATTTCTTAAGTGAAATAATTCAAGTAATTTGACAAGACACCAATCGTCGTAATGTGTGTGATGTATTCGAGTCGATATCTAAAGATAAGTAAATATCTAAATGCCAATTGTGTGAGAATACCATCCGACACTGTTTCATAATTTAAACAAACGTGAAAATTGGACAATAATTGCAAATTGGCCGTGAAATGGATAAGGAAACTCTAAATGTGTACAAGAGCAGTAACCTGCTCCCTTGTCGCAACGCACATGCATAGAAACAATAATTGTATGAATTTTAACAGGTAGGTTTCTTTTAAGCAAAAAGCCCTGAGGTATGTATCTCATATATATTCGTGATATTAAATTAACGCTCGACTCGTCTGACAGTTGGGTGTGCAAATATTCCATGGACGGAATGCGAAACTTTTTGTCTACTATATTCAATGTGTGTTACTCTCATTATCCGGTTTAACAATTACCTGTACCTCAAATCACAACACATATCACACCCAGGTACACTGGCCTACGTTTGTTGCTCGTGGAGTTTTTTAGTCCGAAAGAATACTAAATAGGACACGACTTGCATTTGTTATGTATCTGCTTATAATGTTGAGCGAAAGATATGGTAAGATCTGTCCCTCAATATCTTAACAAGACTTGTGCAATAATGGTAAACATGCATGTGCTTCTAGACAAATTCGACTTATTATGCTGACAATACCACCTTTAGAATAATTATGCTCATGCTTATGATAACTTGTCGTCACAATTAATGATGCGTCTACGCTCAACCTGTATAAGAATGATGCTCCATGGATGAGCAAGTTGAGCGTTCAGTTTATGAATATTTATGAATAATAAATCGCATTATTCCGAAGCTGAATATTATGGATCGAGCAACTGTTGTAATAAAATTAGTATATTTTTCCCGTATATACTATATAATAGCATAAAACAACTTTCATGTCATCTCGTGTGTTGGTGAAAAATTTGTGAAAACTATGCATTTGTATTTAATAATTAATGATAATGACGGAAATCTGGATCGTGTTTGATCATTTCGTCGTTTCAGCTGAACTAGTCACATGTTCACCCCGATGAAGGGTTTCCAGAGAGGGTGGAGACTTTGGGCTTCCGTGACCTTCTTCACGATGGTGCTGGAAATGAGATGCCACGTGCGGTGTTCCTCGTCTCAGGGCACGTTTCGTCTCCTTTTTCGGCCCGGCTCCCCCCCGGACTTCATCGTTCAGAGGCACCACGACACGACTCACCCTGCTCTGGCCGAATCGTAATTTATGCTGGTTCTTTTTCAACTTAAACGTGCGAGGAGGAACGGCAACACTTTTGCGAACGTCTGAAGGATGATCATCAGAAGTAGGGGTTGGCCTGTTACGTTTTTAATGACCAATGTTAAATTAGCTTCAATGTTGCACTTAAAAATAATTCAGTATGTAAATAAACTTGAAAGTATGGACGTCGTAAGTTCTTGGCCGTTTTGTTTTCTCTCCTGAAGCTCTGTTGTTATTCCATGCTTGCACATGCTTTGTGGCCGAATGTGGGGCTCGCCTTGACACGACTCCCATGTCATCAACCGAGTCCATGAAGTCGGAGGGCGGAGCTGGCACCATTTCTGGAGGAAATATTTGACCACTCAATCCCCCTGCACAGTTTGTAATATATTTACAGATAAATTTTACAAATGCCTACATAAATACGTATGTGCATATCCACATAAGTCGAATTAATCATAAAATGTGTAGTATGCATCTGCATATGTTATATTATTATAAGTGAATCACCTTCGCTGAGTGGGACGGAAGATTTCCTTACGAGCTCGATGAGATCCTTTACTTGGCATTCAGATGGGGAACAATTTCTTGGGTCATTGTACCCACGCCCAGTTGTGGCTCGATTGCCCTTTACTTTCTTTAACTTTCTTTTTGCAAAGGAGTCTCCAGGTCCAGACTTGTCCAGGCTCAGAGACTGATTTTGATCTCCAGTGGCTGCAGGTTGGCCACATAGCTGACAGCGTTGACCGAAATTAGACTTGCATACGTGAGGTCTTTATAAAAATTAACTAATATGTCATATGGTATGAATTGAATAGAATATTAAATTTATTTATAAACCACAATCCAAATATGTGCTAAAGTACATACGTGTAAAATCTACGAAAATCGGGTTCCGGAGGTCTTCCCAGCTCTTTATTCCTTTCCTTTAAGTACTGGGGAATTTTTCCATAATCTAATTTATTTACGTAGATACAGGCCAGCCCGGAAGGACAGTATTTGTGTCTTGTTCCTATTGTGTCATCCACGTAAATGGGAGTTGGTCTTCTTGGTGGAAGGGTACATGCACGTCGAGCGTTGAAATACACATAGTCGTACTTGTCCAAGTCCAGGGGAGGCCGAGTTGAAGGTCTGGTAACTGGTCTTTTCGGTTCCTGAATAATCACAGGGAAAGAAGGCAATGGTGCTTTCTTTGGAACTGGAGCTGGTTTTCGGTGTTCTATTTTTCTTTGTGGGGCCGCTGGTGTTGGTGGTTGAGGAGATGGGATAGTTGGGGTTACACCTTTAGGTTTTGGGGATGGTGGTGGGGAATCGAATTCTACTTCCGTGCCTGGTGGAGACTCCAAGTTTTTAGGCAGTTTTTTCTTTCTCCTTTCCGAGTAGAAACGGGACGGGTCTTCGACATACGGATCTCCAAAATAGTAAGGGTCTCCGTGGTCCAACGAATGGACGGATTTTCTTTTGCTTAAGCTTTTCTCTACGTCTGATGGGAAATCTTGGCCTGTGTGAACTTTATCTGAAGTCAGCTCCTCGTGATATTCTTTGACTTCTCCCGTTGGATCACGCCATACCTCTAAGCGAGCCAACATTGCTTCACCTGGTTGTCCTTTTCCCCCAAGTTTCACTGGGACACCGTGCTTTGATACTCCAAACCTGCATATTTATTTGTGACCCAATTCTAGTTACCAAGTTTAAATATTTATGAACAATTTCCAAATTCATGGGTTTAATGTTTGTGCTTACCGATGATCCACATCGTCCTTTCTCTTTTCTCTCCACCGTGATTGGAGATTTCCTCTATCCGCTTGGCGTTGTTTGATTTGATGTGTGTCGATCCACTTGGATTTGTAAGATTTTTCTGTGGTCAACCAGTGAGATGCTGTTTCGTTGGCTGCAATCTGCCATTCTGCGCCATGGTGGAAGTATCGTGGGAAGAAGAACTGTTTACTTTCGCCAGGCCGTTCTTTTTTAGCAAAGTCCGGTTTACCTTTAGTGAATTAGTTATTAGTACGAGGACACAAACATTCCATATTATTTTCCTCAACCCAGACTATGCCCTTGGATAAATCAATACCATATTTCTTGGGATTTTTCCATCGCTTCAGCTCCAACTCTGGGTCAGTGATGTCTGCATGTTTTTTGACACCATTCTCGTTACTGTCAGCGTCCTGCTCCTTTTTGGACGGGGCAGGATCATTTTCTGGTTCCTGGTCTCCAGCTACTGGTCCAAGGTTTTGCCCTTTATTTGTATCATTTTTAGGCTTTCCCTTAACATTACTAACTGTCTGTGTCTTCGTTTTATTTCCAACGTCCACTTTTCTTGAGCCGTGCATTGCTTACGACATGTCGGTTAAACATATTACATTCATTCTTTTTATTTATTAATGCAAAAGAAAACTAAAGCTCTTATTTAAACAAAAATTTGCATTTATTAGTTAAACAAATAGTCATCCATTTAGCATTTTATACGTATTCACGATTGCTTGACTTTTAGTGCCTAGTTACCCTTAACGGTTGCGACAAATGGTCGAGTTACAAATAAAATAATTATTTTTAAAATCTTTGGTTCTTCTCCCATAGGCGACAGAACCAACTACTTTGACCTTTAATAACTTTTGAACGGGCAGACATAGAGACTTAATTCATTAGGATGAAATCATCCTAATTTTTAGCTTGATTTTTTAAGCTGAAAATCTCGAGGGTACTATTTCGAATAGTAAACTTGAAATCTCCAGCCTTTATGTAGCCCGAGTCAGACTGCGGTTATTGGTCAAACCAAACATTTTCAATGAAATTTTATTGTACCAAATGCATTTAAACTTGTGGGGTGCATATCTTTTTTAAATCTGTTCAGCCATTTTGTCTATCGTGTTCCGGAAGGACATATGGTTCGATAAGAACTGACTGAGGCTAAAAAGAAAGCAACTTTGCGGGGCCTTTTAAGATTGCATTATTCACTGATTCTAAGAGCAGGACTCGTAACGAACATGTGCATAAAATTTATTTTTGGCATAAACCATTACAAAACACGAACTTAATAAACTCTGAAATTTTTTCCTATTTTAATTCATATTGTTACATTAGGAGCCATTACCAACTTTTCTATCAAATTTCTGCTCGATATGACGAATTTGAAAAATTGGTATGGGTCATCCCATAGGGTCTGCCCAGATGAAAATTTTTACAATTTTACTTTAAAGTTTTTCAGTAGAAACCATTATCGACCTCTGTACCGAATTTCACCTTTCTACGACGATTTTGCAATTTCTATACATAATACCCGACAAACTTATATGACCCCCACCGGTCAACCACTTGTTTCGCTTATCTTTGAACTTAACTCCTCATTTGACCCATACTACATGCGTGCAAAATTTCAACTCAATCGGATTAGTTTTACAACAGTTATCGCAAGACGGACAGACGGACGTGACGAGTACATAAGCCCTGACTCGGGCTGCACACTGGAGATTTTAAGTTTACTATTCGAAATAGTACCTTCTAGATTTTCAGCTTAAAAAATCAAGCTAAAAATTACGATGATTTCATCCTAAATAATTAAGTCTCTATGTCTGCCCATTCAAAAGTTATTAAGGGTCAAAGTAGTTGGAGACTCAAACGCCGTTTTTGAACCAACGATTTAAAAATGAATGTTTTATTTGTAACTCGACCATTTGTCGCAACCGTTAAGGGAGACGCGTTACCTAGATACTTAAGGTCAAGCAATCGTGATACGTATTCTGTCACGATTGCTTGACTTTAAGTATCTAGGTAACGTTAGTCTCCCTTAACGGTTGCGACAAATGGTCGAGTTACAAATAAAAAATTCATTTTAAAATCCTTGGTTCAAAAAGGGCGTTTGAGTCTCCAACTACTTTGACCCTTAATAACTTTTGAATAGGCAGACATAGAGACTTAATTCATGAGGATGAAATCATCGTAATTTTTAGCTTGATTTTTTAAGCTAAAAATCTCGAGGGTATTATTTCGAAAATTAAACTTGAAATCTCCAGTGAGCCCGAGTCAGACTCGGTGGTTGTCGGTTAAACCAACCATTTTCCATGAAATTGTAATGTACCAAATGCATTTAAACTTGTGGAGTGACATATTTTTGAAAAATCTGTATGGATCAAGCCCTACGGTCTCACCCGTTCTGAAAATTTCAGCTAAATCGGTTCAGCCATTTTGGCTATCGTGTTCCGGAAGGACATGATGGTTCCATAAGAACTGACTTAGGCTAAAAAGGCAACAATTTTGCAGAGCCTTGTAAGATGGCATTATTCTGAGAGCAGGACTCGTAATGAACGATGTGCATATAATTTTGTGATTTATTTTTAGTGCTCTAAGCGGGATCATCTTTTGTCTGTTCTTTTAAGACTTGAATACATTAGATTAGGGGTTTTTCTTTTATTGTTAGCGTTATTGAGAAAAGGAGACTTTTTTTATTCTTTAATTTATATTACTTTTACAGCATGTGAGGGTGCTCTAGGTCTTTCTATTTTAGTGATGATAAAACGGACGCATGGAGGTGATTATTTTAAGTCTTTTAATTTTTTTTAAAATTTATGATAGTAAATTTATTTTTTATCTTTTTATTTATAGGGTTTTTAAAGAAGTTTAAATTAAATTTAATTTATGTGTTAACATTTATTTCTGTTTATTTAGTAATTTATACATTAGTGGGTCAGCCAGAAACGTTTTACTTAGACTCTTTATTTTACTATGACGGGGTTAGATTTATTTTAGTGTCTCTAAGAGTTTGGGTTAGAATTTTAATAATTTTTTCTAGATATAAAATTTTTCGTTTCAGGGAGCATACTTTTTATTTTTATAGTTTTGTTTTTTTATTACTATTTATTTTACTATTGACTTTTTTTTCGGGTAATTTATTATTATTATTTTTTTTTTTTGAGGTTTCTCTAATCCCGACACTTTTAATTATTATGGGTTGGGGCTACCAACCTGAGCGTGTTCAAGCAGGGATGTATTTTTTATTTTACACGCTCACAGCGTCGTTACCTTTACTTTTATTAATTATGTACTTATACATAATTGGAGGTGGTGTTTCTTTATTTTATAAGGAGTTATTTTTTTATCCAATGTCTTGCGGACCAAGGTTGAGTGGAGTTTTTAGGGGGGCAAGGATTTATTTACAAATCTAAGTTTATTTCTTCCAAGGCAGACGTATTAAATTCCGTAAGAATGAAATTCTTCATATTTAGTTTCTTTATGGGTGGGTTGGTTTTATTTTTTAGCTTAGTTTAGATTTTTATAGCTTATATAAAAGAGCACTACGTTGAAGTTGTAGGGGAGGACTGAGTCTTGAAAATATATCCCATAAAAATATATTTATTTATTTAAACATTGAAAATGTTTTGTTTTTAATTAAACTAAAATAGAAAAAAGAAAATAACGGAGTTTAACCGTTAAAATTTTAAGTTAGCGGCTTAAATTTGGCTCCCTTTTCTTATTAAAGAGGCTGAGTACCTAATAGCCATTAACAGTGGCTCGCCGCTTCTTTGGCTTCCTTTAAAATAAGGGGAGGACCCAAATTTTTCAGGTCGAAACTGACCGCGATTTTTCGCTTCTTACTAGTGTAAGATAGACTTTCACAGTACTTTCTGAATGCAACCCAGATGTTATTTTTAACTACAATCCTCTATTTTATTAATATATAATATTATTTTCAGTCTAAAGCTCCTTGGCCCCACTCATGTAGAAGTCCCATTAAAAGAATTAAGATGAAGAATGTTAATAGAGTTAGAGTGTGGGCTCAATTTATTGATGTGAGAATAACTGGCAGGGGGATGATTAGAGTAATTTCTACATCAAAAATTAAGAATACCACTGCGATTAAATAGAACCGGAGAGAAAAAGGAAGTCGTGAGGATCTTTTGGGGTCGAATCCACATTCGAATGCTGAGGGTTTTTCTCGTTCTTGTGTATTTTTTTTGCAATAAAAGAGTTTAATAAAATTAAAATTGAGGGTAGCCCGAATGAGATAATAAATACTATTAAAATTATACCTATCGAATAAATTGAACCTTCTAATTGGAAGTTAGGTGTACTTTTTATACTATAAATATACTTTAACCTCCTCATCAGTAGATACTTATATAAAGAAAAAGTCACACCACATCAACAAAATGTCAGTATCAAGCAGCTGCTTCAAAACCAAAATGGTGGTTTCTTGAGAAGTGATTTTTTATATGTCGTGAGAGACACACAATAAGAAATGTTGTGCCAATAATTACGTGGATTCCATGAAATCCTGTTGCTATAAAAAAAGTTGACCCATAGGCTGAGTCTGAGATTGTAAAAGGTGCTTCTCAGTATTCAAGAGCTTGAAGTGAAGTAAAATATACACCTAAGGTGACTGTTAATAGTAGTCCTAAGAATGCTTGGGAAAAATTATTTTCTATAATTCTGTGGTGGGCTCAAGTTACTGTTACGCCTGAACCAAGAAGAATAATAGTATTTAAGAGGGGGACTTGGAATGGATTAAAGGGAAGTACCCCCCTAGGGGGTCATATTAAACCGATTTCTATAGAAGGGGCAAGACTTCTATGGAAGAATGCTCAGAAAAACGAGAAAAAAAATAATACTTCAGATGTAATAAATAAAATTATGCCTCAGCGCAATCCTTTGTCTACAATTGAAGTGTGGAGTCCTTGAAAGGTCCCTTCTCGTCTGATGTCACGTCATCATTGAATGCAAGTTAGGGCTATAATTATTATACCGAATAAAAATAAATTTATATTTATTTCTTGGAATCATTTTACAATGCCTGTAGTTAAAATGAAAGCGCCCGTGGCCCCAGTAAGGGGCCACGGACTTAGGTCTACTAAGTGGAATGAGTGGTCTCTCTTTACTATCATTATTTATTTAGTGGGATGTGATTTCTCTAGCGTATAGTGTTGATAACACCGCAAAAACGTAAGATTGAATTATAGCTACAGCAGATTCTAGGGTTAACAAAAGAATTTGGGTTAGGATTAATCTAGCTAAGATTAAGTTAGAGGCGGCTGCTGTTTGGTTGCCTAATAGAGTTATTAATAAGTGTCCTGCTACCTACAAGTTAAGTGAGTATATAAACCATTACAAAACACGAATTTAATAAACTCGGAAAATTTTTCCTATTTTAATTTATATTGCTACGATTAGTTTTACGACAGTTATCGCAAGACGGACAGACGGACATAACGGGTACATAAGCCCTGATTCAGGCTAAAAACCTATATTTAGTTAAAATTTTCACCAATGCATAATACGCATTGTTTATTTGACAAAAAACAGGCGTAAAGTGCATTAGTAAAATGTATTTGGTACAATAAAATTCTATGCAAAATGGTCGGTTTGACCGATAACAGCGAGCTTGACTCGGGCTGCACACTGGAGATTTCAAGTTCAATCTTCGAAATAGCACCCTCGAAATTTTTAGCTTAAAAAATCAAGCTAAAAATTACGATGATTTCATCTTTAAGAATTAAGTCTCTATGTCTGCCCGTTCAAAAGTTATTAAAGGTCAAAGTAGTTGGTGTATTTGTAAGGGACTTTTACACCAACTATTTTAAAAATAATTATTTTATTTGTAACTCGACCATTTGTCGCAACCGTTAAGGGTAACTAGGCACTAAAAGTCAAGCAATCGTGGTATTCTGTATTATAAATTTCACATAATAGGACCACAATTCTGACGTTTAGTGCCTTAGTTACTTCCCTTTGAGTGTCAAGTAATCATGGTTCAAAATATCAGAAAAAATAAATGGGGCATAGATAACCTTTGTCGCGTGACGCCACGCCAAGCCCAAGGGCAAGTTGACATCAGTTAATTTATACTGAAAGCAAAGTGTCAATTTGCGTCCGTCCAATGGTTCTCAATCCCCCCTAGTAACAGTCATTGTCAACCCCATTACCAACCCATATGTCCACAAGCGAATATATCATCCAATTCGTATATGGCATTCAAAATTTTAAAAAACCGTTCCACATGCCCAAGTATATGGAGTTTGTAAAGATGGTCAAAATTCTCCGGTTTAATAAATTCTTAGGGAAATTAGTGGTTGGGAAATTTTGGCACCCAAACATGAAGGGGCCCCAATACATATGTATGTATATGATAGCAGAGCAGTCAAACTGTCATTTATCCTCTGCTATGTATTCCAAACTTAATAAAATTTCTTTCGAAAATGGACTGACTTGACAGTTCAGGGTTTGCATCTAATATTTAATTTTACTGTCCATCATGAAAGGCAGCGCATAAATCTAACTAACAATAAGATAAGCTATAAATGCAACTGGTTTAATACAATAAATTCGGAGATTATGTTTATCAGGATTTATGTATGTAAGTATATGAAAATGTTTTTTCAAGTGATGCAATAAATCGGATTGTTTGACCATGATCATGACCTAATAATTACATAGAATCAATTACACCTCCATAAATGCTCAGATTTTACGATAGATATTAATCTTTCCGTATAAACGCTTATGATTAGTAAGCATCAAATTTTAACAGTACATTTAGTATCTACTCCTACGTCCAGTCGCAAATTTGTTTTATCATCATGATTAATACCAATAATACCATCTTTCCTCACCTGTAAAATAATACGTTCAGTAAACTATTAATAACAATATCGTGTGCTATATAAGCCAAATGTATGCAGTCGATGTAACTTAATGAATATTGAGATGTTCATAAATTATTCAACGCTTGTATGTTTGAGTTCATAATTTGGAACATTTAGTATATGTAGCGATATTAATCAAATACTTATTATGTATTATGAAGGTTTAAGGTTCTTTTGGTTTTCATACCAATTCATACCTTCAGAACGTAATTATTTATTTATTGGTCTTAAGTTAGGACTCCTAACTTTTCTACTGTGATTATGAAAACTACATACATCAATAGTGCTTAATTTGTGCCGTCCAGAGCAAGATAGCTACAAAATAAATATGTAGGGTCGTATTTGTAAAAATAACATAAGTATTGCATATATACGATGGTCTGAATTTGAAAATTTTGTTGTTCACCTGCAGAACTTTTAATCTCTGGTTATCATATATGACGTCCGACTTATACTTTCGCCATGTTAACCATGTTAAACATTGGATGAGGAACGGTGAAAATATTTCATAGCCTTAAATCAGTGTTGTCTGTTGTGGTGAGCTAAAAACAGAATACAATATTCGAACAGTTTGTTAAATTCAACGATATTTCGATTACATCTCACCAAATTGGGGGCCATAAACTACTCCTATTCGCCGTTTTTATGCATACATGTACTTAAATCGCTGCGAACAACTGATGAAGTAATAATTTCCTAATACCTCTGTAATGCATAGCTAAAGTTTAAATAGTTGATACATCTCCTCTCACTCGCTTCCAAATTAACGTATGTTTGATAAGGCTGAATCAACATATATGCACATATATTCACAAAAAAACAATCTGGAAAATAGTAATCTGGACATGCACATGATTAATTATTTAGGGACGAAACTATTTTTCTCTGAATAATTTTATAGGACTAATCAGTCCAATCTCGACAAGGGCGATGTCTGAGCTGCGGTGTCCTTTTGCAAATATTACAAATGGGAATTCATGCAAATTTCAGTAGGCTGAGAACAAGTCTTAGGATTAGTCTAATGCGCAAATCTTAAATAGACCATGTCTTGCCTTTTAAAATGATCTGTACTTTTTCTGATTTATATATTTCCAAATTATTAAATTTATTTATATTGAAAATGTATGCACACACGATGAGTACATGTTATGGGAATGATGTAATTCGGAGCCTGAATACGAAGTTCAATACCATGGCCAAAATTGCTTATCGAAATCCGGTTTTATGACCCACCGCACAGCAGATAGCGTCCAGAGATCATCCACAGGTAAACCCCAAATCGAATGCACACGTATCTTTATCAATGCACGCATTCAGTTATATAAAAATGTGCATAAATATGACTGCCTTGCAAAAAATGTTGTCAGTTTTTGAGTATTATTTGAAAGAACTAATAACGCAAGTCCGTGTTATTTGCGTACCGATAAACACTATGCAATCCACAATTTTTATTACTGTGTGCCTCTTGGCATCTGCAAGATCAATGGCAATCGTTGGTAAGAATCCTATACCCAGCCACTAATAATTTCTAATCTTAAATGTGCCATTCAATTTTCAGGAGTATCTGTACCAGACTATCCGTGTGAAAGTGGGTCTAGTGACGTTGGGAAACATCATTCCAATCATGCCAATGCCAGTACCTTTTATCAGTGTACAGAATTCGGGTAAGTCTTTTATACATATTACCCGAAACCAGTAGATATATACCTATGAAAATACTCCAATCAATTAATTGTCTTCATTTCAAATTAAAATAGATTGGTATTAATGCCCTGCCCATCAGGACTGGAGTTTGATGTGGACGCTGATCGATGTGAGTGGCCCAAAGGTCCCAAACCAACAGAAAAACCTTCATCGGAGGAAATCCCAGATCCAGTCGAACCCACTGATGCACCGTCTTCTGAATCGGAAGAAGTCATAATTGAACCAACCGAAGCACCTTCCTCCGAATCCGAAGAACAGCCGATTCCGGAACCCACCGAGTTACCTTCTTCCGAATCTGAGGAAGAACCGATTCCGGAACCAACCGAACTACCTTCCTCCGAATCCGAAGAAGAGCCGATTCCGGAACCAACCGAAGCACCTTCCTCCGAATCCGAAGAAGAGCCGATTCCGGAACCAACGGAAGCGCCTTCCTCCGAATCCGAAGAAGAGCCGATTCCGGAACCAACCGAAGCACCTTCCTCCGAATCCGAAGAAGAGCCGACTCCGGAACCAACCGAAGTGCCTTCCTCCGAATCCGAAGAAGAGCCGATTCCGGAACCAACGGAAGCGCCTTCCTCCGAATCCGAAGAAGATCCGATTCCGGAACCAACGGAAGCACCTTCCTCCGAATCCGAAGAAGAACCGATTCCGGAACCAACCGAAGCGCCTTCCTCCGAATCCGAAGAAGAGCCGATTCCGGAACCAACCGAAGTGCCTTCCTCCGAATCCGAAGAAGAGCCGATTCCGGAACCAACCGAAGTGCCTTCCTCCGAATCCGAAGAAGAGCCGATTCCGGAACCAACGGAAGCGCCTTCCTCCGAATCCGAAGAAGAACCGATTCCGGAACCAACGGAAGCGCCTTCCTCCGAATCCGAAGAAGAACCGATTCCGGAACCCACCCAAGCCCCTTCGCCTCCTACAACTGAAGCGCCAGTTCAACAAACTACACCAGGAAATGAATGCGCAAGCATTGTTTGCAGAGCCGATCCACAGGACATGTACCACGCACATCCTACGCGTTGTACCGCATTTTGCCAATGCTCCAACGGAAAACCATATAAACATGAATGTCCAAGTGGCCTTCACTTTGACACAAAAATTAATGTCTGTAATTGGCCTGCGGCTGCTCAATGCAGTGTCTAATTTTAAGTCATATCTTACATTGCCACCATTACAGAGGCCCTGGAAGAATGTAAAGGACTGATTTTACTAACCTTCTGAAATTTAAAAAGATGGTGATATTTTAAAGGGTCAGTCAAATAAGTCCTTCACATTCTTCCAGTGTTCATAATTTTATTTCTCTTTTCTGTGCAATAAATACTGTCATCCCAGCATAGCAAGCAATGTAGTTGATCAAATTACTCTACAATGCATGTAATTATTTTTTAGTTGCAAAAAATGGAATGAAGCATTCAAATTAAAATGCGTTATTGTTAATTGTTCTTCATTTAAAGCATAACCCATTCCACATCGATCTTGTCGTAGAAATTGCATCGAAAATTGTCAAATCAAGGTCATTAGAGCTTATTACTAGCAATCCGTGTTTGAGCAAGATCTTTTCGTGATCCACGTCTCAAGTCGCTTGGTTTCATAGCATAAGGAGCAAATGGTGATGGAGGTTTCAGAACTTACTGATTTTAGAGTATGGTATTTGGTTATGCAGGCTTTTGCAAAATGACTTCAGACATCAGATGGAAGGATCAACCACCACTACTCCCACATGCTCCAAGAAATTGGGGTGCTGAGTTATCGCAACTGAAGAATAAGGTACCCACGCTGAGAAGAGTCCCAAAAGGTGCAAGGATGGAAGTAGCTAAAGCCCTTGCAAAAATAATAGAGGAAGTGACCACCACAAACTCGGAGGAATCATGGTTCAAACTTTTCTCGTTTCCATACGCAGTCGTCCCTGTTCCCACCAAATCTGACAAAGTTAAAAATTTAACAACATGGGTGAAATCAAGAGTTCTGCAGTGGTCAATAACCCAAATTGTAACACCCTCGAGACCACGACCACAATTCGCCAAACCCTCACGTCCTCAAGAAACTATTGCAAAGAAGGTGGAAGCAAAATTGGAGACGGCGATGTACGGGGTGCAATTCGTTTATTGACCTCTGATGACACAATTGCCCCAAATAATCAAGAAACCTTGGATGCCCTCATCACTAAGCATCCCCCACATCCAGAGCCAACTTATTTCCCGAACGCACCGGACAAGGCAGAAGTTTTGGCCCCTGTTGATCCCAAAGAAGTCCTCATCGCAATCTCTAGTTTCGCTCCAGGATCGGCAGGAGGACTTGACTCTCTTCGCCCTCAGATTTTGAAGGACCTCGTCATCTCAGAGAATGGAGAACCTGGGACCAATTTACTAAACGCGATGCTAAAATTTTTAGATCTTGTTCTCAGGGGAGACGTGCCAAAATCTATTTGCCCAATCTTCTTCGGGGCTTCCATGACCGCACTTAGAAAGAAAACTGGGGGCATTCGTCCTGTCGCTGTCGGCAATACATGGCGTCGTCTCATCTCGAAAATTGCCGTCGCCCGTATGTCATCTACTCTGGTCGAGATTTTCTCCCCTCATCAACTAGGAGTGGGGATTAAAGGAGGCGCTGAAGCTGCAGCCCACGCAGCACGTATTTACTGGAATTACTCACATGATAGCCCAAGGCTTTTTTAAAATTGGACTTCCGTAATGCTTTCAATGAAATCCGACGAGACACACTTCTCCAAATCATTCGAGAAAAATTCCCAAATTTCTACCGTTTCGTGAGCCAGGCCTACTCCTCCCCCTCGGAAATTTTCTTCGCGGGAACACCCATCTCCTCCCTTTGTGGGGTTCAACAAGGTGATCCACTCGGACCAGCTCTCTACGCTCTCGTGATCCAACCAATTGTGGACTTGATTGACACAGAGCTGAATATGTGGTACTTAGATGACTCAACCATTGCTGATTCGCCGGAGAAAGTCTTAATGGCAATGCAAACCATCACACGTATGGGGACAGAAGTCGGTCTGCACCTTAACACTACAAAATGTGAAGTGGGAATTCTGGGTGTAGTCGACGACCAAAGTCGTGACGAAATTTTTGAGCTATTTCGTTCAACAGCTCCGGGGATACAAAAGATCTCTCCTGAAAGTGCTATGCTGTTAGGTGTCCCACTCACCGATGAAGCCATTCCTACAATACTAGGAGCCAAAACCGAGGAAATGGAAAAAATTAGCACGCGGCTACTCAAACTCTCCTCCCACTCAGCCTTTTTCCTTCTCCGTGCCTCCATCTCAACACCTCGTCTAATATACTTTCTCCGCTGTGCACCGACATGGAGAAGATTTGACGCCCTTACTCTTTATGATGCAAAATTAAAAAATGCTATGGAGGGAATCATCAACTGTTCCCTTTCCCCTCAATCCTGGTTACAGTCCTCTCTACCCGTCAACAAAGGTGGTCTTAGGGTCAGACACGCTATAGATGTGGCGATTCCGTGCTTTCTAGCGTCTATCTATAGCTCCCTGCCTCTTGCGGAACGCCTACTTCCACCACATTTACATGGCATCGATACCGCCATCCAAGAAGGAGAGGAACGCTGGAAATCACTTGGTTCATCGCCACTTCCTCCACTCGAGATACGAGGTATCCAGGCAATATGGGAAATACCACAACAGGAAGGTGTAATCAATCACCTCACAACTAATGCGACTACATTAGAAGACAAAGCCCGCTATCACGCCATGTCACAACCCAATGTTGGAGCGTGGCTCAACGCTATCCCCTCTCCTCAACTCGGCACACATCTTCCTAATGAGACGTTTCGCATCGCCGCCGCTCTTCGACTAGGCTGTGACATCTGCCAGCCCCACAAATGTTCTTGTGGTGAACAAGTGTCCACGAAAGGCTATCATGGTCTCAGTTGCAAAAATAGTGCTGGACGTCACTCCCGTCATGCCGCAGCCAACGATGTCATCGCCAGAGCCCTCAGATCTGCAGGAGTCCCTATAATTAAAGAGCCAGCCGGGTGTGCCCGTGAAGATGGGAAACGTCCAGATGGTCCCACACTTATTCCATGGGCAAGAGGAAAATCGGTAGTGTGGGACTTCACGTGTTCCGATACATTTGCACCATCGTACCTCCCACAAACTAGTATTCGCCCAGGAGTAGCAGCTGAGAAAGCAGAGGACCGGAAGAAGAAAAGATATGAACAACTTATGGACAGTTTCCTTTTTGTCCCAATAGCCATCGAAACAACAGGGATTTGGGGTAAAGATGGCTTGTCATTTATTAAAGAAATCGGGTCCAGAATCACAAACATCACAGAAGAGAAGAGGGCGACATCCTTTTTATTGCAGAGAATGAGTATCACTGTTCAAAGAGGGAATGTAGCATCCATTTTAGGATCCCTTCCAAAAGGACACAAGCTGGAGGAGATATTTATGTTATAAAGAATTTCATTTATATATCTATTGTAGTTATGCTAATATTATGGATGCTATAAGTTTCAAAATAATATGCACTTCAGACAACGTACTAATCCCGACTCGTGGAAGATATACGTACTGAGAAAACAATCCTTGAGTTCGTATCAACAACTTTAAAATATCACGAATTCAAGGTTTCAAAAACAGAGAGGGAACTCACGTCACAGTTTGTAACCTTCGTAACTGCGTAAGGTTTGTAAGCTTACAAACTTTTACGAACTTTTACACACATTTCTAAGGAAAATTGACTTACGCACTTCAAACGCATGTTTTTGGTTCGTAAACAAAAGTTCGTAAATAATTCGAATTTGATATTTACATTTTCGGTTGAAATTGTCTTAGAGACGAATTGTCTATTGTAAATTTTTTGTGATCTCGTCCCGCAAATGCAAATTAATTTAATTATTTTACAAAAGATTGCTGCCAGCCGAAAATATTTGTCGCTATCCGACCAGCCCCCAAATGTCAAATCCGGGCTAAATTGACACACTTCATCCAGTGGGGTGTCAATCGATCGGTCTTGATCTTACGATGATTTTGGTATATTATAGAATTTTGTGACCTATGAAATGGCTGTGTAATTCCTGAAAAACTGATATTTTAGGCAAAAAAATTCAAAAAGAATTACATGTCATTTGGTGTAAGGTAGGATAAAGTTGGCTAGCAACATTTTGATGACGTTTTGTATGCGATATTTTTTTCACTAAAAAATGTTTACGAAAACGTTTATAAAATCAACTCACGTCAAGAGTGTGTAAACTTACAAACCTAACGCAGTTACGTAGGTTACGAACTTGACGTGAAATCCCTCAGAGTTTAACGACCATGGTATTTTTGTTATTGCATTCGGTTGGGAAAAATGCACAAAGTTCATACTGCGAAAAATAGGACATACGTACATAGAAATTAATTAAATACCTCCTGAAGCCTGAGTGAGACACCCTACGAAATTATACAAAGGCTGATCTTAGCGTTACAAAAATTGTTTATTCGGTCCATCGAAAGTGCTTACATATACATACTTCGTGGAACATAATCATTGAATACATGGTATGGACAAAACGTGCAAGGGTTATTACTTATAACCTCGTACAATAAAATTACTAAAAAAGACTTACTCCAAGCAACTTTGCGGGGCCTTTTAAGATGGCATTAATGCCATCTTGGTAGTTAATGGCAACACATTTGGGTGGAAATGACCCCCACCGGCCAACCACTTGACCGATTATGCCCATCTCCGAACTCATCCTTACTTTTTACCCGAAGATAAAGCATGCAATATTTCAACTCGATAGCTTTGGTTTAAAGAGAGTTATCGTGCGCACAGACGGACGCACAGACGGACGGACAGACAGACATCTGGGTAAATCTATAAGGCCATCTTAAAAGGCCTAAAAACGAATCCTAAAATAGCGTACAAAGTTTGAGTGTAATACTTTCTGGTAAAGGTAATAGATAAATATCGGTTAATAAATATGGCAAACAAAATCAGTCAGTCAAGTACCACATATGTAAGTTATTTGAAAATTAGTTCTACTGAAGTATTTATACTATGCATGTCAATGTTGAAGTCTTCGTCTTCTGGAGTGATAAGGAGGATTTGATCTTTGTAAATTGGCCAATACTGATCCAATACACATTCTGACAGGAGCGTTATTTCCGCCAGGCATACCAATTAACATGGTACATACAGCATTAGAATTGTTTGTTCCTGCCAACCACTCTACGCTCAAAGGGCGAAGGCAAATGCACCCCTATATCAAAACAAGTTATGATTTAATGACGTACTGCTTAGCGGTACCAAAACACATTGTATTGGATTATCTATTTACTTTTCTACAAGATTTTCTGCACTGTGTGTACGCAGCTGCGATGCCACTCGAAGGGTCAGGTTGTAATAATACTGTGCTCACTGCAAATGGGCGCTTCGCCATTGTTAACATCTCGGTCAGATGAAGATTTCGCGCACGGCGCGATTCCATCTATTGAAGTGATAAAATTATATTTGTAAATCTAATCAGGATAATTTTATAATCTTCGACTTCCTGCATACATTTTGTTTCACTTTCCAAGCTATTCCACATGAAGCCAAAAATAGAAAGAACGCTGCGAAGAACACGCTAAAAAATATGAACAAGTCTATATGCAGCTGATCCTGCCTAAAGACAATTGAGCCGAATGAAACATCCCTGAAATTAATCATATTAATCAGGTTAATTAGTTTACTAGTAATTGGGATAAAGCAAGGATAAATAAATAAATATATGTATGTACCCAATCCCTTCCAAAACTAGATAAAAACGAGTCAGTCTCAAGTCATGGCTTTCCTAAAGTAAACATACAAAAAGTATACAGTATGTTTCATCGAAATTACCCAATATAACACGTGTGATGTGTACCTGTGGCAGTGTCACTACAAGTCTATTTCTCAAGTTCCTTACACGTAAAACGGCTTTTGGGTCCTGTACTGTATAGTATCTAATTAAAAATATAAAACATAAAAATGTAAAAACTATTGTTTTTCACAACTGCAAACGTATATAGATAACAATTATACGTTGCGTATCCGGCTGCCTCTTGTTCTACAAATCTATAAGCAGAATTGGAATTGACTCCAGAGGGCTTATGAATAATACGGTTTACTCCAGAGTCCTCCACATCGTCAGTTTTGTTGGAAATTTCATAATCAATATCAACTTTGTTATTATGATTATCCATAGAGAAAGACGTTGATTTTCCAAAAATACTGTCCTTCCTATCACCAGTTAGTCCATATTTGGTATCGAAATCGACCTGCAAGGCGACAAATTGTAGTATTAAACCATTCCATGTATATGTATGTACATATGTATTCTTTGCCATACTCTGTGAACCCAGTTTTCTTGCTTAATTACGAACGTGTCGTCTTTAGGACTCAAATAAACATTGATTGAACCATGAGTTACATCCAAAGTAATGCGAATGTTCACATTCATAAACTTAGGTTGAACTGCAAAGAAGACGGTTCTGCCAGACAACAAGGCATGTTTTTGTTTCATGGCGCAAGATTGATCTACAATTTCAAGAGTAATAATAATCAATGGCAAATCGATCCTCTTTACATACGTAGTACTATAATTCACGTGCTGTACTAATTAAGAAATACCATGTGATTTTGGATCAAAGCAATAAAATTCTTCCATTTGCATTTGCATGTAGCACTGATGACCGTTTGTTGGTGTTCCAAGATATGACTCACGACATTTTGAGCACTGACGTGTCCAACATTGATGATGAAGATTCTTTAATAAATAAATCAATCATTCAGAATTCATTTAGAATGGAAAATTGTTCAAGTAAATGTATAGAACTTAAATAATACATGTAAGTAGGTATATAAACCAACCTGTTTCAATGTGTTATGACAGCTTGCTGTAGAATCGCTTTCCGTATTATTATCGCAATTACAATCATGTCCAGTAACTTGATCGCACGTGTCACCATGTCCGTGGCATTCACACTAGTAATAATTTATAATTTAACTACATTTCAACAAGCATTAGATGGTTGAATCACAACATTATATGGAATTATCTAATTACTTTTCGACACGGCAATCTCTTATCATCATATCCCCTAAAACGAAAGAAATACTTAAATGTGAATTGAGAAGTGTAAATGATGATAATTATTGAAAAGCTAAACATCACTGGTAGACTGGATTTAAATATAAAGGTTTCTTTATAACAAGGAGGCGTATACCACCCTCTAAAAGTACGGATGGCACTTGGACGCCACCGTTACTAAATTATTAAGCAAAATTATTACAAACGTTTGCAGACCTGAAGAACCCTGAAAACAAAAATGACACGACATATAGTACATAGGAATATTTTCCCCGATAGTCTAGAATACTAACCTGATATACAATCATTGCACGTGTCACCACTTGTTTGATTTTCACAATGACAGCAAAATGCGGTTGTTGAGGGACCGATTTGGAGCCCACTTGATAATATTTTCGACATGAGCTGAGAAGAGCTAAGATATTTATTGTTGGTGCCGTTGCACCATTTGTTGTAATCTCCATGAGACAGACATATCCCAGAATGGCTAATGAATTAAAATAATTAATGAATTAATGAATTAAAAACAAATTCAAAAAAAATTTATACAAATCAGTATTGGGGTATTGGGCCCCAATAGCATACAATAAAAGTACAGCAAAGAATACGGGAAATACATTACCCATTACAATAATCAGAACAGGCAATACAAGCCCCATTATTCCTAAAAAATGTAATTATATAAGTGTTTAATTAAAATGCAGTAAGGTTCCATTGTGCCACAAGTACAAGGCAACATTGTCTAACCTAGGATCCCCCACAAACATCGGTTTACATTGAGAACATTTAGGTCCCTATAATTAGAGACGAATTAGGAAGACGAACAAAAACAAATACATGAACATGTGCATTGGGAAATATTTATCGTACCATCGTATTATTTTTGCATTCCAAGCATACGTCCAATTCCTCAACCCCAGCACAATTTGAATGGCCATGGCAGTCACATTGTGCAGAACAATTCGAACCAACGTAACCAAAATTGCACTCGCAAATCTGTGGTTCGATGCAATGTCCATGCACACATCCGTCTGAGCAAATGGGGATACACGAAGTGTCGGATCTCTCGAATCCACTTTTACATTGACAGCGGTAACCTTCTTCAAGATCGATACACTGTTCAGATTTTGAATCACATCCATGATGGCCGTTGGTACATTCGTTCTCAGGAGCGCATTTCAAATAATGCCATTTTGAATGATTTGAACATTGGCTGGACTCGGACACGGCATTTGTGGAAAGACATACACCTTCCCCATTCTCCCCTTCAATTGCGCACCATCTAAAATTAATGCGAGAAGTCATGCAAACCCCAAAAGGTGCACCAATTGCCATTGATGAGGTGATCCTTCTTACCCGCATGAGGGATTCTCCAAACATGAGTTGCATGACCGAAGAGTCGTGCATGCTTTGGGGCAAATACTTGGCGATCCTTTAAGGATAGGTCCACAAATTCCTCCAAAGCAGAGCAGTGGCGAATATGCTGGGGATATGCATCGATGCTGACTAACACTCCAGTAACATTGATGAAACCCGCCTTCAGAACCTAGGGACTAGAGTCAAAATAATAATCAACATTATTAATCTTAATAATAAATACTTGCAACAAATTAAACAAATCTTTATTTTACCTCCAGGCACTCTTGACAAGAATCAAAATGCCAACACGGGATTGGGCATGAGGCGGGTGGCGAGGATACCACGGGAACATTTGGTGATGTGTCCAAACTTGAAACATGTCTGCAAATGACAAAAAATTTCAGAGAAACTCGTTCAACCAGTTAAATTAGATTATACACTGATATTTTTAAATATCTGAACTAATACTGCCCAGAAGTAAGTTGCTAAAAACGACGAGATATTGGGAGGATATGAAAGTACCTACAACTGTAAGTTTTCACAGTTTGAATATGGCGACAAAGAAAAATTCAAAACCAAAGTGAAGAGAATGAGGAGGACTATAATAAACCTGCAACTAACCTTACGCAATTCCAGTCGTACACCGGTTGAAGGCGAAATTCCCAACCTCTCTCCCCTAATACATTTGTAATGTTACTTAGTATCTGGAGTACTTTATGTTAAATTACAAAACAAATATATATGTAAATTGCTAAATGGTATAATGTAAAACTGAATTACTCGCTCGTAAAACGTGTCGTGTCCAAATGCACTTCCCAGACGTGTTGGCGGTACACTTTTCGCATTGAGGCGCAGAGCATAATCGTTCTGGACATTGGGACGAATCGGTAATTACCTTAACAAAAAAAAACATGAAAGACATTAAGCTTTGATTCGATGGCATCATCTTTTTTCTTCCCATTTCCCATTATTACCCAAACCTTACCCATTGTTTTTGACCACAAGGACTGTCCTCCTCAAACTTTTTCCTCAGAGGGATACATCTCCCTTCCTTTCCGTTCGTACACCATTGACAGCTCTGTAAAAGAATCGACATTTTACTCCTCTGTATATATGCTATACGTTTTACACACGTAAATAATCAACTTCTATACGTACTTGAGATATGTTAGGATGACTAGGCCACGTTGCCAAACATTCCGTGCAAGAATTAAAACGACCACAGCCTTGTTGTATCATCCAGGTAGACGTACACGTGATTCCTTTCCAAAATTCGATATTGGATGCTCCAAAAGAACACGCAGACGGCATGTCTAGCTCAGCATCGTAGCATTGTTGGGAGCGATTATTATTTGATGAGCAAAATGCGCATCCCAATGTTGCCTAATACACAAAGAATTGCATTTAGGTATACATAAAAGTAGTTGTTTCGCACTGAATCAATAGTAGACCTACACAACTGATAATGAATTGTTTTAACCCTTGATCTACATGTATCGGTGTCTCACCTTGCATCTGGATTTGGTCTTTTGCAAAGAACATGGATCTGTTGGAGTTGTAATCTGAAACAGCGACTCGGACGTGGTCCCATCCTTCCAGCCGCCCATTTGAAATATATCATTTTTCCACACCGTAGTGCCACTCGCATATCGAGAAGTGTCTGGGGTTTTCGGAGTGAAAAACAGGGTCTCTTCTGTATCGGAGGAAGATTCTGGAATAGAATTTAAAGTAGTTTCTTCGGAGCCGACAAGAAGCCACAGGTTACATTGATACACATAGACCAAGGCAGTATGCGTCTTCTCCCTAATATAGATAATGTACATACAACATGTAAGACAAATGATAATTTATTTATATTTTCATATACTCATCTTCTATGCGACATGTACACATTAAAATAGCAAAGTATATTACTTGTTAAAGCTTCCAATTCCCCCTAGGACAACCATATAATCATCCGTACTAACAGCGGAGTGTAAGAATCTTGGGGTTGGATAGGGTCCAAATTGATTTTCTTCCATGGGTGCCAACACTGACCATTTTTTAGACTGCCAGTGTAGACAATATCTGCGAATTGAATATTGAACAAGTAGTTATAAATCGCAACAAATAGCGTATCAACTATTACGGAAGGTTTGTCGTAAATTTCTAATAAAACTAAATAAATAATCCGACGTCCTTACAATTTTGAGCTTGTTGAAATTGATCCATGCTGCATTCCAATAGTGTCGTGGTGCAGAGTTCCCCCAAAAACGTAAAAAGCATCAGTTTTTCTATGATAAACAGTTGTATGACCATATACCCCTAAAGGATTTGACCCTGTTGTTTCAACTTCTGACCAACACTCTCGTGGCCCAATGCCATACACTTTGTCAGAAAATCCATCTTCGGGATTGAAACCTCCAATCATGACAATAGTGAATGAATCCCCTCCCATCGCTTCTGATGGTCCTAAGTATCACATGTGTACAAATTTGTGAAAGGTTGATCAAACTTTTAAATATTATAATCATTATTCCCTCTTCATTTTTACCTGCTGCTGGAACAGGTCGCAAAGTTAGGGTGTGCCCTGCTAATTTAGGCGACTCGCTTGGCCCCTCACAGAACTTGCTCCATCGAGAATGCATAGTATCAAATTTCCAAGTGTCAGAGAGAAATGTCAAGTTTGCAGAAATTCCGCCTGTGATATAAATTCAGTTAATTATAACTGGCCACATTACACATTATAAGTGGTTGAGTATCTTTATGATAAATGATACAATGCAAAAATGCCTCACCGTGTATAAAAATCATTAGATGTGGGTCAATAACACCTCTGTAATTTTGGAATAACATAACAATTGACCAAATTTTAAAAAATGCACTACTTGCGTTGCAGTAACGTTGCGTACCCATGAAAGTAACGAGCGGGTGGCACTGCTTCTTCATTTTGTTGAACTGTTATGGTCAGAGGCACCCACGAGTTTGATTTTCTGCTAAAGCCCCGAATGTCTAGAGTATAATATAAATATATAAATATATAATATTATATATGTATTATATAAATAATATAAATATCACCATCAAGAGCCCCGTGAGATAAAGAGTAACCGCCAAAAACCCACAAGTTGTTCTGATCGACGTGAAGACTGTGGCCATATCTACTGAGCACTGACAGAGAGGGAGATGTCCCGTCATATAAACTGGAAACATTGAAAGGTCCCCCGCTTGTGGCACTGTTTCGACTAAACGGCGATGTACCGAAAGCTAAATGCTCCATTTGATCTTCGGTAAGAACTTTGAAAGAACCATTGAAGCTAAACTTGGTAGACCCCATTCTAGCATATTTTAGAACAATGGTTGCAACAGTTCCTTCAACCGGGATGATTGTTGGATTACTTGTTGTTCGTCGATCTCGATCTTCCTTTTCACTGCAAATTGCGGCTACTAGAGGAACCGCTTTCCCATTAACTCCAAAGTCGGAATAACCTTTATGTATCGCAAGGGTATTGTGCGAGCAGGGTATATCAAGGCCTGGCTCTATCGTTATTAAAAGCCCTGCCATACGTGGTTGAAGCACTTGTTGGGTCTCATCATCAATGTCGTCTTCTTCACCGGATGCCAAGGGAAGCGAAGACGGCTTGAGAAAATCTTCTCCCTTAATAATCCATAGGCAGTGCTCCACATGCACAAAAGAGGTATTTCTTTGTTGCATCATTTGCTGTCGTTTTCTAGATGACAAGAAGGACGAGCCCAAATCTGGAGGAGAACCAAAGAAACCCTGTCTTCCAACAATTAGCACCCTACCACTGCAACTGTGATAACAGGGCTTTGCATCGGTGGGATCACCGTAAAATCCTGAACCACACTCTGAACAATCCTTTCCGGTTGTGTTGTTTAAACAGAAACAATGTCCCGCAATTGGATCACAAAGTCCAACCTCAACATCACCGTGACCATTGCAATTGCATGGGATGCAACCAACATTACTCAAAGTTGCATTCCCATAGCTTCCTTCGGCACAAAGTTCACAATTTTCTCCTGTTGTGAAATCTTGGCATTTATCACACTTTCCTGGACCATTTGAATAACAGAAAGAGTGGTTATTACACAGGCAGTCTTCTGAACAGTCAGAACCCGTCCAACCTACATACATTCCCACGAAATAAATTTTTACTACACTCAGTAATTTCGACAGCATTTGTGTACATACTGTTTAATGTTTCATATGTTACCTAATTCGCACTCGCAAACAAATTCAGTGGAGCAAGTTCCATGCAGGCAGGGCTCGCGACAAGTCTGCTCGCATTCCGTTCTCCCATCCCCAGTAAAACCAGGCTGGCAAAAGCAGGCATGCGAACCAGGCGTATTTACACATGTAGCGTTTGGGTGACAATCGTCAATTCCAAGTTCGCATTCGTTTACATCAGGGCATTCTCCATATGTCCAAGTTTTGTTCCGTCCATGATCATCTTGAAGTAACTCTAACGTTCGACTACTACTCTCAACATTTGATATCAAATTTAACACAGCCGATGAAGAAGAATTCTTGTATGGACCTCCAAAATCCCCCTCAGAGCAAGATCCACCATTTTCATCGTAGCTCCATCCACACCCCTGGGAAAAAAATTAGCTTTAAACTTTTCCTCAACCATCATATTACATCATTTAAGCAAGTACATATGTATGCACAAGGGTACAAATCCTTACAATATTTAACACACAGCTTTCACAAGTCGGTTGTTTATCACATCGTTTGCAAACATCCGCTTTGTCAATCCATTGGAAGCACTGTCCAAATTGATAGACGGAGGTGTAAACAGAAAAAATAAAACACTCTTGTCTTGTTTCACACCAAACACATTTCCCAACTGTGTCTACACAGGAACTGCACGTTTTTCGTCTGCTACACGACTCCGGACATTTGTCTTTTTGTCGTATTGCATTTTCTAGTCTTCCTAGTCTTTGACAACTCATCTCTTCATCCCACCATTCGCATTCCAAACCCAAATTGTTGTCGAGACAGTCTTCACAAAAATTCATGTCGGAGCAACCTGAAAAGAAAAAAGCGTTTCACACGTACGTATGTAAAAGTCCGCCATTAGGGTACATGTTATTAAAATCTATTGTGATGCATAATGATGAGAATATTACCTGGACAATTCTCTGGTTGGATAATTAGAGATGATTTGTGTGCGATTAGTGGTAAAGCTGGGTTGTACATTAAGGCTTGCTCCCCACCACTCAAAGGGTTAAGATTTGATGATGGAATAGGGATAGTACGTGGAATACATAGTCGAGTATCCAATCTCCACACGCAAGATGTATCTCCAGCGCAAGAGAGACATGACCGATACGAAAGGCAGTGGTGATGACGATGGTGATGATGATGTACATCAGTCTTTGCAGAATCTCCATCGAAAGGGATAAGATGATCTTTCCTTAAAACTCGGGGAGATGAAATTGGTCCTGAAAAATGGATGCACTAATTAATGACTTTAAGAATAAATAAATAAAATACATAAATTGGAAGTCAGACATTTTAGCAAAAGAACTTGTTGAAAAATAAAACTGGATATACATTCAATCAATCAACCAACCTGAATAATATTTCAATTGTATTGTTACACGACCAGACTTTTCTTGATTGACACCTTTTCCAAACGACGAAGCTACCAAGTCAAACTTTATGGTCTGTCCGGGTAATAAATATCTGAAAATACATAACTAAATATAAGTAATGAACTACGAAGATAGCATTAATAAGGTATACAGTTTATTTTTTCAAAAAACATACACCGAATTTCCTGATGAAGGCCATGTCAAATTATAGCACAGTTGATAATCTGTCCATCGATAACTGCTGTTGAATATTTCGTCGCTGTATAAAGTCAAATTTACTGCCGCTTGTAGAGCACAAAGTTCCAGTTTTTTTATAGGGTGCGAAATGCCGAGTAAACTTCCTCTGAGGGCAAAGGTTACAGGTGTGTCGACAGGTATAGTGGACCCATACTCTCTCGAAATGATTAGCACACTGGAATTTATCACCTTAACAGCGTCAGGATTAGAAAAATTTGGTGGAAATCGATGCTCAAATTGTGTTAATCCCATTCTCCAACTTTTCTCTGCACATTGAACGACTGAAGTTTGCGAAGACTTGTCTAATGGATTATTGCAAACATTGGTCCTACTTCCAACTTCCTCTAACGTTTGTTTCCAGCATTGCTCAAGGGTTCCGCACCAAACGCAACCTGGAAAAGCGCTAGTGCACGATTGACAACTGGTCAGCAATGGACAAATTCCTGGACACTGAGCCTAGAAATTAATTTACAGAAAAAAACGAATTATGTTAGGCGTATAATGAACAAGTCATTAGCAATGTTATAGCTTAATGAAGATATAATTAAGTAAACTATAATTATTTTTATTATCAACTTACGGTCTGTAGATTAGTAGTGCAGTTTGCAGCTCCTGTAAGTTTATCAAAGCATCGGCCATTTGTAGGACACCATCCACATTGAGGTTCACCGGAACAACGCCAACGATCAAAGGATGAACATCTGGATGACTTTGATTTGGTAAATGGGAAAGGTATCTTTCTCACACTTTGACTTAAGTATCCTCGGTATCCTCCAACAATTAAGAGATAATCGTCAACAATGACTGACTGGTGACCAAAGAGTCCTCGAGTAGCTCTATATTCACTTGAAGAAGATACAGAAGACGAGGCGGAGGGGGGAGTAATGGGCAAGAAAATTTGGCACTCCAAGTTGTATACAAGCATTTGGTTGGAGTAGCACGTCTCATCCTTATTGTGAACGTGAGTGTAACCACCAAAGATGATCAAATATTGCTCAACGATATGAGCAGTGTGAAAAGCCCGTTCGAGATATATACCAGGAGGAACCCCTCCATTCTTTTTATAGTCAAGATGCAGCCACGTTGTAGAGTTGAGCATAAAGATCCAAAGCTGAAAAAATTCAAAGTTATTAAAGTTGTACAGTAATCAGTATTTTATCTCCGTGTTTTTTTATTTTTTAAGCAAGCACCTGGCTCGAGAGCTTAGAGAAGCGTCCATAATCAGAAGTGCCGATCCCACCAAAGAGTATTAAGCTATTCTTCTGAGGCCAATAACTCATCGTATGACCTAAGTAACTACGATGTGTTTCCTTCCCACAACACGATGATTTGACAATAGTCCAGTTTGTAGGCGAATCTCCATGAAACTGATAAAGTGTTGAGGAGAATTTCCCACTAGATTTCGCTCCCCCAAAGACATATATATGACCCGAAGGGGTTAATGTCATTGAATGATACATCAATTTTGGAATAGTGGACTGATTCGCTTGAGGAATGAGTTGAGACCATCTGCCATTGGTTGCATTGTAATAAAATAAATCATTTGACACGCCAACCTCGGTTTTACCTGAAAAATAAAATATAGATTTTAGGGACAAGAGAAAAACAACCGTAAACAACGATTAATTATAGATACTCCGCCCCACCAGACCAAACTTTGTGTATAATATCTTTAATTAATGTACCTCCATGTATGAAAAATCCCGTTTTAAATCGTACAGCTGCATGTGCAAATCGACCTGATGGCGAAATAACTACTCTTTCTGACTCTTTCTCCGTTTGTTCATCTTGTTTTTCGGCGACTTTTTGAATTGTACCATTGTAAAGATCTAATATAATGAGATTATCGAGCAATGTGTTGAGATCAAAACCACCAAAAATGTAGGTGTGGTTGGCGTTTAGTTGAATCATGGAATGGCCCACACGGGCGAGTACTGAATTCCACGATGACGCCAGCAAAACTTGAGTATCTTCATATTCGTCGTCGCTACTGCTGTCGTAGCTCTCTGTTATTTCTAAGAGTGATAAAGATGAGAATGTTTCATTATTGCTTTTGATTTTCTCACATCCGACTCCACTTCGTTGTGGTCCACACTTGCACACATTTTGAGTTTGAATTTGAACACATTCACCGACGTTGGAACAGTTGAGAGGACAAGGAGATATTGAGTATTCAGCAAGAAACCCTTCCAAAGCATAATTAGGGTCCGAGTATAAAAGAATTAGCATATATCCAGACTGCGCCAAAATGTTGACATGCGGATTTGAAGCTCCACTGAATGATGCCAGCAGCTTGCTTTGTCCCTGAACGTATGACATTCCATCAATCACGAATAAAAAATCGTATGAACATTCCGTTCGAATTTGGTCAACCTAGTTTCGAATAAACTTAAATAAAGACGAATAAAATAAATGAGAGGTAATTAATTACCTTTAGACTTATCCAATAGCCAGGTGGAGCTATGAAATATGAAATAATTAGTTACTAATTAATTTAATTACTTAATTAATCTATCCCTTTTCATGATAAAAATGAATGAAACATGTAAGTTTGTATATGTATGCAAATAAGAAAGGTTGCAATAATTATTTACCTTTAATTAACCATTCGCAGTGAGTATCTTGTGTGTAATTCAGAGGTCCATCGGAGATTGTTCCCCCCCAAGAATTCTGGATTACTTCTCTGCTCTTATTGCACGGTTGAAGCATATACACAGAGTCCATGTGTGCCCAGGTGAGATGTTGGTTATCATTACGAGATGGGTTTTCCGACTCTGGTGGTGTGTGAGTGGGTGGTTCCCCAGTGGAGTCTTGCAATCCGAAGAATAATAGAAGCAGGATGAGGTTCATGATGTCGAGATTTTCAAACCATCATCAGTCGACAAATTCTTATGATTACAAGAATTGCTAATTGTGATGTTCCGACGATGATACTGTACATTCCGTCCTAATCCTACCAAACCTTATATGCTTGATGTCCCTTCGTTAGTTCCTTCATAGCATAGAGTCATTCTGGAAATCTTATAGGCCTGTTTATCCCACTCTGTGCAGATATGTCCCCTTCTTCACGACCCACGTAACCCATAACCTAAAAAGAATATGAAAGCATATTTAAACAACACTACAATTATCCATTAACATAGTTCTTGTCATGTTTGTAATTTATGCAGTTTTCCTCCTGTCATCGAAAACCTTACCTTATCTTCAGTCTTTCTTAAATTTTCACATTATAAACTGATGACTGGATGAAATATGATTTATACTCGTTTCGGAATGTTTACTTAGTTCTTTCTTGTTGTAAATGGGCTTCCCCCCCACGTGTAGTACAGTGTTTACTTGTTCAAATATTTATTTGTCATTATTATCCAAATATTATTATCCAGCCAGTCCAGATACTTTATCCAGTTTATTTACTTCAGATTTTGGGCTGCAAAAAAAATCATAATTCTCCCACACTAACTCACTGCCCCAGTTTCCAACTTGAATTCCAGTTCTGCGAACCCACTCAACAACAACAAATGTAATGTGTATTCGTATCATCGTATGTAATGTAAGTACACATGTTCTAAAAAATAATTCAGCCGTGTTTAATTAAAATTTAAAATATTGATCCATTACATCGGCATCAGAGGACATTTTAACTTGAAGTATTTATTGTTGCAAGCTTTCGATATTCATACAGAATTTCTTCATCAGGCAAAAATATATTTGTAAACTAAAATTCATGTGTACGTTTAAAATTTTAAAATTTTAAATTTAATTGATAATTATGGCTGATACTTCATCCGTGGTGGTGGACACGGAGAGATTTCACAAGAATCCATTCTTGGACAAGGAAATTTCCCTTATTGGAGATCCCTTTGTACGTAAATGTAAAATATTGTTGTTTACATTATGCATATGAATTGGTGAATTTGAATTATTAGTTGCAAAGTGTTGTAGCTTGTGAGTTCAGGATGATAAGAAATAATTGTGTTGTACATTCATGCATATTCATGTCATAGGTTGGAGGCCCAAGTTCATTTTTGGAGCGTCTGAAGCAGGGCTCGACCTTGCTCCTGGAGACGTTGACAAGGAACGTCTTAGAAGAGAACAACCGAATGCCAGGGGACGATGATTATTCTGTGTATACGGGCAAGTCAGGCGTCATCCTCACTTATCATTGGATATTGTCACAAAATAATCAAGAGTTGCTGATAAATCCATCCATTAAAAAGGTTCACCTTCGATTACTTCAGTATTGCTCATCAATTTGATTTTAATGTAACAGGTTACCTATTACGTATGTTGTTTTAGATGTTGGAAGATTTCGTGAAAGAAGTCATGAGTGGACACTTGTTGCGAAAGAAGCGAATTACATTCCTATGTGGGGATGCAGGACCTTTGATTGTTGCTTATCTTATAACCAATGACTCAAATCAACGGACCGAGTTACTTGGAAGGTTATTATCTATAAATATTTTTAGCTAGAACATAGATCATGCACCTGCTTTGATAACTAATATTTTTGAATTTGTTTCTAGATTACTTCAACTTCAAGATCTAGTTTATGCTAAGGGATCTTCCAATCGTGATAGAACCCCCATTCCGAATGAATTATTGTATGGAAGGGCTGGTTATCTATACTCGCTTCTTTTTCTGAATCAGCAATTTCCTCAAGATCCACCATTGATTCCTTATGCTCTATTGTCAAATGTAATTAGCTATTTTATTGTATGTGTGTCATTCAAACACAATATATGCTAATATTTAACACAATCTTATGTGTTATCCTATTTCTATCCTAGTTAGTGTCAATTATCATTGAGGACGGACTAAGAAACAATCAAAGAGGAAATCCGCCTCTTCATTACGAATGGCATGACAAAACTTACTTGGGAGCAGCGCATGGATATGTTGGAATCCTTTACGTTCTGCTCAAGGTAAGCCCGATACTACATGTTTATTTTGCTTTCATGTTGAGCCTAATTTTCTCCCAACTCAGGCTTGTAGGTATTAAATTGTTGCAGAATTATTTGAAAATCAGCAAACTCCCTAATGTATGGTTGACTTGAATGTAAACAGTTTTGTATATTTGGCCACAAAAAGGACTGTTGTGGACATTTGTAAAATATTAAATTTTCAATTTATTATTTTGTTTACCCACTTTCTTTGCTGATCTCTCAACTCAGCAACCTTCTGCAACTGTCATATCAATTTATGTTTGTTGTGTTGCAATGCATAATGTAGCTGTTATAACTTCATGTTGTGTTTCATGTCGAGTTTTCCTTTACAATTTACATGGTACTTTTTCGATTTATCTTCAGGCTCGTGCATACATGAAAGAAGAGCACGTACGACACGTGAAGGAAACATTGGACTGGGTTATGTTTCATCAGTTTCCATCGGGGAATCTACGCTCGTCCGTGGGATCAAAGGAAGACAAACTAATACATTGGTGTCATGGTGCGGCAGGGGCAATTTTTTTGTTTTTGGAAGCATCCAAGGTTAACCCGTTGTTTCTTGTATGTATGTAGATATCTCCGTCCGTCCTCCTTTACATATGTATAGTGCAAGTAGCAAGTAGTAATTAACTTTGTTTTTTGTCAAATATTCATTCACACTGGTGATAAAACAACAGATGAAAATAAATGCACGATGCTAGATTTATTTTGTTTTTTATAGGTGTTTGAAGCTGAGAAAGAACGTTATCTGAGCTGTACCCTGGCTTGCGGAGGGGTGATATGGACTCGTGGGATTCTAAAACGAAGTTACAGCCTATGTCATGGCACTGCTGGAAATGCATATTCCCTTATGGCCCTCTATAAACACACTCGGGTTTGTTGCAAAATTTAATTTTAACCTTGCATGTGGTTTTTGAGAGATTATTTATGGTTGCTTACGATAACGCTGTCAATACTACAGGTCATGTCCATTGTGTCGATTGTTTGTGCAACCAAAAAGGTTTAAAATCTCATTCCATAACTGAACAGTTGGATTTGCGAATAATTTTTCACAGCATATGTATTGGTGGCAGCTTTCAGAAATGCGAGTTTATGCTGTTTGTGTATGTATTACATGCATATATGTTGTATTATGCATGTGTTATTTCTAGGCATCTGGCCTTTAGACGTCGTGAAATATTCAATTTGTGGCTACTAAAGAATACAAGAGAATTTTTGTAAAGTAACGGTTTTATGCTTTTGCGTGAGACTGAGTGTGTGTGTGTGACTTGACTCGCCACTTTCTACATTACATTCAACATATACGTGTTTTTTGTGTAATAGGACTTGATATGGCTACAGAGAAGTTGCCTTTTCTCTCAGTGGTGTTTTTCATGGGGAAACTCCACAAGACAACCGGATCGACCGATCTCACTTTTTGAAGGTCTTGCTGGCTCAGTCTATATGCTCCATGACTTTCACAACTTTCTCCTCCACAATGGTGATGGTAGTGGATCAACCCCGAAATTCCCTTCCTTTGAACTTGATTAGAAGAGAATGAAGATTGAGACGAAGCTGTCATCATCAAAGAAAATCTGTTTTTTTTTACAAAAGAGACTTGTGCCCCACATTCTTTCCTTACTCATATTTAAATGGCTCGACATCATCAGTTCAAGCATAGCATATTCTCTTATGTATTCCAAGGTCTCTAAGCTTATAATTGTAATACTATTTATCTAGCGGTATAAGTATCTAAGACAGGTAAGAGAAATCTCATCTAGTGATTTATTTATCTGTTTATTTTTATATGAATGTTTGTCAATAGATGAATATGTACCTATATGCTACACTATACACTTATATGTACATACATAACATGTTCAAATAAGTACTCTTAAATAAAAGTGTACCGGAGAAAGGTTCCCTGATAAGTTGTAACCTAAAATTAGAGCACTTTGAACAGAGCTCCAGTTCTTTCACTATAGAATACAGCATGCCCTTGCAAATCGGTCCCATTTTCCTGGAAGAGAAAGCATATCTAACTCGGCGTGATAGATAGCTTATTATACGCATCCAGTGACATTAACTTCCTTATATGGTACGTAGTCAGCATAGCTTATCGTTGACGTACACGTGATGGAGTTGAATATGATCTATCCAAGGTGTAATCCACTCCTCATTCGGATATAAGGAAATGAGCGACCTTGACCTGCTTGGCTTTCACTTTCCTTATTGGCATCTTCACAAATCTGAATGCACATATACATATGCATATGCATGCTATTACTTAAACACTCTAATGTGATGATGGCAATAAGGCTTGATAAATGTCAAAGTAGTTTTACAAAATATATAGTATAAAGTAAAAGCAAAATTGAGGTATAAATACATACGTATCTATTTATATGCAAAATAGCCATGAGCTCTCATCACCCTATGCAACTCGATGTGCAAAAAGGTACCAGCCATTCCTACAATCAGTTCCTGTGCTAATAATGCCAGTATTTCTGATTTGTGGATTGCCTCGTTGTTGCTGTTAAACGCGGAGATAAATAGGATGAGAAAGCATTTCTGCCACTTTCTCTCTCTCTTTCTCTCTTTCCACGAACGAATCCACCATCGATCCAGTTCCAACAAACTCCCATCCTCTCTCGTTCCCATGCCTTGTTGCTATCTTCTATGCGGCCGAATTTCATCAATTTCATGTTTTTGGTACATTTGTGAAGTTGGATGCCTTTTATACTTATGTACATATACATATGTATCCAATCTCATACCGTAACTCAACCTGTCCACTTTGTGGCCAACCAATATTTGAAGACTGTAAAGGTGATAGGCAAATGCCTTGGCGAATAATTCATGTTTCCTTTTATTACAATTGTGAAACTTGAAACATATTTCGCAAAATGCTGCCGAGTGCGGATATTATTGCGCTGTAAGTACATTTGGTTTCTGTCTTAACTTAGCATTTCGTGTCTGTTGGAGATATCTACAATTCAGCAGCACACACAGGTTCACTTATCTGTCTCCTACGAGTAGAACTAACCTATCTGATGGTCATCCATCCCCAACCAATTTTTATTCCCATTTGAGCAGAGGCCTTTCCCAAAATTGCTCAGTCTGCTCGCAACCACCAACCCAACCAACCAGACCGTACTTTCTCTCTCTCCTTCTCTTCTGTATCCTTTATACCATCCTTGTTTTACGCAATATGTGTGTGTATCAGTTAGTTGATACTCGTTGCCAACAATTATTATCATCATCTCATCATACAACACTCTCTGCTTGTGTATTCATTATTCTTACGTCGAGTTGAGTTGTCAGAACTTTGTTTAATTCACCTTTCTATTGTGATTGATATACTCGCAATGTTAACCAAACCAAATCATCATCATCCTTCTTCTTTTGCATCCCATGCAATGCTTGTTCCAATCTGTCTGTTACTTCCATCCTAAATAGTGATCATCTGTTTCCTTTCAATGACCGCATGGGCAACGTTTTCATCATTTGCACACAATCTGGGCTGAAATCTGGAAAGAAAAACTTGGTGCTCAGTCAATAATTCCAATTTCCAGATTTTGTCTGATTACGTGATAGGTTCGTGTATTGGAAAAATGTGAGCCCTTGGAATTGTAAAAGGGGATTTGTGTTTAATTTAACATTATTATCATAACATGTGGTTATTTTTATAAGTTTCATCATTTTTTTCATCTGGTTTTCTATTTTATAATCAACTACAGATGAATACTTACTTATCCCAAATAAGAAAGACGCTCCTGTATGCAGATTTATAATTTGGTCTGTTATATTGTTTCGAAAACATTTTAGGCTATTTAAGTACAACAAGGTTTGTTTGTTATTGTTTTCACAAGACTTGCTATTGTATATAGTATTCAAATCAGTATTCGATACGGAAAGAAGCTTATGTACCTACATTTCCACTACATCCTTGCAGCACAATACGCTCACCACAAGCTCATAACTTACTTGATTACATATCAATTAACCGTGTCAAAGAAGTACTTTTATGGTGCGAACATTTAGATAATAAAAATATATTTATCCTGGAAAATGCCGGTGGCATCATCTCCAATAAGAAGCGTTATTACATACTAAAAAACGTATGCGTCAAGTTTGGGATACACTTTAATGGCAGATGTTAATTGCAACCTGGACGCCGCTACCAGTAAGAAACCTTTGTTTTTTGTCATTTATAAGCCGTCATTTTAATATTTACAATAGCAAATGTGACAAGACCTGCCAAAACATTATTTTACCAATGCCAATTTTGTGGAATGAAATGCATTTCATTTAAATGAACGGACTGGGTGTAACAGACATGAAGTTTAAAGATTGAGAAAAGCCAGCTTATAATTTTCATACGCATGCATGTCTTTGAATTATAACAAGCAGCAGAGAGGAAACACGCTCATTGGTTTAATTCAATGTTTTCTTTTACCTTTTGAGAAGGAAATTCATGAATTGACATGTGTTGAAGAACCGCTGTTAACTAAATCAATATTTGGACAGTGGAACAATATAATGGTGCCTGTTTCTTTCCATTCAGACGGGGAAAGCATTTACATGACAGCGCTATGTATTACATGACGTTTTCATTACGGAAAACCGAACCGAGTTTTACCAATACCACTATTGTCATCGCATCAGTCACTTATAATCAAAGTTGAAGTGTTTTATTTGGACCTTGTATTTATTGAACACACATATACATGCATACTTACTTACCTATAATTGATTGGGAGAAGCGGCTCATTATTTTCGTTAGTATTTGATAAACTCGTATCATAGGCAGTAATGGACGATTCACAGCGAAAGGAGTAAATCAAAATTAGATAAGACAAGTCCGCAAGCACAAAATATTTCCACTTGATTCAGTATTAAATGGTCACCGTTGACTTCGCCAGGAAACTTTACATGACATCCGGCCGCCAATTCTTTCCATCCGATTTGTAATGCATGTCTGCATGTAGCAATTTTTGCATGTTGCATAATATTAACGCAAACCAATCAGTTTATTGCAATTTAATACAAATTGATGATCATGCATTTGTGGAATGCGATCGGAAATTGATTAGGGATGATTCGACGTAATATTATTTTATATTCTATCACAATGCTGCACTGCACAGTGCAAATTTTTCGTAGGTTGTAGGTAGGGGAAGTTTAGCATTTCTTGATATTTTTTCACTATACATCACGGTTTGATCAATTGTGGAAATAACTTATTTTCGAGTTAGAGGTGTCTTTGTACTTTCAATAAAATGAAATTGGATTTCTTTCATGGTGCTATAATGATAATAAGTATGCATGAATTGGACGTAAAAAATCAGCGTTGATTGGAATTTTTGAGCGATGATTGTCCTTCATCGATCTAGTGTTGTTTTCATGTGCCCAATTGTATGTAACAAAAAGCACAATAATACCAAGAAAGCTACTGCTATTGTACGCAGTTCCTTTACTTTCTCCATGAATTGTAGTAAGTAATCATTGGTATCTGATTGAACTTGTTGAAAGATAAATATTCTTAAGAATAACGTCGTCGTTCATGTTTGCTCTTGCTGTAATAACAAGTTTAAGTGATTCGAAGAATTGAATTACATTTCCTTTATGGTTCGATATATCGCTATCAAATACAACTGAACGACATGACCACAATGGAATTTAATTCTGGCCTGAATAAAGAAAAACCGGCTCATGTCGTCAAAACGTGGACACTTTTTCTAATCCTACAGCCCAAAGTTCAAGTATTCATTTGAGCCATTCCCTTCAATAGATCGATTTACTTATGAATTATTCTTTTCATTCGGGTGACTTTCAGTATTTCAGTTAAAAACATGTGGATGTACATTTTAAACATAAGTACATGCATGTATTTATTCAATGCGTCGACGTATATCGAATTATATTAAGCACCAAGTTTTTACATCTGCAAAACATACTGCAAGGCATTTCCATATTAGCGAACTTTTGCATAATGTTTAGAATTGAACAAGAGAGTTTATTCGAGTTTTGTGTATTACGAAATGTAAAAATTACATAATTGAAATCTGATGTTCATATTGTATTCTTGACTGATTTTAAAACCCTTAACCTGTGAAATTACCAATTCATGCGTATACCTGCTATTACTTTACTATCACTAAATATGTAAAAACACTTCTAGTCGGTAAAATTAGACAAGGAAACACGAAAAATTTGACCACGCTAAAAACATATTAAGCATTTCAATAACTAATATACGTGTATAGTATTACTTCTTAGCATATATTATATGTACATAATCATATGTAGCTTCTTATATATTAATGTGTATTCGTAGAGAGGAGTGGCAATGGGGAAGTCCTGGTGGGTGACGATGATGAAAAAAGTGTGCAGATCTTTAGCGACGCTGCCAAGTACAGCTACACCGCACTCACTGCCCTCGCCCTTCGAGACCTGTACATGGAGGACCTTCACCACCATGCTTTCTCCAGAGAATTTGTGCACAACATCCGAATTCACTTGAAATTGCCCCTTCATTCTGACGAGGTCATGCTCGCGCTATTTCAAGGAGAAGGGGTCCAGAGTGGCGACGTCTACGTGGAGTTGGTCAAACAGGAGGTAATCGCTTAGAAATTAGTTCTCATGAAATATTACTTAATAAGCAGGGGTTCATAATAATGATAATTTTAGGGTCATGCATTTGCCTTCTTCATTGTCAAGGATCTCGTGTATCATTCAGTCCGAAGCGGTAAGCCTGAGAACTTTGGTAACTTTAAACATTTGAAAGAACATTGCAGACAAAGTATGGCAAAATGCTCGTCGGTTCGATTTGGCTAACTTATTTGTCCGTACTGTTAGCATTGAGTATATTAAGGTTTTGAAATTAGGGTGGTATTGCTTAATAATAAGTGATTATATATTATGTAATTTGAACGATTTTAATACACGTCTGTGTTACCTAATTACCTATCTTGTCACCTAATATTTTTCTATTGTTGTATTTGTGCTGCATCTTTCTATTCTAAAAGGCGTACTTTCTGGTAAACTTTCTCTCATGATTGTAACGTAGATTACATAGAATATTATTGTTTAATAAAGTATGACATATCCATATTTCTTATTAAAAATCTAGGAAAATATGATGCAAGAACGAGAGCAATGATCCTTGTCGTGGCAAAGTCCTTGGATATTCGTTCCTCGTTAGTTGAGATGATGGAAGAGTCTGCAGTCAAATACTTGACAGAGACCATTGTCCCCAAGACCGAGTAAGTTTTATGCCAACGCATTCTTACCAATTATTTCTAAATTCTATATATATGATTGTATAGAGCCGAGCTGAAAGAAACTCTGAAACGACAAAAGACTCGGAAATATAAGGTATTTTATAATGTCACATCTCACTTGTACTATCAATTAGGTGTTCTTGCCTTAATTAATTTTATCTGTGTATTACTATAAAAATTAGCGGTATGCTCTTGTGGGGCTGGCAACGCTGGGCGGAGGAGCGATTCTTGGCTTAACAGGCGGGTTGGCGACACCCTTAATTGGTGAGTAATTAATAGCTGACCTTCAGTTATGACCCACCCATTCATCTGACTCGTCACGTTCTCATCTTCTAACCAAGAAATCGCAGATCTCTCACGTGACTTCACGGCTTGAGACTTTTTAAATACGAACTGTCCTGGATGTCAAATTTATATGCAACAGAGTTTGTCAACCCTTATGATTGGGACTATTTGACCTAATTTGATTAATTTTTATCTAATTACATGATTGATTCTATTAGGTGCAGGTCTCGGGTCTCTTCTGGGAGCTGGTACGGCTGCAGCCCTTTCTAGCACTGCTGGTATGTTATAATTTAATAAGTTGATTACTTTGACAGTTAATTAGGCTACAACGACGGAGAACGACGACGTAATACGTAGAGCTTTCTACTCCTCTTTCCCTGTTGCATTATTGTTGATATTTGCTCGTAATCACTTTTTTGATGAAATCCCAAAGCTTATAATTGTACATTTTAATTGAATTATGTGCGAAAATTATAGGAAAATGTTTTATCCTTAATATTTGATTATTTCTAGGAGCTGCTGTGATTGGGTCACTATTTGGTGTGGCCGGTGCTGGTTTGTCGGGTTTCAAGATGCAAAAGAGAGTTGGCGAGGTGGAAGAGTTTGAGATAAAACCACTGGGAAAAGTTTATGCCAAGTAAGGATATCACACTTTCTATATGCAGTGTGTATGCCATTCGTTATGTTATCGTTATTACAGATGATATTTATTATTTGTTGCTCTGATTTCAACAATCCATGACCTTTGTGATTTTCTTAAGGAATCTGCACCTGGCAATTGCCGTGTCGGGCTGGCTCAACGACCAAACGGGTGACCAAGGGTTTTTCATTCCGTGGAAGAATTTGAAAATATCGCAAGAACAGTACTGTATTTTTTATGAGTCACAATACCTATTGGAATTAGGTCGTGCTGTTGATTACCTTCTTAGTTTTGCCGTCTCAATGGTATGTCATTGTGCATATTTTAATAACCCATGACTAATCCTGATGGATACTAAGATTTGACCGTCAAACACATTTTTCCATAGGCTGCACAGGAAGCATTGAAACTCACTATTCTTTCAGGTAATTTAATTTTCCAGCTTTAACAAAGATTTGAAACAAAATTGCACAAATTTTTCTAACAAATGTTTACTTAATTTTAGGCCTAATTTCAGCCATAGCTTGGCCAGCATCACTTCTCACACTTGCGTCAGTCATCGGTTAGCTTATAGACGCATATGCATATATAATAATTATTCTAATATAAATTGTACTGAATTGTTCTTAATTCTCTTGTTTTTCATAAATCTGACGACATTGACTAATTGAATCTGACTTGGATCTCGTTTCTAGACAATCCTTGGGTAAATACGAGGAATACCTTCTATATATTGTTACTTTAAACCTTTAAGTGCTACAATTAAAAACATTTTTTACATTTCTCAAATTACAGGGAGTATGTTGTAGAAGGTCTGCACAAATCGGAAGAACACTAGCGGAAGTACTAATTTCCAGGCGACACGGGAATCGCCCAGTCACACTGGTTGGATTATCGCTCGGGGCTCGAGTAGTGTTTTATTGTCTTCTTGTATGACCATTATTATTTTTGAGTTTACTTACTACTTTAAACTTGAAATATTTTGAACCATATTACAATTTATGGCCTATTTAGGAGCTTTCACAAAGGAAGGGACCTGAAGTTGAGGGACTTGTCCTTGATGCAGTCATGCTAGGGACTCCGGTGATGAACCTTTTCAAACTTATATGAATATATGAATATATTTAATATAAACCGGAGTCATGTACAATATGAAAATTCGGCTTATGTACAGAGAAATTCGGGATTGGGTAATATAATATTTTATTATTTTGCAGGTCACCGGCAGGGCGTCAACTTGGAGTTCTCTTGCTCGTGTCGTTTCTGGAAAGATTGTAAATGGCTATTGCAAAACAGACTGGCTTCTTAAATTTCTATATAGAAGCACAACTGGGCACTATAGGTAGGGACATATGCAATTCGCTCTTTTTGTAAAACCAGTTGAACCACTCAGCTACATACATATAATGAGTAAATGATCTTTCTTTTTAGAATTGCTGGACTCGAACCCGTAACTTGGGCGCATCCTCGCATGCATAACGTTGACCTATCTCATATCGTAGCTGGACATACAGATTATGCCGAGAAAATTGACGAGATCCTAATATCTCTTGGCTATGCGGAGGAGTTGGACATGGCATCTGAGTTAAGAAGAAGCGTGTCTACAATGCATCTTAGAGAAAAAGAACGCCATTTTAAACGCACACCTTCAGTTGACTCCTTCCTGTCCCTCCACAAACATAAAGTTCATCACCATATTGACATTGATGAGCTGAGGGCTTCAACCTCTTCTTCTGCACCAACGCCAACACCTTATTCGACGTCCTCAACAAATGGCAGCAGCAATATCTAAAAATCGATACATTGCTGACCGGTATCCGACCCATCACGCAAGCAGTCAGTATTATTTATTACATTGGTATAATGAATTACTCGACTATGCTGCACTGGAGAAAACTTTAATCTAGCTGTTACATTCCAAACAAAAGTATTGCTAAATCATTACATTCCAGAATCTTTGTAAAACGCTCGTCATGTGATATCTTACATATTATGTAACTTGAGTATATATTCCAAAGATTCTCATTATCATGTTATATCATGTTTGAAGTGATCTAACACAAAGGAAAATCAAATCTAGTCTGAAGTGTACGAAATCCGAAAGAAAAAAGACGGGTTTTACAGGGTTTTCACGCGCGACCTGCTTCCTCCAAGGCTTCCTCGTTCAACAAAAAACTAAACTCTATCAATATGTATAACCAATTTACTATGAAAATTCATCAATATTAACGTTGCATATCAAATTCTGCCTGCAAAATCCAAAATTTTATACCGGTATATAAGATTCCTAACTTCGAAACCTTACATGAAATTAACAATTACTGGTAATCAATACGTATGTAATTGGCACAGTGAATCTTAAAATCATTTAGTCAGATAAATAATTACTTAGATGTACTCTTATGTACTGGCGTACCTTATAAAAACACTATTACAATTGTGGTATGAAAAATTCCTGTAGCCAAATTCATTACCTTTGTCAATGAGAAATGCAGTATTTTCTTGTTCTAGGAGAGGAAACAGAGACTATTTTTTAGTGAAGTGCGAGAAACATAAAAGAACCCTTGTTATTTTAAACTTTTAATTTTAGTTTAATACTGATAGACAGCTAATCCCAACATAATAAGAATGTGTAGTTATCCTAATATGTAATGCATATTATGAATTTTGGGAAACTTTGATTTGGAAATGTTCATATTTATGTATACCTTAATACAGATGATACCTACATAATACCTACAAATCTCTTCCAAAATAAACCATAACTTTTTTGACAGATACCAACACAGGTATTACCAAACTACTAATTTCCCATTACAAAAAAATAGATAGCGGTAAAAAAATCACAATGTCACTAGGATTCAACGCCAATCTACAACACAGACAAACAACCTCACAACAAATTATACCAAACCAAAATATATAAACGCTGTAGTCAACTATTGTACTTATGTTGTATTTAAATAGTTAAGTAAGCAATTAACATGTAGATGAGCTTGTTAAATTGTAAGGAAAAAATCATATTTAGATATGCAACATTCAATTTAAACATTAGATTGAATTAAAGACTAATAGACTATTTATAGAAATTAGATAATCAAGCGCAGTTTTAAAAAATAAATTGAATAAACTCAGACAGCATTTAATTGTCAGTTTATTTACACCAAAATCTATCATTCTATTGTGCACCAAATTTGAACGGCATTACATCTCTTTATTTATAGAGCTTCAGAATTTCAAACTCTAGTGGGGCAGTATGCGAATATATTCAATTCCTAGCATAAATTGTTTATGCTATAAGATACGAAATTAACGGTCAACTCGTGGTGTTTAATTAATGCCTGGACAAATAATTTCCAAAACACTTTAAAGCATATGAAACACCTTTAGTCAAGATCATAGAGTTAAAATCGACTAAATATTTCATCTTGTGAGGAAAACAATAATCAAACCAATCCAGTTAATTAGCATCGGTATAAAATTATTTTATACTTACTTGTATGTAGCAGCAGGTCACTAACAATAAGTATGCATAACAAATAATAATCTTATCAAGAACAACTGCTCACTCATCGGCAAAGTGGAGCAATAAAATGAAATTGGTTAATTAAATATTTTAATAAATAAAAATACATGCGTATCTGGTATCTGTACATACATCAATCGCACAGACAATGTACACGTCCTCCTTCAATGATGCATGACAATTAACTACGAAATCACTACCATAAAATGACAGTGTTAAGTTCTGGGTCGGTCCGTAAGTCAATGCAAGTCGCCCCGTAGAGGAGACAAAGAAGGAAGCGGAGCAAACACTGCATGCATGAATGCATGAACTGCTACCCCATACATACATCAACTGATCAACCAACCATCATTACTCATCAATAGTGGTTATCATGATAAGTGATCGTGATAAACACTATTAATTAATTATTTTAGTTTGAGAAACTCCACCCACAGCGAGTGGCATATCAATTCGAATGTATTTTTGACGCTGAATCCAACGCCATTAATGGTTTTGACCACCGAGGCCCCCGTGACCTTCCCGTGACCGTGGCAGCCAAATATGGCTTATTCGTGATGTCGCATATCAATTCGAATGTATTTTTGACGCTGAATCCAAAGCCATTAATGGTTTTGACCTCCGAGGCCCCCGTGACCGTCCCGTGACCGTGGCAGCCAAATATGGCTTATCCGTGATGTCGCATATCAATTCGAATGTATTTTTGACGCTGAATCCAAAGCCATTAATGGTTTTGACCTCCGAGGCCCCCGTGACCGTCCCGTGACCGTGGCAGCCAAATATGGCTTATCCGTGATGTCGCATATCAATTCGAATGTATTTTTGACGCTGAATCCAAAGCCATTAATGGTTTTGACCTCCGAGGCCCCCGTGACCTTCCCGTGACCGTGGCAGCCAAATATGGCTTATTCGTGATGTCGCATATCAATTCGAATGTATTTTTGACGCTGAATCCAAAGCCATTAATGGTTTTGACCTCCGAGGCCCCCGTGACCGTCCCGTGACCGTGGCAGCCAAATATGGCTTATCCGTGATGTCGCATATCAATTCGAATGTATTTTTGACGCTGAATCCGAATCCGTCAATAGTTTGACGTTAATTATAGAAGTTGGGGTTTATGGAACTGAACGGGAGCGTGAAGCGCGGGAATATAAATAGTTAGCTATGCAGTTACTCCCACACGACGGGAATTTAAGTAATTAGCTATTCAACTACTCCCACAGGGGGAAATCAAATTGTACTGTGACCAGGTTAATTAAAATGCAGTATGACTGGGGCAAACCCTCACTCTGATGTATGTATGTAGTACGACGAAGTCTCCACTGGGAATTATTTAAAGTATAGCATGACGGATTTTTCGCTTTCACCCCCCACTGGAACTCTAGAACCCGGCCTTGGCCGGGCTATACGCTAGTATATAATAATCCGGTATAATCAATTTATTCCCGTGATCCTTATGCATTCATCTTCTGAAGAAGATGACATTCACATTCATGCATTTTCTTCAGGCTGCATCTCTATCTAGTACTTAAATTTCTTGAACAGAAGTGATTTAGAATATTTTAGCGATATCTTAGCGTTACTAGCAAAATTATAAAGAGGAAATAAATATAGTTAGGCATTTATTGGCACATGGATCAAATAAATATCTTCCATGTTCAGCAAGGCTCGTTGTGTCCGTTATTTAATACCTCTATAATATATAGCGATAGTTAGGTAACGATCTTGCTCACACAAAACCAAAATAAATTGATGCCTAAGAAGTAGATCGGGGGAACTACTTTGACATGAATTTCTCAAGATGTATTTATGTATATGTAATGTAGCTGATTGATTAATTGCATGCATCCCCTTTCAACAATTTCCACTTATGTCCTCAAATATATCACTCAAATATTTAGTTTTGCCAAATTTTGCCCATGTTCAAGGAATTTGTTAACATCAACTAATTAAACTTTATCACCTTCAAGTCAGAATTCTTCCCCAGTTTTACTTACTTAATTATTAATTGGCTCGCAGTAAAAGTTACCTCATTCAGAGTCATTCATTAAATCAGTAGTGCCATAATCATATTGCTGTGCATTTGTTTTATAATTATTAATGTTGGTGGTTGTAATTGAACATCGCCTGTTGACGTGCTTCTCAATAGCGATTTAAATCACCAAAATAACTATTTATTTATTTGTAAATACTTTCAACTACTTTATGTACATATGCACGTTTGTTATGATGACTGAGGATGAGTTAGAGTTGACTCCAAAGTGACACAATAAAGTGCATTTCAATTTAATTTGAGATTAGTATGTATGCAGTATCTATGCACAATGCATCTGATTATTCCGTTTGACCATAAATTGGAAGATCGTTGTTTGGGAATGCCAATTAGCCTTGAGACAGATGCAGCTATTAGGAATGATTATTGAGACAAAATTCAAAGCTGTCAATGATGAAAAAAACTGTTACTGTTAATGTGTCAACTGAATTGATCAATAAGTTCATTCAAATACACAAAAGATCTTTATAATATTTAAGTATGCAATTCAATATGTAACAAAACAACCTTGATTATTGCTATCATTTTAATCTTGGCAGTTATATTTCTTTGTTTATTTAATGAGATTACAATGCACCTCAAATTAGGTCATTGATACAGTGACAGTGCATCTTACTCTATATATGCATAATAAATTTCTATCGATTCTATAACTGGTAACACTATTGGTATTAAAGTCATTTTTATTGAACCGAAATTAATTGTATAATAATTTCAACAAGATACATATAGATCGGAATTAAAATACAAGCAAATAAATTAAAAACTGCCAACGAAATATTTCCAAAATAAAAAGATTTCCGAAGTATGCATTGATTTTTATCAAATCGTGTTAAACAATAACAAATTATACAATTTCATTAATGTATGTATTCTGAAAAAAATTAAACCAAGTTAAACACACCTCTTTCCTTTGTCATCACAAGTCTTTCCATGAGGACAACAATGAATTTTATCTGGACAACACATTGCACCATCAAACGGGCAACAGCCCCACCCACCACTGGCCAGGGCACAACATGTATACTTATCAGGGCACGTTTGTTCTCCACCCCCACAGATTTTCTTGTCCACTGAATAATAAAATTCATGATTATTATTTACACTTAATTACCTTCAGTCATGAACCTGTAAAAGCAGTTTACAGTAAAGGTTCATGCCTTCGCTATATTCAACAAGATTTTAAGCCTAAAGAATGAATTATGTTATCACACTCACCCATTGTTGCATTATGACCACTATCGACCCCATCTTCGGTAATCAAGTTCTGAGCAAGCCACTCCTCTCGGGTGAAACTTTTGTAAATCATGGTCCACCATTCGGGCTCTGAAACTTCATTAGGAATGCACCGAGAGTGGACAGTGTCACACTTGCTCCCTAAAAAGTGCAACAATTACGAGTGAAATGGATATATGTTTAGTTGCAGTTGGTTACTGGTAATTAAGGCCGTCAAACCATGAATAGCTAACTAAAGACTAACCATGAGGACAGCAATGCTGACCGTCGTTGCAGCACGTAGCACCCGGATATGGACAACAGCCATAACCTCCTCGGTTATCTGAACAGCATGTTTGGGTCTTACTACACCTGGTTTTGTGGTCAGGACAAGTGTCCCCCGAGACAAAAGCGATTAAAATGCAAATATGCAGCAGCACTACGAAAACGCCACAATGTTTCCCCATTCTTGTTGATTATTTGGCTCCTCAAAAATTTGTCTATGTAGTTGCTTTGCTAAACTCATGCAAGGGATTCACCAGATCAAGGCAGTGAATAAAATATTATCGTATTATCGTGGTCAAAAGGTTATCGTCCAACTACTAACTACTATTGCGGCTGGGATAAAGTGTTGTTTAAATAAATTTTCCTTCAATTCTTCTGGCAAGTTTAAATTAAATTTAGGCAGCTACAATGCAAGTATAAGTAAACGGTTCCTCCAGCAGCAGCTGACCATTTGGATTCACCCCCTTCTTACTATTTGACTTGATTGCATAGCTGGATGCTGAAGAAGGCAATGTCAAACATGTTGACGTATGTAAACTGCCTGAAGCCGAAGCCAAAAAATTTAATAAAATCATTTCATACTCGTTTAGTCCATGATTCAATCCTTATAGCATTACAAGTTTATTACAAGTTTATTAATCAATTATAAATGTATTTATCTTATCCAATGAATAATATTCATCATTCTCGGATTTCTACAATATGCAATGTTAGAAATGTTAGCATGTCAATATTATGAGTGACTTCCTTTTTATGAACACTCAAATAATGGTTTCCATTTCCTTGTGATGCAAGTTGGTATATTTGGTGATTTAAAATCGCCAAGCATCGTAATTTTTAAATCTCATAAATTATGCATTCATCATGTTGTAATGTACACCGTTTATAGTGCACATGTAGCATAATTATTAGTAATTATTGGCACCACTGGGAATGCTAAAATGAGTGGGAAGGGCCAATAAATCCAAATCAAATCGATTTATATAATGCAATGTGTGCAGGTACAGAACTTTTCGTTACTATTAATTGTGCCTGTAATGAGTACAGACGCCATTTCAATATTAAATAATGATGCGTTTGGTTAGTTAAAAAGTTTGGTTGATGTTCTCCTTCTTTTTATCTTCATATATGTCCCCATGTATGTATATGCATTGCTAACATACAGAGGACATTTACTTGCCCAACAATATTTATTTATGATTTTGCATGATTATAAATTTGCATAATTAAAAAATCAGCATAACTAGAAACCGGATAAGTAATCTTATCAGTTTTATACGTGAATACAAATGCAATTATGCACAATTCCAAAAATCGTCACTTAATTAACTTTAGTTTGGGACAGCCAGTTGTCAATTAAATGATTTTGAATACTTACATCAGTGTTCACTTGCTTTATCTGATTCACTTTACTAAATAAATCTAAAAGGTGGTTGCAGTATGCATTCTGTCTGTAGTCGTATTTGTTGGACGATCCATGTTGCTCGAAGATAATGGGATAATGCACTATCCGATACGATTCGATTGGCATTAAGTAGGACATATTCGACATATTCCACCATCAGGTTTGTCCAGGAATTAGCCCACCAAGATAGGAAATATAGTTCTTAAAAAACGCCCCATGATATAAGAAAATTAAAACCCATGCAAATCATATTCTCAATCATACATAACATGAATAATACGTAACACTACATCATTTATTATGGGTGAAGTTGAATAAGTTTATGATAAGTATACGGAGTTAGATTAGCACTATGACATGCCACCAAATTACAAGCAAGATATGAAGATGATGTATTTTGCACAAAAATGAGAACCAGCATAATAAGTCATTGATTACTTTGATTATATATGTATGTACGTATATATGTAATGTATGTGTTTATATTTATTCAAACCACACTAAAGTATCTGACAATATTTGATATATTGGTATAGATAAATATTAACTATATATTTACACGTACTTATTCTAGTTATTTCTCTGCTTAAATTTGGAGTGGTACTTTTATTGTCATTTTATAGTACAATGGATTATATTCTTCTTGTCGAGTCGTCAAATTCGTCAGAAACAGTGCGCTATGCACTACACGTAAGAACGATTACTTGTATTTTTCGATACGATTTTTCGATGCATCGATAACTTTTGGGCTTTTGGGTGCATATTTAGGACTCCTAATCCTAAGTTAGAAGGATGGGAATACAAGTGATGAAATTATAGGCTTTTGTTTGTAACAAAAATCTTATCCACACCTGGGGGCATAATATAGTTCTTCTAGTCTAACCATAGAAAACCTAAAAATACTGAGAAATTGTTAGAAATTAAATCACAGTAGTTCTCGGAAGATATTACTTACTTCATAAGCAGGAGCTAATAATAATGATAATTTTAGACATATGTGTATATTTGTCTTATTTTCTTTACTATAATTAAAATTACCAAATTACAATTAAATTACAAATGATGATTGCACAGAAATTGGGACACAGGAAGGGTGTCTATCTATCGAAATGTATGCTTATATGTTGGCAGCCATACAACATGGTTTAGTTTTACTTTGATATTCATCACTTGTTCGTCTTCAGTTTACATCATAATTTTTCTTCTTTTTTTGTAACATTGTGCTGACAGGACTTATCGCCATGCCTTATCAGTTTTTTGGAGGTGTCGTGACTCGCGTCGTCACGACCCAACTTACTTCTCTCTCATTGACAAGCAACTGAGTAAAGACAATGAGTGACCGAGTGATATTTGATACGAAACAATGATTTCAATTTGTTTTTCAACGACGACCAATGTGAAGTAAACTAAACTAACTAATGTCTTTCACTTCCATCCATCCACCTTAATACAATGCAGCCTGATATTCAATTGATTCTTGCTAATGATCATTATCAACCATTAGTTTCCTGAAAGAACTCACTACACACCACACACAAGCGAAAGATGGACGAAATGAATAGAAATAAAGATTCACATTTAGGCCAATAGACAATGACATATTACACTTCCAATCCATTTCCTGGCTTGTCAAAAATATTGTTACATTTATAAATATAAAAAATTAAATTTTAATGCAACTCAATTTAATACTTGTCGCTAATCCTAAGTCTGCCCATGCTTCATTGTTTCATATGATGACGATAATCCGTATGCAGAAATGTCAATCCTTTCTTTAACGCGAAATTAACCCATTTTCAACCAAGCAATAGCTTCCAATACGCTGCCACGATCCAAAGTCATAAAATCAACTTTATAAAACTTTTAACATGATTGGATTTCAGTCTATTCAACAATTTGTCGAGACATGAAATAATATTTGTAGCACATGCGACACTAATTTTCATTTTTCCAAATAACTTAAAAAGGTAATCTTCATTGTGTATTATTAGATTATGTAATACAGTGGAATAAAACAAATACAAATGTAATCATTATTTTGAGGAAATACGCCATACATTCATCTAAATACATTGGATTTGTGTATGAATGTATGTTGTATGTTAGCGTGGTTACTTCGTGTCACCTCTGTCATAATGTCATAATATTATGATTATCATAGACAATTTATCTACATGTGTGCACTGTGCACCGCTTCCCAGATACATCATTATTGGTTTTATTGAATATTCAGCCTAAATATAAGCACCCCCATAAATGCAAAAAACGTCGAACTGTTTATATTTATTGCATTTGCTCGTGGACTACGTGGACTCGAAAAAATCACACAAAAAATACAATAAAAACAATACAGAATTATACATTTTAGTGAGATGATGATGCCGTGAACAAATAATGAAACAGGTTTGTTTTAGGAATCTCAATTAAATGTGTCAATACGCGTCAGGGAAAGATGGGTCATCTTCTTTCTGTCCCTCATACAATTCCTTCATGACATGATGCACTCTAAAAATTTGGACATTGTCTCCTTTTATTTATATCGAATTGAATTTTTATCGAATGCCAAAGCCAAAAATCATGTTAATAAAAGTAAAAGTACACGCGGCGAAGGATCTATTAAAGTACACCCATGAAATTTATGTTTAATCGGAATGTGAATTATACATACCTAAACATATATCAAGTTTCTTTGTTTGTATTTTTTACATAAGAAATAAAGTTTGCAAATAGTAAATTTGTTACTTGAATTATTAAGTAGCTTCAGCTACTTTATGTGAAGACTTTGTCTGTCTGTCTGTCCGTCTGTCCGTCTGTCTGTCTGTCCGTCTGTCAGCAGGATAACGGGAGAACGGATAAAGATAATCGAAATCGGTTTTCGCCATCATACATAAGACCCCAGGGGGAGGATCCTATCAACTTTTGGGTGCAACCGGACCACACCCCCGGGCGCCAGGGGGTGTGGTCGGGGCAAAATGAGATTTTTAGTGCAATTGAATCAATGGATGAAATAGAGTGAAATTTTGAGTTCCCCCGTTGTGCCACACCCCCCGGGCGCCAGGGGGTGTGGTCGGGGCAAAATGAGATTTTTCAAAAAATTGAATCTGTAGATGAAATACAGTGAAATTTAGTGTTCCCGCGATGTCGTAGGAGTGGTTGGGGTGAAATAAGTCTGAAGCTACTTCCGTATGCGCGTTTGCGACGGTTTATTTACATATAAAGTTTCATATTTCCAAAGTTTATTTAGTTTTGTCAAAGATACATGTACATAAGTGGTTTATTGTAATGTGTCACTTAAATTAAAGCATTCTTTAACACAGATTCTTTTAATTTCAACATAGTGTTCAATGTCAAAAAATATGCACATTGGCCGGCCTGGCCAATGTGCAGGCCAATGTGCCTGCATTGTACAACAATTTCTTAATCAACTATTTAGCAGGATGCCGACAAAGTTTAATTATCTCATTGTTGTTACAACAGAAAACCACAAGCCCATGATCACAACAAACATCTCTATGCATAATTTCGTCTCATCTATTCTTCCTCCTGATGCAAGTCGGAGGGTGGAAACTCATCTTCAAAGATGTACATGTGCATGTACATTAATATATATGCACAACCTGATCGAGAGGCCTCGCCTGTCTGCCAGTGGAAAATGGAATAATATCAATTTTGTCAATTTAATTTGTAAATTTATTAGCCAAGCAAATAATAAAAAGTAATAAATACTCAGTTATTAAATAATCAACGCGGAACGAGTTGCATCAGCTAATAAAATCAAAATGTCATGTTGGCTGACTTTGTTACTCAAGCTTTTGATAAATTGTAGGAAGTTGGAGTTTTGTGTGTTGACTATGTCATTTGTATGTCAGTGTTACAAAGCCCATTAGATGATCGCTGTTACCGATTAGTTTAAGGCTGATGCAACTGCATCATTTTAATAATAATAACATGATGGTAATAATCCACACGCAGTTCGCATATGCACAAAAATCACAAGGGTACTAATTATATTATCACACACTTTATCATGATGTCGTATCAAAATTGTTCAAAATCATCTTTATTTATTCATTGCAATGATCATATATGAACGTGTACATATTTATGTAGCTACGACGGAAGTATAAGCAAAATGCATTTGCATTTAGCCAGTCAGACTGGCGAATGGATCACTGAAGATTTTGAAGGAGGCCTTCTTATTATTCTTATGCAATCGGCGAGGGTAAAGGTGAAAAAGTAAGGTGTGCATTTGTACAATTTGAACAATATCATGGAATGAAGGTGTATTGCAAGTACATTCATACATGAATTGTACCTCTACTTGTCACTCATTTCTACAGGTTTGTTGACTGTATATTTACACTAACAAAAGATTGGTCATCCCTTGCAAATTTTTGCCGTTTTACTGTCTTTACTAATAAAAACGGTCCTAACAGCAATTCATTTGCACTTAAAAGTCTGTTTTCATTATTTTTTAATGTACTTACTTGAGTCAGACAGTGGCCAAAAAAGTTCCCTTTTGTGGTCATCAATTCTTCTTCCCATCTTCTGATTCACACGTATGTATTTGTATACGAGATGACCCACTACCTTCGATCAGGAACCATTGATCTCCTGACTTGTGTGTCAACCAGCCAAATTTGCCTAGCAGAGTTAGCTCGTTATTACATATTGCATACGTTGTGATGAATAATCTGTCATAATGCAGCCAGCCAGCACTCGTCCTCAGTGCATCCTCATATTTTGATGCAACAATGGAAGAAGAGGAGTAAAAGTGATACATTGTTATTCAAAATGAAGATGATGATGAGATGACTATGACCAAATCAATTTTTTAATGTAATCTGAGCTAGCCAACGCCACTTTGAATTGTCAATCTGTATAATTCACACTCACGACCGAGTGGATCGACTTGATTATTTGCTGTCCATTCACGACCAACAAAAATTTGACAGGAGATTGAAGCAGTAATCGAATTCAGATTGAGATTACTTAACTAACCAAATGTCCCACCAGAGCACCAACAAAATAAGGATAAGCAAGTGATCGTCATTTCACATTCAACGACTGAATAATGGAATGTCTAATCAAGTGGTTGATCTGCGTACTGTCTGAGCTGAGGCTTAAGTTTAAAAATGGAAAAGAAAGTGAATTCATCATTCAGTCAGACAACAGATTAGGATGGTTGATAAGTAGGATTGCTAATATTTCATATTTGTCTGGTATTCGTATTGTCTCAGAATATGAATTGTTGCAATTTTCTAAAATATTTTGAATAAGTACTATTTTGTGAATATACGGGTTGATCCGGGTTATTATTAAAAATGAGAATTGTTTTTAAAAGTCATTGTTATATGCCTTTTTAAATTGAAATGAAACTGCGATCACAACAAATCTAGGAATCTTTTTTTTTACATCTAACGCAGACCTATCCTATAAATTCAAAACAATTTGGATTATTTAGCCTTGAAGTCAACTCTTGTATTTAATATTGTTTTTGTTTATGCGTTCCTAAATTTGATGCCAATTATGGAAAATGTTTGACATTTAGAAAATTTGATGTGAATTTAATGGGATTGCGATCTTTCTTTCTGAATCACCTTGAATTTTTTCAACTATAGAATCTGTTATTCAACATGTGAGCCTATTAGTAAAATTAGCAGTCGTAGGACATGCGCCTCAAACTACCATTATAATTTCAATTAGAAAAAATATTATTGAAATTCTCAGTGACTATATTTATTTTTTAAGTGCTGCATGGTAATGATAGTGGAATCAAATATATTTATATACATAAGTGATTCTGGTAACGATGAGTAAGCAGTAAAATCATGCGTTGTGTATTGAACTGTCAATTACAACAGTTTTCTGTAAATTGCACTTTTGACATCCAATTAACCAAGAATTGCATATCAAAATTCTCCCCACACTTCAAGCCCATAAATCTGGCTGGATCAATCGGTCGGTTAAATATAAACAACAAGAATCTTTAGTACAATAATTTTACAGTACAAAACTCATCAGAAAGATGTCTTTTGTAAATATAGTTGGGTTTGCAACTACATAAAATGCGAAATGTATGTGGTGGATTAATTAATTAGTATTAATTTAAGGTTGTAAAAATTGTAAAAATGTACAAACCATAAAAATATAGCTAAATTTTAGAATTTGAACGACAATAATTGTTGCAATGCTAGGTTCCGACTAAACATGAGAGAATCAACTTTTGGCATCGTTGAGCAAATTCCAAGGTGCATCTCCTCCAATCGCAGCATCATCTTCTCCTGTGTTGCGTCACACACTCACGTTTTGTCTCATCTCATCTGGCGAGTGAACAATGTCCCATTATTATTACCCTCAACTTTGTATTTATCCTTTCATAGAAGAAATTGCTATCCATCTGCACTTGCCGTCACAATGCAAATTGCAATTCGATCATGTAGCCCCCACAATGCAGCCATCCATCCATCCGTACTTATGCGCATATGTATGTATAATGGCCAAAATGACTATTATGAGTGAGTGACCAACATTTTTATGCTGCTGCTTCTTCTAAATATTTCTCGCTCACGGCAAGGTATCTTCTTCATCATCATCTTCTTCTCATCCCATCCTCTTTTAGAGTAGTAGTCGTGTATTTCTTGTATTTGATTGTTGGTCCATATTTTACGATGATGAGTCGAGATGATGTTCGAATATTGAAAGTAAAAGTTACAGGAGAATGAGACAGAGAGCAATCAGTTCCAATCAGGACTTCGATACGAAGGGTGCTGCATTGTACGACATTTGTGGTGGGTGCATATAAATAAATAATGTTGTAAAGGAATTTGGGCGTTCCTAATACCTGATAAAACTCGGACATTTACGCAAAAAAGTGGACATTGTGAGAAATTTTAAATTATATTCGAAATGGGAGTTGTGCTAAGAAAATGTCTTCTCGTCTTTGTTATCATCGGTCCGGCCACATTTCTTCCGGGAGCTTGTAAGCAATTATTATTTTTGGGACGCTTAATTTTACCTGCTTGTGTAAATTGTTGGGAAGGGCTAGGATCGCCGTCGAATATCCATTTGGCCGCAAATTCAAATCTTGAGCATTTTGCATTCAAACACATTTCAGTGTTGGGGATTTAGGATTTGTGGCCGAATGCAATGCATTCAACAGCGATATCGCAAATTGCGATTCGCAATCAATCAGCACTATTCAGTACCCGTAAATCTGAGGATGAGTATACTGAAAATGAGAAAATGGATAGTGAGTAAATGAGAATTTCGATCAACACAACACCTAAAGTAGGCTCTCCTTGATTGTCTCATACTGCCTCCAATTTCAGTTCCAGTGTAACCGTTCAGAAAGTTGGACTACAGAGTTTGGGGATTACTGACACAGTTTCAATAGCTTTCTGCTTAGGATTAGTTTACAGTAATCCCAAGCTATCTTAAATATGATAATTACAATTAATCAAGGCTGCTGCAGATACTATGCCTATTCGTACAGGAGCTAACATGAATTAATGTTCAGATGTTACATAAGCAGAGCTAATTATGCATAGTTCGGATATTAATACTTTCATAAAAAATCTCAATATGAACACACACACGAGTTAGCAGCTATAATATATTAAATATGCTATTACATTTGTTGCTCAACTTTTACTAAACTGTCATAAAATAACTAGTACCCCAAGTAGTAAGAGGTTTTGATTTGACGTGTTAATTGGAGAATGTAAACGAGAAAATGGTACACACAATAATACATTCCGTGCATTCAAAATTATGCAATCGTTATATGCACCTTCGTATGTGTACAGAGATTCATACCAACTTGAGAACATTATCTGTTTCTTATTTATTTCACACTTGAAACTGATACTTAAACAAACTGAACCACCTTGCTCGTAGGTGTTACACATAATAAATATGTATGCATAAAAACCGTTAAAAAATTATTTCAATGTCAATTTACTAGGATTTCCTGAACATATTGTGCTCCAATTAGCTTATTATTTATCAGCCTTGCTTTACAACAAAGTTATTATTGAATGAAGATCATCAATAAATTTATCGTAAAAATCAGATCAAGTCAATAAAACGTGTTAAGATGATCATGATGTTGGAAGATGATGGTACAGGTAAAAATACGCGCATACACAGGTTGATAGAGGTGAGAGGGAGATGATTTGTGCATGGCGTCCACTCGTTGAAATCAAGCACAACAAAGGGAGCGATAAGCGATAAATTACACGTTTTATGATTGAAGGTCAAGAATGAAAAAGAGGTCTAATTTCCACTCACTCAGCTACACCACAGCAATTTGAGAACTGCATGATACTTAATTGATATTCATCTCTGACTCTAGTACTCATGCACCCTTGGCAGTTTTTTTCTTATCGAGGTTGATTACCATAAATATTTTTACTTAAACCTTTGATTTTTATCTCTGAATCAAAATTAGCTCTACAAAAGTATCATAATAAGCGAAAAATAAATACAAACACTGGAATATGATGCTCCATGTTAAATATAGAGGCTCATTATCACCACCATGCATCATGTACGGGGCCGTTTTTATCCAAAATATTAATTTGTAGCCAGAAATTACTTCCTCATTATGTGGTCACACCTGCAGTGCCACATTTCAAAGGACAATTCTGGAATTTTTATTATGCGTTGGTGAAAGATAAAGACTTATCTCTGGTTACGATTACAGCCGGAGTGGAACCACGCGACTACGAGGAAGCACTTAAGGAGGATGTAAGTTTGTAATCGAGTGGTACTCAAATTGTCGTATATTTTATAACATTGTAAATAATTTGCTAACCAGGAACCTGTAGAAACCGTTCGAGCTTCGGAATCATCGACTGAGTATCCTAACGGTAATTCTGAAAATTATTGTATTTTGGAATAGTCACTAATTATTATTGTTCATCCACGTTTTTAGGCGTAAATGTGATCCCTGGTACGTCAACTTATACCACGAAAGCGAGTATATGCAGAACTAATTAGTTTCATTGATTAACGACAGGAAATGCTGATATTCATTACCCAACGTATGACAAGATTCCGAAATCTTCATTTTCTTGCCTTGGTCGCATCCCAGGGTTCTACGCTGATGCAGAGCTTCGGTGCCAAGTGTGGCATATATGCGATGGTAAGTGCAGCATATTCGATAAGTCCATACATGGTAATTCAATTAATCATACTCATTCATCCAGAGACGCAAGTTCAACAAAGCTTCCTGTGCACCAATGGAACCATTTATTCGCAGGACAAACGTGTTTGCGACTGGTGGTACAACGTATGGAACTAATTTTATGAATGCTATTTTATAAGAATGATCACGAGGCACTTTGAGCTGCGTTTAAATCTAACATAAGCTTGTGTACTGGGAATGTCTCTAGAATTTTGGTTTGGAATTAGGTAAACTGCGACCCTGAAGAAGTGTCGAAGAATTACGAGCAAAACAAGGAATTGTACAAAGGGCCTCCACCCAAGGACGGATCAACTTATGAGGAAGCTACCAGCAACGATTTGCCACCACCACCCCCACCACACCACAAGAAACAACCCGTCCAACAGCAACAAGAGCCAAGACCTCAACAACAGCGTCCACAACCCCAACAGTCTCAGAGACCGCAAACATATGAGCAACAAGCTCAACAACGACCTCAACAGCAAAATTACAATCAGCCACCGCCTCCACATACATCGAGTCAACAACAGCAAAGAGCTGAAGCACTCAAGGTTCTGGAAAATTATGAGCGACAGCAGCAAACCTCCCAAAACTACGAAAAGCCCCAGCAAACACAGCAAGAACAACAGCAAAGAGAACAGCAACGGGCTGAGGCCTTGAAAGTTATCCAAAATTATGAGCAATCCCAGCAACGGTCCAACTACGAAGCTCCACAAGGTCGAAGGCAACCACCACAATCACAACAGAATTATATTGCCCCCACTCAACCAGCTCCTCGACCCACCCAAGCATCCGCTACGCCCGAAAAGAAACGCGTAATCGTTCTCCGCCTGCCTGGACCACTCCCACCAGGAGCAACTATCCCACCTCATATTCTCATGGAGTATGCAGGTAAGTGTTTCTATGTACCAATGTTGTACCATCTCAAATTATGCATGTAGGACAGCAAATATTAATATGTATAAATTAAATTCCGACAGAATCTGTGTTAGCGGCTGAAAGATCAGGAAAGGCACCCCCAGCAGGTCTCGTGTCTAATAAACAGGTATCAATCTCTAATAATGGTCAACCGACTCGACCTCAGCCACCAAGCCAACCTCAGCAACAACAGCAGCAACAGCAGCAGCAACAGCAACAACAAAGACCTCAGCAGCAACAACAGCAGAGACCTCAACAAGAGCAACATCACCAGAGACCTCACCCCCAACCTACTCCACAACCTCAATATCAGGAACAACCATCTCCGCAACAACAGGGTGGGTCACCCCCAAAGAAACAGACGCCACGCGGACCTATTCTCCCATACACACCTCGACCATTTAGCGCATTCTTGGAGGATGCTGTGAGGCATAATGGTCAGTCGAAATCGTCTACGTCTGCACCTCCGCAACAACAACAGCAGCAGACTCATAGGCAACAACAAAACCAACAACCATCTACTCCCATTCCCAGCCAACCCCCGCAGCAGCAACAGCAGCAGCAACAAAGACGGTATGAAGAACCAAGACCTTCGTCAACTCCCACTCAAAGACCCCAACCTCAGCAAAATTACGAGCAACAACAACCCCAACAGAGACGACCACAACAACAACAACAACGTCAGCCGTCTGTTCAAGAACAATCGTATCAAGAAGAAGATCAATCGCGTCCTCAGCAACCAGCACCAGTTCCACCGCAGAATAAAAAAGTCCCCACAGTTCAATACAAACCCTCCAAAGCCAGTCATTCACAACCCCCCACCGATTCCAAAAAATTTAGACACTCAACCCCCAGAAAGCATGGAGAGATAAAGTTTGTAAGTCATGAATTTTAATTTTAATCAATCATTTTAATTGAAGAAAGATACTTGGAGAATAAGACCAAGTGTGGTGGGAAGTGGACAAGAGTATACTTGTCTTTGCTTTTGAGCACAATGACCACCACCAAATTGCATAACGAATTCTGAATGAGAGTCCATTAGGAAAACCTGTAAGTAGGAAGGGAAGCTCCTAATCAGAGATACATTTGGGTACAAATCATTAGGATAATTTTCATCTTTTCAAATTGTCTATCTCTGGATTCTTCAATACCACTGTCAAGTCCAAATTATTAATGGCTGTGTTTATGTTTCTTTTTTAGGCTCCAAAGAGTTCCGTTTCCTTCGATGATCTTTCTTTGGACGATGAACGTCAGGTGCATGAGGAGAGCCGAAGACCAGCTTATTTCAACAACTTTCAACATGTTCCCCATTTATCTCAAGATGTGTCCACCGCACCGACTTATCAAACACAGCCACCCCCGCCAAAGGCAGATGTTCATCTCAAGTCCAGTTTCGAGTTTGAGAAAGTCCGATCGGAACGTGTATTTCACGAAAAGAAACAACATCGTGAGCCGCCAACTGTGGCCCCAGAACGCTATCTAACTCCCGACGAGATAAATGAACCAGCCATTAAACGATTGGTTGTTGCTGCCGGTTTGAAAATTAAAGACCCACGAAACAAACAGTTGACAACCCCTGCCCCATCGTCAGGATCGTCTGAGGAGAGTTACAACAGAGAAAGGAACTATGAACCAGTGAGGGTTATCGTGGCTCGAAAGTCAACCACTACTCAAGCTCCGGAGATTAATTATCAATCACCCACAACCAGTGTCCCAATCACCCGTCCCCAACAACCAACAAAACAGAGGCATGAAAAATCTCGCCCACAGAATACGCCACACCAAGAGGAGCTACCAACGACTCCACAACAAGTTATTTCGAACAAACCCACGCCACGAGGACCCGTCCTCCCATACACCCCGAGGCCATTCAGCGCATTCTTGGAGGATGCTTCCAGACATAACGGTTTTGCAAAAACCAGATCAACAGCATCCCCACAACCTCCACAGGAACAAATTCTTGCAGAGCAAGCTTATGAGGAGACCACACCAAGAGTCGTCATGAGAAGAGTTATCCGCAAAAAAATCAGGACCAATCAAAACAAGAACATTGCCAATGTTGTTTCTGAACAACCAGAAGTTCAGCATCAGCCACAAGTTGTTCATAACATTCCGAGGTCCACCACGCTACTTCCAACCACGACGACGAGACCAACGACCAAACTTTCCACCACTTCCACCACACCATATTATCAGCCTGATGAAGATGAGAACTATGAACCAACCAAGGCCACCAGGAATTTTGGATTTGATGTGTACGGAAGAACTGAAGACGACGACGAGGAAGAAGAACTCGTCCGCGCCGCACAAGAGTACTACCAATTCAGCGAGGATTACGGAAAGAGACATCGAGGTTAAAGATGGGAAATGTATCTAAAATAAGATATTGGAAAAGTATTGCATAAAAATTAAATTCAGCACAGAAAACAGTTATCTACATACTCCAAACTTTCCACGCGTCGTCACAACTTTTCATGTGTTAAACGAGTTTAAGTCATTTTATATTTTTGTAAGTTTTACAGTCAGTAAGTATTTTCGTAATAAATGTAAGTTAATGTTTTAAATACTGTACAAATTACGTAAAAGAAAATAATAAAGAAAAAAACAATACAACAAAATTAACTTGTATCAAATAGCGAAATTATGCCAATTCGAGTCAGTCATCATTTTTGAAAAGACATTAAAGTAGAAAAGTTTATTATTTACCTTTTTTGGGGGGAAATGGACAAATATGGATAACAATATTTGCTTTGATAATGGTACCACAATTTTAATTTAGAGTAACATTTGGATTTTAAACAAAAATGCTCAATGCTGTAATAAGTTTGACTGATACTATAGGGTGAAAGATTTTAAACTAATTACTATGTTTTAAAATAATGATCATTAAATTACGGATCGGATTTAGAGTCAGCTTCTCGCTTCTTTTGTGCTTCTTCTTCTTTCTCGATACGTTCATGCTCTGCAATAAGTTTCACTAATTCTTCATGCTTCAAAACAGTCATTTTTGTACGTTGTCCATCGCGAGTGACAGTTGCAACTTCCAATTTATCTGGACTTAATTTAGTAGTGTCCAACGTTTTTGCAAGAATCTTGATTGACAGTGTTTTTGCTTCCTGAAGTGTGACGCCGTCTTTATACTCCTGCTTTAGCATAGACACAGCAGCCTATAAAATCATTCAAAACAAAATAACAAACATCATTAGTGTGTAAATTGCCAATTTGACACCACATTATTATTAATGTGTACAGAATTATGAAACAGGATTGCATGATTATAACATTTTTCTAACATTGCTATTGTTTCCGATGCAAGTGGCCTTCCATCCTCCATAGTTTCCACTTGGATCAGATTGATACAGCTGGAATCCGTAATGTTTATCCCATCCAGCATACAATAATGAGACACCGAAAGGCCGACGACCTGTTTCAAGAAATTTATATAAAACTTATATTTACACTATTGCTTGTATTATGTAACATAATTTATGTTGCAAGAAACCTCACCTCCTGTTTGGGTGTAAGCTTGTTTGATATCACAAAGCCATGATACAAGTTGCTCACAAGGCATTGGCTCTCCATATTGAAGAAGATATCGCTGAGCAATTACCCGGAGTTCATTTGTAAGTACGTTAGCATCCGAAGTTATCCCGGCAACACTGCAGACCATGTCCCTGTGAGATTAATAAACACCGTCTTACTGACAATACTATATACTAATAAAATCTCATAATCTGTAAATTAACTAACTCGTAAAGCTTGTATATTTTATCTGAGCAGAAATTCTCGTCGTCCAGAAGTACATTGGTATTCTTCTTTTCAGCGGCGAGAATAATTCCATCCGTGGCCAAAATTCCCAAACAAGTTCCGGCGTGACCAATTGCTTCCATAGCATACTCGACTTGGTACAAACGCCCTGTAAGAAATTACAATTGAGATACGTTACCCCAAGCAGATAAACTTTAACTTCACACTTACCTTCCGGAGAGAAAATTGTCGTACGAGTATCATATCGCCTAGCCTGACATGGGAAAAAATAAATACTTGATAATAATGTGCACAATGTATTCTTCAATATGGGAAACCCCCAAATGTTTCCAACTTACCATTTTTATTTTGTTATTTTCAGTTGAACAATTTCAGTCCCTGTTCGTCCAGCAGAATCAGCAAAATAATGAACAATTACGACCGGGGATGATGACAAGTGACTCGGCGAATAAATTTGCATCTCCCACTCTCCGTAATCTCAACGTGCCCATCAACACAGGCGGCATCAACTGTGAGCTCTTTCTGGCTTTTGAGGAAGTTCTTCTGACAACTCAACTGACTCGAAACCGACTTATCAATTTTAGGCTACAAATTTTGACTAGCAGTGCGTATCGCATAATCAAGGTAAAACATCACACGGATAACCTATCTCAGATTATTTAGGCAACTTTACGTTTAATTATTTATATAGTAAGGATCCCTGACGTTTTCACGCTTGTACAACGGCAAAGGAGGCGTAAACGACTTGTCGTGGAGTAGGTAATTAGCCTTTTGGAGATGTTTTCCGGCGCCGGTGCAGCGTCTTCTAAGCGGAGACGGACGTCAATGTCTTCTTCCGCGAGTAAAGAAGATGAGACGGGGGAGGATTTGGATTATCATGACGCCACTAGCAAAAGGAAACGGATGATGAAGCTGGATCCTGTGAGTTTAACGAGAGTCGAGATTTACAGTGTACATATTATATGCCACATATGATTTAAATATAATTATGTTTATAGATTGAACAATGTCAACATCTTTACGACATCATGAGGAATCACAAGAAGGAGGATGGTACATTGTTGTGCGAACCGTTCATCAGAGTTCCAAAAAGAAGACAGGAACCGTTATACTACGAGGCACATTATCAATGATAAATAAATTCGGCGTTTTTTTACTTCATTTTGTAATAATGTGTTTTGTTTTATTGGGCAGGTTGTTAGCAATCCAATGGATATGCTTCGAATACAGCAAAAGATCAAGATGGATGAATATGAAGATGTTGACCAAATGGGTTTAGATTTTGATTTAATGTTGACGAATGCTAAGGCATTTTACAAACGATCCACTCCTGAGTATAAGGACGCCTGCGACCTTTGGGATCTTTTCGGTGAACACAAGTGCCGGTTATTTGATGATGCGTCCGCGGATGGAGAAGGGAAAGGCAAAATAATATTGAAAATGGGAAAGTTGGTGAGTTTATTTTTTTAAATGTTATGGCCTAAATGCGTTTTTGTAATAATATTCCCGATGTCAATGTCAATCATAGGCACGACGCGCTGCTGCGGCAGAAGCACGGAAACCTGCAATTGGTGGTGGAGGAGATGATGAGGAAACTTCGGAATCATCTTCAACCACGACAGATAAAGATCGACACGAGGATGAGAAAGGAGATAATGTGTTGTTTAATCAACTTGAGGATTTGTTCACCGCTATTATCAACGCAAAAGATGTAGATGATCGTCCATTACATACAGTGTTTCAGCTGCTTCCCTCTAGGAAGAAGTATCCATCGTACTATGAAGTCACCGAAAATCCGATCGATTTGAAAATGATAGCAATGAAAATACAGCAGGGTAATTCTACACCGAATTGTTTTTTTTGTATATTGGTAAACATTGATACAATTTTGTTACGGATACTTTTTTAGTTGAGTACACATGTCTCTCAGAAATGGAGAAGGATCTTCTCTTAATGGCTCGGAATGCGTGTGCATTCAACGAGCCTGGATCTCAAATATATAAAGATGCAAAGACATTGAAGAAAGTTGTGGCCTCCAAAAAGTATGAAATTGAACATGGCAAGCCAGGCACCTCCACCCCGGGCAAGAGCGAACGTATTCGAAATCGGAGACTAAGAAGTGGAACCTCACATTCGGCAGTGACTGCAGCATTGCAATATGAAGATGACGACGAAGAGGAGGAGGATGAGGAAGCGGAGGAAGAAAGTGACGATGGTTCGTAATGTCTTCATTCTATATTTCCTTTGTATAACCTAATGTGTTAATTGGGTTATTATATGAGATGCTTAATTTCTGTAGACGAAGAACACGTAGAAGACGAGGAAGAAGAAGAGGACGAAGAAGAAGACGCTCAAGGGAACATAGAAGATCCAATGTGGGCTTTGTACGAAGCTGTTTCAACATGTGTCAACCCTGCTGGAACTCTTCTCGCCGAACCCTTCAAGTGAGTAATTAATATTATACATGGCTGCACAATTTTATTGATTGGTGTCTGGTGGGGTGGTAAAAAAATCTATTACGGATATATTATGGCTTACGACAACCAACTAAATAACGACAATTTCATTTTAGACGTCTCCCATCTCGGCGCTTTTACCCAGACTACTACAATGAAATCAAGAATCCTATTTCACTGGCTCAGATAAAAACTCGAATTTTACGAAATGAATATGTAAATCTCACACAAGTTCAAGCGGATTTAAACGTTATGTTTGAAAACGCAAAAGCTTATAATATTCCAGACTCTCATTTGTACAAATCAGCAGTAAAACTGCAAAAGCTAGTTCACAACAAAGTCCAAGAATTGCTAGGACCCGACGGCGACGAATCCTCGAATGATGATGTAATAATCCCAAAACGGAGCGCTACCAATACTCCAATACCAACCTTAAGTTTGGAGGGAGACATGATCATGGATGTTGTCGATGAGGATGAACAAGGGCGTTCGAAAGTTACGAATATCAAGCGATCTAGTGGAAAATCAAAGACTAAAGATAGTTTGGGTTCGGGAGGAGCTCAAGTGGTTGCAACCACTGTTCCTCCATCAAAGTCAAGCCCAACCAAGGTAGAGGAAAAAAATTTAAAAACACTGGCTTATCGGGAACAGCTCAAAAAGCGATTCTTGGTGCTGTACCAAGTTATCAGCGATTACACGGTTGGTTATATTCTCTCTTTTTTCGTTTCATTTAGTTTTATTTCTTGTCAAGAAATAGAACAAGAAATAAAACTTTGTAATATTTTATAATATTTAAATAAATTACAATTTGTTCTCTAGGAGCCGGATGGCCGTTCTCTAATTTCTCCTTTCATGGAAAAACCGTCAAGGAAAATGTATCCAGATTACTACTCTGTGATCAACGAGCCAATCGATATGATATCTATCAAAGCCAACATTGAACTGGAGAAATACAATAGCACAGATGAGATTATGAAAGATTTTGTTGTAAGAAGTCGTGCCACTTAATATTGACTAACTTATTGATATATATGTATTAATGTGTGCTTGACTTCGACTTGGTTTGGTTTGTTTAGTTGATGTTCAACAATTGCAGGTAAGAATTTAAAGAATTTAAGGGGTATATTGAGTCATGTGGGATTTGGCCGAATTAAACAATCACATGAACACGCACCAAGAGGGTGTGGAATGTCCTATTTGTCACAAACCTTTCGCTTTCATAAAGACTCTGAATGTACATTTGAAATCCCATGTTCGAAAATGAACTCATTACAAGTTTTTTGTAGAATTTACAATGAAGAGGGGTCGCTTATTTACGAAGACGCTAACAAACTTGAGAAAGTTTTAAGAGAACGTGCTAGACAGCTCGGAGCAGATCCGACGAAACCAAAGCTCAAAAAGTATGATTTATGATTATAATAACAATGTAAATTTGTGCACATGCATGTTTGTATACTTATGGATTTTTGTTTGATGATAAATGTGTAATAAAAATTCAATCCAATTTATTTCAGAAAAAAGAATCCACAGATGCTTCTAAACCAAAAGAAGCTATTAGAGACTGTGCGAGAGCACAAGGATAAGAATGGTCGCTTGTTGTCTGCAATTTTCCAAAAGTTACCCTCAAAAGCTGTTCGTAACCAAAATTATTTTACTTAGTACTAAAATTAGTATGTATATTTGATCAACTATCTACGTTAGATTTTTTATAATTACAGGAGTATCCAGAATACTACGAAATTATAAAGAATCCCATAGATTTGGAACGGATTGGTAACAAGCAAAGAAATGGCACTTATGAAACACTGGAACAAATCTCTGGAGACTTAATGTTAATGTTTGACAACGCCTGCAAATTCAACGAGCCAGATTCTTCAATTTACAAGGATGCTTTGATTCTTCAACGTTTGGTCCTTCAGACAAAAATGAGCATTGTAGCTGATGATGACGGCGTACCTGACGTTCGTGCGGCCGTGAAAGAAATTCTCATTTCCATTTTTACATCTGTGTACAACCACCAGGATGAGGAAGGACGTTGCTTTACAGATACAATGGCCGAGTTGCCGGAATATGACGAAGCTGATGGAACAAAGTAAGATACACATTTGCACAGGCATTCATAAAATTTTCAGGAAGGTGTAGGAGGTCAGTCGCGTTTACTTAATTTATCAATCAATATATGGTTTAATTTTTTTCGGATTTGTAGAATTCGAGCAATTTCGTTAGACTTGATCAAAAGTCGATTGGATCGGGGATACTATAAACGGTTGGATTTGTTCCAACGTGACATGTTCCTAGGTTTTGAACGTGCTCGCAAACTCTCTCGCTCAGATTCGCAAGTATTTGAGGATTCAGTTGAATTGCAATCTTTTTTCATAAGGTTAGTACGCAATTTATAATAATTGAATGAACATTATACATATATATTATTTAGTTCATATTAAAATAACTAAAACCTTGTGGTTTTTTTAAACTTTAGGACTCGTGATGAAATGTGCGGAGAGAATGGAGAAATTTTGCAATCGCCAGCTCTTGCCTACAAACTTGCTGATTTTGAAAGATCCGTTGAAACACTCAGAGTGGAAAAGAAAGCTCAAGAATTACCGCAAGATGAGGACATCCCCATAGTTGAGAAAAAAGACGAAGCTGTTGAATCTCAAAGTTCTCAGGTTTGCAAACACCACCCAAATAATACGATATACATAAAATGGATTACAATTTACATTATATTAACATTTTGAGTTATTTAAGCTTTTTATGTATAATACTCTTGTAATTTAACAGAGCGAAAGCTACAATGAACAAACGTTCAGCATTGGCGATTTTGTCTACGTGACTCCCACGCCACCAGCTATGGATAATTCTTCCTCTGATGGTTCGACGGCAAGTGCTACATCAAAATCAACAGTTCAACCGCACATTGCAAACATTCAGAAACTCTGGACAGCTCCCGATGGGATAAAGTGGTTTGAAGGAATATGGTTTTATAGACCCGACCAAACGTATCACGTTCCTACAAGAAAATTTTTGGAAAAGGTTAGGAATTGAATTGTTAATACAAGTAATTGTTTGTTATGAGTGTATGACTTAATTTTCTCATTGATACTTGAATAGGAAGTGTTTCGAAGTGAAGTAAGAACTACAGCAATGTTGAGCGAAATTATAGGAAAATGTTGGGTAATGACAGTCAAAGGACGGGAATATTTCCACTACGCTCCTGAAGGCTATGCCGATGAAGACGTTTATGTTTGTGAGTACCGGTACTCTACCAAGGCTCGTAGCTTCTGCAAGTTAAAGTCGTGGGCATTTGACTCGGACCGTGTAAAACTTATCCCAAGACCTAAACCTTTGGAACCTGTACGTGTAGCTTCTGTCTTTAAAGAACGGTTCGAAAAGCACCGCGACGAGTTACAACAATTAGATGATAGTGACAAGGCTCCTCCAGAATTATACCCCGTGAGTTTTTTGTAACAATTTGTTCCATTTCATTGCTAATTTGTAAGGCCAATGTTGAGTCTAAAGATTATTTATTTGCTCTCTGCAGAACATCGAGCTTCCGCTCGTTGTTGGAAAAGAAGGCCTTCGATACTATGAACAATTTAGCCTTTCTTGTGGACCTATCCGAAGTGGCGACTTTGTTCTAGTTCGAGTGGCAAGTTCCAGTTCGAGTGAAAATGCAAAAAAGCTGGTAGCTCGAGTGGATTCAATGTGGGCCGACGCCATGTATGCAGATTTAGTATTTTTTTAAATATTGCATTGCATCATAATTACATTATTGCAAGTATATTTCTTTCTTCTTAGAGGGACAACCTTCTTTCATGGTCCATGGTTTACTTCGCTTTCTGAAATAAGTCCAGCCAATGTTCCACAAGGAAGAGTCTTTTATAAAAATGAAATTTTCCAGAGTTCTATTGAAGATACGAACCCGTTGTTGAGCATTTGTGGAAAGTGCTGTGTGTTGGATTTGGACGAGTATATTAAAAGTAGGTTTAAAAAGAGCAGTGAGGAGTAAGACAATTATGTCGTTCTATCATGTTTATGCATAATCGTCGTTCGTCATTGTTTGTTTTACAGTGAGGCCAACTGAGGTTCCTGAAACAGATGTATATGTTTGTGAATCGTTATATGATGAGGCTAGACGACAAGTAAAAAAATTTGAAGGTCTCAAAAAATACCAGTATATGGACCCTCGAGTTCATCGAGATGAATTATTCATGTTCCGGCGACCAATTACTTTAGCCAAAGTGGATTTGGATGGCTCAGTTATCCCAGCCGGCCCAGAGATGCCAAGACTTAAGGCAGCCATGAAAGTTGAGCCTGTAATTTACGAAATTAATTTTAATTATACATTTATTTATTGCATAGTATTTCAATTATTAAATGAAAATTATTAATTTAGTTAATGGCTGGAATCAAGTTGGAATTGGATAGTTTAATGGATGATTCTTTGGAGTCGCCACCTTCAATTGGATCAAATTCAGAGACAACTGGTTCCGTCATTGGAATTCCAATCGGCCCAATGACTCCTTCTGGGACTACGAAGAAACAATCTAACAAAACCGGAAAGAAGCTTGTCACAGGGTATATTCTGTACTCGAGTGAAGTTAGACGAGGTATCACTGAACGGAATTCAACCTCCAGCTTTGGAGAAATCAGTAGAATGGTGGGACAAGAAGTAAGTTGACAACTTTTAAGAAAGCCATCGGCTAATAAAAAACTAAATAACTTAATGTAATTCATATGCATTAATAATTTTAGTGGAAGAAATTGCCACGGTCAGAAAAACAAAAATATGAGGAGCGTGCAGCCAAAATGAACGAAGAAAAAGAAGCTGCAATAGCTAAGGGAATAGGTAAGGCTCGTAAATATGTGTATTTACATACTAACTAGCAAAAAACTTTGTGCATCAAAATTATCTCTTATGATAAATAGATCCAGGTACCATTGGACCTGGAAGTCAAAGATTTAAGGAAAATGCATCCAAACAAGCAGCAGCCGACAGTGAATTTGTCGCTGCTGCTGCTGCCCTAAAACGAGACCCAGACTGGATTTTTGAATGTGTTTGGGATGGCTGCGAGTGGCAATTTGAAGATGCGCTGGATCTTATAGAGCATTGTGTACAAGAACCGAAAGGACATGTTCCATCATTCTTCAAAGACAGTAATGGTACATCCACCTGCCAAAAATAATGACAAATGATAACCATACCTCTTATCCTTTTACAGACACACATTTTCAGTGCAAATGGACTAACTGTGCAAGAATCAAGAAAACAGTAAAGTCATTTCCAACTCTGAATCGATTGTTGAAACACGTTCGAGAAATACACATTTTAAAAGGAAACGGTCGTATTATACATCCAGAAATGAGAAGCAAGTAAGTAGCATCTAGTTCTTTTTAAAATATTTGTTCCATCTTAGAACATTATTTGTTGTTACAATTCTAATGTTGATGGTTGCACCGCTCAATTTACGATGACATATGTACATATCAGTATTGTATACTCTACATTTCTAAATGAATGAATAATGTAGAAGGTTACAACTGTCTCGAGCAACAATTTCAAATAGATTGTTGGAGAGCAGTCGACCTGCAAAACTGACATCGCAGTTGTCACCATCGTCGTCGTCATCAGCTACTCAATCGACATCATCATCCAGTTAGTAACTTTGTGAATGGTTTTCTTTAATTTTGGTTTTGTTTTATTAATATAGACTGTTTAGAGCTTCTCGTAACCCTAAGCCTCGCCCTGCGGCTGTTGCAACAATGCATACTCCTAGTATCCCTCATGGTCCATCGGGGTTGCAACAATCGAATATTGTTATAAACGCTGGAATGCAACAATCTAATGTTTTGCTCCCTGCTCCTTCACCCACTCTTGGCAGTGAGTTTTGTTTGGTTGAGAATGTTTCTAATGAATACAATTTTTGTTCCTATCTTCTTAATACTTTAGTTGTTTGTGTCTGTGTCTCATGTTTTTTAATAAATTTCAAAGGATATGACATTATTGTCAATGATCTTGCAGCAATTGTTGGGGCAAGTGGTGTCGGTCAAGTGATGCCTCAAATGCAACCACAAGTAATTGTACGAGCCGGTCCACCACCAGAACCATTATTCGTAACTGTGCCACCTAGACCTCAAAAGCTCTTGCATTCAGAAGCCTACATTCGGTACAATTTAATTTCCACTTTGTCAATACTTAATACATTGTGATAACCATTTTGTTCAAATTTTTAATTGGTCTCTTTTTCTTGATAATACATCTGTAGATACATTGAGAGTCTTCATTCAAATAAGAAACCCGAATGGGATAAAACCCTCCATGCTAGCAAGGAAACGGTCAAAACTGATGAGGATAAGCTGCCCTCTCAATGGCTTGGCAATGGGGCTGGTAAAAATCATTGTTTTTAACTCTTATTAAAATTACATTTCTCCTCTGACTACTCTTCTTTCAATTTACACAGGTGCGCACACGAGTGTAACGGATGCATTATGGGCTCTTCGCGATTTTATGATGAGGGACTGTCTTAATCTTAGTAAAAATATTCATTTTAAAAATTTCTAAATGAATTAAAAGTTTTCACAACTAGAAAATTAACTAGTAAAGTTTTTATGCATAGACATTGAAAGTTTTTTTTGTTTTAAAAATGTTATCTGTTTAAATTTTTTGTACAGTTTATATTTATTTGTCTGTGTGTACTATAATAAATTTATGAATTTGAATAAGAGAACAAACAAATCTTGCATGCGTTTCCAATCCAATTAGCACTCTCATCCTCAGCATATAAAATAGTACATGAAGAATGAAGTACAGTAAAATTACAGTAATTGCACAGCCAAGAAGGCAGAGTTGGCTATGGGAGCTGTCTTGAGATGGCCTGAACCAACGCGGGCATGAGACCCCACAATGTGCTTGCCACAAGCAACAATATTTCATCTCATGTGTCCTGTCCACCGAGATTAATATAATTTGTAATTTTGTAATTGTCTTCTGATTGTTGATAAGAGAAAGTAATTTTACGCAGTCAATTTGTCTCCAAAAATGACGGAAGAGGGATTTCCTCGTGGTGGAAAAAAGAACAAGGCTGAAAATAAGCGGAGCAACCCCGACACGGGAGATGTTGGGGGAAATAAATCTGTGAGTCCTTATTAAATTTGACATTGAATTCCCTGCTATTTTGGTCCAGCTTTTATTTGGATTAATTTATTTCAGAAAAAGAAGGACAAATTCTCCTCGGAAATCAAGAAGAACAACTTTCTCAGATTGGATAAGAAATTGGAGCTACCCTCGATAAGCTACGATGTGAGTTTTTCCTTATATATATCAATAAAAAACAAGGATTCCATAATAAAGTTTTTATAATTATACAATGTATAATATGTATGTAGACTCTTGTTGAAGGAACGCTGTGTTTGGGCTGCGTCAGGAAGGTCCAAGAAAGTAACTTACTCATAGGACTACCAGGTATACATGTCTTTATTCGCGTAATGAAAATATAATTAGAAGATTTTCACAGCTACGTATGACAAGATAGCTTAAATGCTAATGTAGTTTATTTGTCAATTAAATTCATATATTATAAACATAATTACTTGAACTTGGAAGAGGAACGGATTAATTCAGAAATAGAGTTCCAATCATTGCCAATCAACATCAGAAACCCCATTTTATCAGGAATTGTACTAGTAACAATTTTACCACTGATAATCCTACAAATTTAATCATTATCTCCAAAGGTCGGGCTTTCCAAGATATAAAGGTCTCATTTTCCGTTTGAACATGTAACGTTTCCAATGCTGCAACTTTTCGTGGAACTAGAAAAATGATTACTCAGTAGTAGATGACATTAAACTTTGTTTTTTTCTTTATGGGAGGAGTTGTGGATGATGATTGACCAAGTTTACTTACTTAAAATGATAGTAAAATTTCAAAATTCTCAATTGTTTCACGAAATACATAGAGTTTTATTTGTTCGGTCAGTTTTATTTGTGTATTGCAAGCCACGCTGCTGAATAATACTATAAGCCCAATCTCGTTCACATTGTAAAAGGTCTTTGATTTTTTTTCTTTATGAAGGAATGACCGTAGGGACAGTTGACATTCGAGAAATTTCCAACCCATACACCGAAGTCCTAGAAAAGCTGGAAAAGGATCAAAAGATTGAGGACGATGAAGTAATGCATTGCTTTTTACAACAATTGTATTATTATTAAGTCGTCTGTCCCTAGCTAATCCACGTAAAAGTGACATGTAACAAATACGAGATTATATCGTATAATGTAATAAATTTTATTGTAGATAATTTATCCACTGGACACAATGTTTAAGATAGGAGATGTGGTTGTGGTCAAAGTCATGACCGTCATTATCAACGATAAAGGAAAACATCGTGTGACTTTATCACTCAACCCTCAAGACATCCACAATGATTGGATGGCTACAGATTTAAATGAAAATATTGTAAGTTCATTTGAATTTTTCGTCTTCCTTGGAGTTGGTTAACAAATATCTTGCAACGTGTACAAATTAGGTTATGACTGGCGCTGTAAAAAGTAAGGAAGACAAAGGGTACATTATTGATATGGGAATTAAAGGTGTCAGTGCATTTTTACCAATGACAAGTGCGACAATCACTGAGAAGAAACTTCAGAGACCACTGGGTATATATTGATGAATGTTTATGCGAAACTATCTCTGCTTTATAGATGTTTATTAAATGATTATTGTTGATTTGACAGGTATTGGACAACTGATTTCGGTTAATATTGTAAATTGCCAGATTAAAAGATTAATGGCCAAATTGACATTGAATTCTGTGCCATCCAAAGTCAAACAAGTCTGTCCCCCAGAAGGTGTTGCAGTAAAACTACTTCCTGGGATGAAAGTTTCTTGTATTGTTGTTGAGGTCAGGCATTATATTGATATTTATTGTCTATCAATCATTATACATAAGGAAGACTAACTTGCTCATTTATCTGTCTACTGTCTGTTGTCTAATTTACAGAAACGTGCAAGTGGTCTCATGGTTTCATTTTTGGATTCTATAATTGGTCGAGTACACAACGACCACTTGGCTGAAAGGCACAGAGCTGATGTCAGTGATACTGTGTTTGGACGAATTCTGTTTATTCCTCCCTGGGACGTCGGTCCGTACCTGACGCTGGACGAAATAAAGTGTTTTCCTTATTCAGCTGAACCAAATTCAAATTATTCTCAAAAGTTAGAACAAAGTGACTCTCGAAGGAGAAAGGGTTTTGTAACTAGTTTAGAGCCGAGAGGAGCCAAACTCCAACTTCATGGCGGTGGCGTTGCACTTCTTAAACGACAACGAGCTTCTGACAAATTGGACTACACCGACGAACAGTTTAAAAAAGACTTTAAGCTTCGAAGTGAACACGACGTTCGGGTACTCGAGTATTCTTCATTAGATGGAATGTTCATAGTTTCATGTCAAGAGTATGCCAACTAAATTTTGTATATATAAATTTTAAATATTTAATTAAGCAATCCTATTTAAATCACTTTTGTTTGTCTCTTTTCATCGTCATTAGGCATCTACTGGACCCTACAAATGTGATTGACAAAGATGAACTTCAGCTCGGTACTGTTCACAAAGTTTTAGTGGTATCGTATAATACAGGCGGAGCTGTTGTGAAAATTGGGGATGTTAAGGGCTTCATCCCCTACATGCACTTCAAGGATAAAGTTCTTTCTCCTGCATTTGTCCAGAAAAAGTACCCACCGGGCGATTCATTATTGGCAAAAGTATTCCAAATTGACCTTTCAAGGAATTCAGCTGTGTTTACTGCGAAAAAAACACTAAGGTTAAGCAAAGGATTGGTAGCTTCGTCCTTCACAAACTTGGAACTTGGTTCGAAAGGTCATGGTGTCGTCAGGTTCATTGCTCCAAAGGGTGCAGGCCTTCGTGTCCAAATGATTGGCGGATTGTTAGGTTTTGTACCGAAAGGAAAAATTCCAACAAAGGAAACTGAATTGGCCATACCATTAGAAAATCGATTCCCAATTGGATTCCCAGTAGAATTTAAAGTTGTCGAAGTAGATGAGCAAAAAGGAAGAGCTATTCTTACGCTGGACATGAATTACGAAATACCAGAAAAGAAACACCAGAGTATCACTGATAAAACTCAACGGAAACGCAAGGCAACGGAGGAAAGTGACGAGGCGTTAGTGCTTATTTCACACAAAGACAAGACAAAATCAGGTTCGTCAAGTCCTTTATTATTTTACTTCCCAATGGTCAATTATTTTGCTTTGATACTATAAAATGCATTCTATAAAATGCATTCTGTACGCACCTACTTATATGTATAAATTAAATGTGGATTAAAATATCATTAAATCATATTTACCAATAGCAAATGTACGTAAAAAAGTTGCTGACGATGAGAAAGGCGATGATGAAGAAATTCCCATCCTAATTCCTATTTCTACCAAAATCTCTGAAAAACGAAAGCGTAGTACTGATGAAGGGAAACTAGTTTCAAAGAAAAAAAAGTTGTCCGAAACTAAGAACCCTGACATTCCACCTGTCATTCCTACTGAAAATGAAGAAGACTGCTCAGCAGGTCCATCGAAAAAACCGAAAAATAATACTAACGGCGAAATGAGAGGCAAGTTAAAGGAGATGGCCAACAAAGAAGTCCAATCATCGAAAGTAAAAAAAGAAATTGTAGATAGTGGAATTGATGGCGAGAGCCGCCCCGCCCTCAAGTTATCAAACAAAACTTTTTGGGACGTTTTACCATCATCGTCTACATCCACAAATAATGACGATCAAGAAAATCAGGAGGACGACGATTCCGCGTCTACTGATTCAAATGGAGATGTCGGAACTCAAAACAAGGTTGACAGTGCTGTGGAGGAAGCAAAACCGAAAAATAAGGGTAAATGTGACAAGGCTGACAAAAAGAGTCCAAAGGTGAGAAACTGTGCCAAATTGACAGTTTCATTTTAATGAAACTTTTGTTGACAGTTTGTGACTTTCTATGAAAAGAAACTTTTCCTAATCTTGAGTTTGGTGGTTTGTCATACTAGGTCGATGCGGAAACAGATAGCATGACAGAAAAAGATCACGAACTTCGACTTATTCAAAACTCAGGGGATCCAAAACATTGGAGAGATTTTAAGGATTTTGCATTAAGAGTAAGTAATGCCTTGCACACTATGAGACTATTATATCTGTAGAATATTGTATCGCTAATCCCAAAAAGCAGCGTATTGATGATGGAATGAAAGGGACAATGGAACAAGTGACAAGTGATGCGTTACTTGGAGGAGTGAGCAATGACAGATTGTCTTGATTAATTACAGAACGGCGATCCAGCCAAAGCGGTTAGTGTAATTAAAAGGATGAAGGATAAAATTCCCTTTAGGGACGAAAATGGGAAACTGCTCTGCTGGATGACAATTCTTCAAATTGAGACGCAATATGGAACTGAGGTATTAATACTGTTACTATTCCACTCCAACAAAGACAGTCGTTTTTAGTCCAAGTCAAAGATTATTTACTTATCATGTCTATATATCGATCGACTTGAAATTTTCCACTCACATTGTACGTCAAAATTAGGCATAAATTTCGAAGATGAACCACATCGTTCCATAGGGGAAACTCACATGATCATGGGGCCATATGAAGGCAGTCTCTGATTTTTAAAGTTAAATTTGTATTTTAATAAATACTTTACAGGAATCAATTAAAGGCACCTTGGAGGAGGCAATGAAGGTCAACGATCCAGTCTCTGTTTTGGACAAAGTTGCCCAGTTCTACGAATCTATCGATAAGAAAGACGTAAATTAGTTCCAAATTCTTGTACAATTTTTTTTACAAGTCCTTACGTATGTTACTTGTAGCATATTGTCAATTGTCGCCTTTATGTGACATGCAAAAATAATATGCTAATTGTTTCTACTTGGTATCGTGTTATAGGAGGCAGAAGAACTACTCCGTTGCCGTCTCAAGATGAAGCTGCATGAATCCGACTCTTGGATAAATCTGGGCTATTTTCTGTACAAAAACAAGAAACACGAGGCAGCACGACTCCTTCTACCTTCTGCATTACAACAATTGCAGCAGAGCAATCGTAAGTCGTTTTCTTCTTTCGTCACGATGGCAGACGATGACAAAGATTCCATAAAATTTATATTCACTTTTCTTCAGAAATTTACGTGACTGCAAAATTCGCAAAATTTGAAGTAGAGCACGGAGACATGGACAAGGGAAGATCCATGTTTCTCACAATCTGTCTTCAACGCCCAAAAAGAATTGATTTATGGCTTTTGTATGCAAATTCGCTGTATAAAATGAAACAGGTAATTGGCTACAAATTGTTTCATGTAGTAACAAAAACTAAACTGATTAAAGTAGTAATTTTATTATTTGTTTCTGGTGTAATGCTTTCATTTTAACCTAGTAGTCAAAAAAGCACAACTAATTTTAAATTATAAAAGTGAATGATTTTGTTTTTCTATATTATTTTTCAGTTCCAATTAGCCGGGTAAGTCAGTCCAGAATAACGATGAAAGACATTCCTTAATAAATCCATTTTCTCAAAATGCGCTTAATAATGTCCTTTTTCACAATTTTAGGGATGCACTTCGCACATCTCTCAGTTCCAAACAATTGAGTCCCAAGGAATCACGACCTCTGATTAAACGTCTGGTAGAAATCGAAAAGTTACACGGAACTCCAGAGTCGTTATTAAAACTTAAAGCAGATGCAGCAGACTATCTGAATATTACAAGTGCGTCGTTGGCTTAGGATTAGTCAACATGACATTTTTTTAGATTTATCTTTACAGCATTTTTAATTTGTTAATTGTGACGATATTGATGTTTGTAGTATAGTAACCTTATTGAAATAAATAGTTGACATTGACATACAAATGATTCACGGGAAGTTTTATGCGATACGGTTTTTAAGATATTTGAAGATTTCAATTTTTTATTTTTATTTCCTTCTCGATAAATCAAACTGTTTATCCTTTTACGTGTACTGATAATTCCAATTTCACGGATGTTAACTTTCTCGCTCATCTTCTCTGAAATAATGCATAAACTCTGCACATTACAATATCCGTCCAGATCTATGCTGAGCAGATTATTTAATTCACTACATGAATGAACATTCAAGTCATGAAGAATGGAATGATTTATGGTGAACAAGATCCTCATTAATTATGCAAGCACACCTGTCCCCCATAATTTCTATCTTGTTCACACTTAGTTTTTCAAATGAATTTTCAGTGAATTATTTAATTATCCGACATCGCTCATAAATTCTTAAACGGCTCGCATTCCTTAACATCAATGTTGAATCCGAACCTTTTAAAAATACACCCATCATGACATATTCCTCGATGAAAGGATTGTACGGTTAAATTTTCATGTGAACGTGACTGGAATCAAGTGACAAGAAATTCGGTTGTTGGCAGAAAGATACTATTAGAAATACATCATCCACATATTCAAAGCGTGTAACGTTATGTAATGTACAATCAGCAAGCTCAATTTATTTTCCAAAAAATAACCTCATATAAGTCCTAGCAAAAGAAAAAAAACATTTTAACGAGACATCTTTAAAAAGTTGTGATGTGTGTGAATTTTGAGTTAATAGAAAAAGGGGCTGGCTCAAGGATATTGTTAGTTACTCGATTCAATCGCCTATGTCTGCTTTGAAATAAATTGGGAAAGAAGTGCATACGAAGAAAATGGAGGCTGTGTTCTGCCATGCTTTCGGGAATGAAAAATGTTCTGACAAGTGCATGACATTTTCCTATTTTTCGACACATTTTCCCCCGTTTCGGAATTAGCACCAACCGACAACGAGGACACGACTCGCTTCCTTCCTTCAAACCTGAACGACTGGCATGAGTGAGCGTGTGCGTTCTTCCTACGACAGTTGTTCAGTTATACATACATACTTATATTCGATATTTCTTTATCTCGATCCCACTGTGGGATTGAACAGATTGCTCAGAAAAATCTTTTCGCACACAAGTTTTCGAGTCAGAAACACTAAATTCCTTCAAGTGCTTCGAATGATCATTAGGAAACGCATGTACAAACATCTATGAATGCAGACATGATGATCAGGTTCTCAGTGTATGTGCCGTTGTATTCGAATGAAACCTTTGGGTGAAATTTGGGACTAGTAAAAAACGTGAGATACCATCACCCGTCGTCTAACTAGATAAATAACGTGAATGCACATATGCTTGAACAAAAATAAAACATTATTTACTGTCGGAATAATTAAACTCCCTTCGTTTTATTGTTAAAATTCTGACGAGAGTCCTTAAAATTCAAGAAAATTAGGATGAGTTTCGTAATGATTACATAATATTCCACCCTTGTCGTTGGTAGATGTGAATCAAGTGTGTGAATTTATCCGCAGTCATTTCATTACATGTTGCGTTGTATGTTCATATGTGTGTGTGTTTGATATAGATACTTACATAACACGAGGAGAGGGAGGGTGCATCTCTTTAAATATTTAACACTTTGGAATGAGAGACTTATTTACAAATGGATATGGAGGGAGAGAGGGCGACTTGAATTCGCATCTCAAACATAGATCTTCCACTTTCCCCGACTCAATTTAAATTCAAAACTTCAGTCAAAGACCTTTCTTGTGTGTGGGCGGCCGATGATAGTGGCGGAGACGGGGTGCGTGTGTGCTTTGTCTGCGTACGTACGTATGTAAATATGTGAGGGATGCACATTCATTACTTTGAGTGAGATGAGATGTGACGAGGTGCAATTCAATTTCACCACAAATGCAATTTCAGATAGGCCGATGCAGATGCATGTTTGTTTATAACAAAGGAAATATTCAGAGAGCGAGAGGATGAGTGAGTACATCTTTTGTGTGAAAGGGTGATGTGGGTGGGTCCAGATGTGTGTTGCGGTTTTCTGGAATAGCTTCCAAGTGGAAATAACACAACATTACTTCTCATTTGAAAGCTTTTAATGCGCTAAATAATTTGACACGAGGAATAACTCGACCCACTCTCAACCAGTGGCAAGGCAGATGAGGCAGTCAATCCCGCAGTCATGGTTCAATTACAAACTGGATTGCTTACTGCTTGTACATGCTTATGTAAGTATGACGCCGCTAAAACAAAAGTTGTTAATGTACTAACAAACCAAACCAGAATGGCATCCTACAATTAGGCGCAATATGCATGCAATAGTCTCAAATACGAATTATGAGATGTCATGAATTGATATTTGTATCGAGAACAACGGAACCAGTCCAAGCCTCATGAATTTCAATAATGTTTCTGTCTCATAGGAGGAGGTCTTACTTCTGAGGAAATCTAATGCAAAGGACAAAATTGAGACAATTCATACGCACACATACACAAATTTTTGTAAAACTATGGATAACAGGAATTGCTAGGGTTAAGCCTTGCGCCTAAGTTAAACAAGTTTGAAGTTGCTGTGTGATTTATAAGCAGAAACCTGCGCCAAGATGGAATGGGGGAACTCGGGTGAAAGTGCTCAACTTTCTCTCTGCCCCCACCACCACCACCACCGCTCGCTAGCCCACAAAGCACCAGGCTCGCTCTCATCCAGCCTCAGTCGTAGAGCGTCGTGCTTTTGAGTCCGTCGTCTGTGAATCACGGTACATACAACAAGAGGCAGGTTACCAAACTCCAGCTCTTTGTTAAGTGCAGAATCAGAAGCATTTCTCTCCGTTCGCATTTCCGCACGTATACATGTCATGGACAGTCTGGCTTCAACATACATCTCATTTTTCTTGGAGGGAGAAGCATTAGTGCTAAAATAAGTTCTCTTTGATCCTTATTAATCTCCAAAACTTGCTCAACTCACTTTCACTCAAAGTTGTTGAAATAAATCGGTGAAAGTCCCATTTTACAATGTGTCAAGTACTTGAAACCATTCTCAGTCAGACACAGAATTCGTGGTGCGTTGTAGCGGTGAGAGCGTGAATTGATTTGTTTACGTATTCAATACCTGACCATTCCGGACAGTCGTGTGTGTGCATGGTGCGAGTGAAGCAAAAGTGAAACAAAGGTACGGTATCGTTAGGATGAGTCCAGTCATTCTGCTCGTAAAGCATAAATTGTTAACCAGGGAGTAAAACTTTTATTTGCCACGGCACAATCAAAGTATTTACTCAAACACCGGGTGCGTACGCGTGTTGAAAAGAAATAATAGACAATCATACCCTTATCCAAACTCCCGATCGTCGCTTTCTCCCACATGCATTGTATTGTGCTATGCATATTCCATGACTGGTGTCCAGCCCGTGAACTCGCAGACGGATTGATGGTATTGTATTGTACATATTTGAATCGTGAGCATTGTTCGCTTTTTAATTGTCGCGCAATTAGAACGGCAGCTATTTAACGGAAAACTCAACAGCGGCATATAAATCATTCAATCCTTAAACTGGTCATCAAAAACTATCCCGGTGAACGTTTCTTTACTAAAACTTACAACTTGAACCACCAAGTAATTAGAAGTATGGGATAATTACCATTATAATTCGATTATTAATCTTCACTAATATTCCCTAATCTAGAGAAAATTCAATTTGACCACTAATCGAGTCCTCCAAGTGGATAAACTGATTAAACTTCCATCTTAGAACATTGAATCGTCGTCTCATCTACTCCGGTGGATCATCACAATATCTTATTAAAAAGCTCCGTTCAGCCAATCACCCAAATTCCGGAACAAACTCCATCCACCCATCCATCAAACCCATTTATCTCTCCTTTTGGATTTTTCTTCTTGTGGCAAAACTGTGTATCATCATCCTCATATCTTCTTCTTCGTGGTTGGAGTTTTTATCTCAAAAAGAAATGAAAGGATATCTCCTTCCTTTTGAACTGGTCTAGGTGCGTGTGCTGTGTGTTTTAGATTTAATGCGATTAATCTCGTTATGCTCAAAACTTGAAAGGGAGGAAGAATAAGACTTTTCTCTCACTCACTCACTCACTCCCGGACGAGGAGAGAGTGCAAGCAGCCAGCAAGATCTCTTTTAGTCAGCACCACTCACTTGACTTAATCCATCCATGCTCAAGACGAAACGATACCAACTCTAAACTGGAGATTGGATATACGAGTACGTAATATATCGTTATTTTATCACTACAACGGCCAACGACGTCATCCCGACCGACGTCCCCCATCAACTGTGCTGAAAAATACCACTAGAAAGTATACATCTTAAAAAAATAAGGCCGAACAAAGGCTAGCCTTTTATATGAAAACCTTTGAAGAATGTTTGTGAATTGTTTATTCAGTGACAACAAGTAGTGACGTAGTGATATACATACGCAACACAGATACAATTTCACTTCTGGAATCTAAAGACCCATAGCAAGTCCATGATGCCAAGCAAGATGAACATTATGCGTTTCCATCTCGTCGTTGCGTTTTTGTTTGCAGGTAATAAAACCGTTTCTTACAAATGACATAGTTATCCCATCACACAAAAAACATGGATGGTTTAGGGTAGATTTAAAACGGCGTAAACATAAACATTAGCATTAAACCATATGAACATATGTATCTAAATATGTATGTAGGTCCCTACACACACACTTTAGAAACACTCTTATTTATACGTAGAATACATGGATGCTTTTCATCAACGGCATGTACATACGTACAATGGCTTTATTTGCCCTACTATTTCATTCGTCTGTGCAAATGAAAAATTGCAATTTACTAAAAGCCCAGAAAAGTTTAAGTGCGACCTTTTATTGAGACTTGAGTTTACGACATGAAAAAAAATCCAAGGCATTGTAAGACGAAGAAGTTACTTTGTTTTACTTACTCTCCACTTTTTCAATAATGCTCACATCACATCCGTCTCCCTTTTCACCACGACTATATCTTTGTGTGCAGTACATTATGTTGTTGTTGCAAAGTCAGAAACAAATTGATTAATCTTTAAATTGAGGACGGGTTTTGGGAGAGGAAAAGCAAAGTAAAGTTAAAACTCTCTCCGTCTTTCACAACCACCCAGTTACCAACTTCCAGCCGGAGAGAGAGAGAGCGAGATAGATTGGGATGGATGAACTATGGAAGTCTCAACTCAACTCCACAAACTTTTTGACAGGAAGCTGGGAGCTAGCACAAATACCACGTACATACATTCGCAGTTCATACGTACGTACGTATTTACCAAACCCGGTGAAAACCTCAGAGATTATTCGTCACATTTGTTGCACTATTTCAGTCAGTGAAATCGCTATTTAGAATTTCTATAACGAGTGCAAATCATAAGTTTGTAAAAGGCATCGATTGTATTTAAAAGTTTCAAACTGCAAATCTGTGAATTGGTTGATTCTAAATAAAATGAACATGAATGCGTTTCTAACACTTAATCACCGCAGTTAGAAGAAATTGTAGACGATGGTCATAGGAAGGGAGAAAATTCACAAGTGTTGCAGGACGACGGACCACTTTTGGAGGAAAACTCAAGGTTCAAGTGTGTGGTAGTTTTACCTGCCTCTGCTAAATAAACTTGTTCACCGTCTTCCTTCCCTTCATCCTGCGAACAACTTAACCGATCTCGTCCACATCCTCCTACATGGTCCTCCTCCCGTGTGTACATGTTGTATATGTTTCAACCCTGCTGCGTGCACCACAAAGCTTAAGCAGTGCGAAGGTATTTTATCCAAGAGAAAGTTGCCAAATTCTTGTCTCTTCACTCCGTCCCAGGGGACTTTTGACTTTCGCTAACTACTTTGCTTCCACTACACCCAAACTACAAGTCAAGTACAACCTGGACGACAAGTAAATCCAAAATTGCAACTCTGCCAGACTTTTCCCTCCTTTATATTGAAGGAAAAGTTGCTAAATTCACATTATTCTCCAACTTACACAGTTATTAATTGGGTTAAAATCACAACGATTAGCAGTTTGGCGAAAAATGGCTTCCATTCCAGATCACTGTAATAAACTTTCACTTCCTTCCTTCCTTCCTGCCACCTTTCCCACCCACTGGCACGCATATGAATTCATGTATCTATCCGTTCATCTCATCCACGCATGGATGCAGAGGATGGGCTGGTTCGAAACCCACCTAATAAAAGGAGGACACTGAGAATATTCATTTGATTGTGACGCGAGGTGACTCCTTGCTGGGCTCCTTCTTGACTTTCTCCTTCATTTCTCTCTCTCTGGGGAGGAACGATAAAGTTAAAAGGAAAAGGAATAAATTAGAACGCAGGTTTATCAGATGGAAGGCGAGTCAAAAGTGCTGACTCTACACGTACCACGACATCCCACCACTCATACTCCCAACCAACCAACTTCTTATTTTACATCCGCATTTACTTTCCCTCATAAAGATGTGTCCTCCAATTTACAACTCACTGTCGCCTAAATATCACTAATGCCAATAAATGACAGGGCCAAAGTGTAACTCGCTTCGCTGGAGATAACAAAGTTGAAGGTCGAAGAGTTGCTCGTAAACGGGTTAGCGCTGCAATAATCCTGAGAAAAAAATACGAAATTGTTTACTGCATTTTATAAGTGAAACCGTAAGATAGTAGGTCAGTAGGTTTTTTAGGTGGGCTGGTTCATGGTCGTTAACTGGCAAGATGGTCTTCATCAAGTGGTTCATCTTCACAAATCTTTACAATTCTGAGGCAAATATTCATTCACACATTTCTGGAGCAGAATCAAGAGGACTAGAATTATGTCAACTTTACCAAACACGGCTCTTCAATTAACTCATCTTTGCAGGTTTTCACCTCTCCGTAATTATAAAGTATACATAGAACCCACAAGTCGTAAATAATTAAGGGATTGTGGGCAGAGGATGGTTATTACATCATTACAATTATGCGACACTGCTAGTCAAGGTTTTTGTTACTTTCACTTATGTACATACATATAATGTGAAAATGACGGGTCTTGTTTAAATATATTGGTTTTCTAAATTCATACAGCAATCATACATAAGTAAAGTGAATACAAAGCTATTACGTCACTTAAATTTTCTCTTTCGTTTAATTAGCAACTTGGTTAATTATTAAATTATGATTCTTAAAAACTCTGTAATAAACCAGTATGCATATATTTCTAAGTATAGCTGCATAGATTCGTTAAATATTAATTATTTGGTCGCATTAAGCAAGAAGTGTTCAATAATTCGTTTAACGTTAATAAATAATTTCCTAGCAGTGCCAAAATAGTTCAGAATTGGCCATTAGTTGGTCGCGAGTGTGTACAGTATTAATTATTCGGAATCATCAAACGGTTTGAAATGTCGTTGAACGATGGGGGTTTATTAAGTTCCGTTTTATCTGGTTGCGAAATTCTTCTTTGAAATTAAAATGCTCGTCTAATCTGATTTTTGAAAGGATTGCTGCTATGCATACTCCTGATGAAACGATCGACGTATTAATATATGTATCACCACCTCCCAGTAGTTTTATCTTTGATGTTGATAAATCGGAGGTACGTAAGTGAGGAGGCTTTGATCTACAGACATCTTTGATCACTTCGATCGCATAAAAGCAGAACAGACTTACAGAGAAGGGATCGCTAAATAGTAATCGCGCCAAATCCCCAATAACTTTCGAACAGTTTGGAGTGTCCGCTTAAAATTTTGGGGATCGTAGTGGTATGCATTTTAGGTCATGTGCAAAATTTAGCCAGTTTCAAAGGTAACATAAAAAACTTTCCAGGCTTAATTAAGATAGCTTGGTCGCTTAAAAGGTCAGAGGTCAGGATTTCTTATTTATGTCTTCTGTAAAATACGGAGGCCTCGAAAGTGACCTAGTCAATTACGGAGCGCACTGCAATAGGACAAGTGTGATCCAAGATTATCAAACCGACTGAAAAGACAAACTTAAGATGAAAATTGTTTTGAATAGTGAATTTGCCAAGTCTCTTAATATAAGCCGAAAAGATATTTTTCTCTTGGGATACTTTTAGCAAAATTTTTTGTGCAACGCCGTTTTAAAATAACGGGAGTTAGGAAGTTAAAAACGAACACTTTTTTCTGACTTAGCCGCATTGCCCATCGTGTACAAAACCTTAAACCCCATATGTCAACTTGTGGTTCGAGTAAAGGGCTCTCACACAGAAAATACTAGAGATCTACACTTCAAACCAGTCTGGAGTTATTAAAGGTCAGGCGCGATCACCATTTAGCGATCCATGCTCTGTATTAATGAATATGATGACATAATATTTATCGATTTAGCTACTTTTCGGGTTCAGTTCGTAATTAAGTACGTGTCGTCCCTGTTGAACTGTTGGTACAAAACTTGGTTTTCAAGATCATTTGTTTGGGTTTTAATTAAATATCAAAATATCATCGCCAGATCTTTTGGGGATGATACATAAGTTTTACAAATAGAGCATAAATGTTCAGTAGACACTGTACGAAATATATCTTTTTAACTAACGCATATTTTCATTGGAGGGACATCACGCTCTGCTTAAATTCTATCATTTTCTTTAATGTGTATATTTTACAAGGACCCTGGTGATGCCGTTCATTGTAATTGCTTTTACTTTCCCCCTAAAGTGAAGGTGCCTTGAACTTATTTACAAGAGTGATTTAATTTACAATGGAAATTTTTCGCAATTTTAGAAATTCTCAAACTGTGATAGAATTGATAAACACGTTTTGAAGGGAGACTTGAGCAGTCTTTGCAAGCAAGTGGATCAAATTTAACTCGCTTTGGCATATTCTTTTTCCGTGTGTTCGTTTTGCAAAGTGGATGCAAAGCAGCGCAGTGTGGAGAGTGGGAAGCATAAGTAAATTATGATTATGGGCTGGTCTTCATCCACTCTCGCCCCACAGCCTCTCACTTTCTCTCCTCGCTTTCTCCCAGCTAATTCCACACATGAAACCCCGTGACCGTCATATTCGGCTCTATCTACAACGCCGAGAAAAAGTTTGTGTGGGTGCAAATTCGCTTTACCCTCAGTCTTACTAGAAGCCAACACATACAAATCTGTTGGTCGTGTCCATCGAACTAACCACTGCCTTCGTTGTAGAATCTACCTATCTGTTTCTCCAGCATAGTCCAAAACCTTAGTTGGTTCATTTATCTCTTGTCTGCTACATACATACACATGACTTGAAGACAAAGGTTGCTTTGGTTGAATGATGTACTTCAGAAACTACGTATGATGTAGCTGCCGGCAATGGAAGGATCGTTAACACTTGCCTTGGATTTCTGCTGTCATGAAAGAACAGGTGAATGAGACAGAGATCATTAACCATTTCATCGCTACACAGGTAAAAACTGGCAGATGTGCATGCAAACGTGCCAATATTTTGCATAATACGTTAAATATGAGTCTCTCTTTTATGACTATGAAAATCGATAATCGAGAACAAAATTTCTAAAAAAATTTGCGACATTTCCAAGAAATTGTCACTTCATATGTAATCTCCCCCCAGTTTTGCCCCA